AAAAACGAAGCTCTGTAAGTTTCACTACGCTTTCAAGTAAGCAAGAGCTGCCCTGATAGCTATCATCTTCAGTCCGACAAGCAATAAGACAGAAAGTTGTAAAACTGAACCAACGCCAGCCTAACTAAACTATTACGTGAGTTAGATTATCAAGACTTGAAGTAATTGCATTCCCTGTTGAAAACATTTTCTAGGAGGTTCGTTGAAGTCCAACTGACATCCGAACATGAATGTAGATATCTCCTTACCTCCGCCGCTTCTCAGGCTTCAGGCCACAACAGTACATATCGACTAGGATTATATAGCTTTTAAATTTTCATTGTTGTAAGATTTAGGGAATGAATGGTAGATAGCTATAGCATCGCTAGCCCATATTCTTTCACTCCTTTGGACTGAACTAAGAAGTATAATAAGACGCTCCCGGTCAGACTTTCTCATGGGGGGTTGGTTTATGGTAGTGTATAGTATGCTAGGATTTTTTTGCGACGACATTACTAACAAAGCCTATGTACAGACTTACCAATGCATAATTTTGCTTTACGTGACGCTAAAAATGATGGTTGATATTTAATATCTCTTCCCATCCTGCTATAGTATGTATTGTAAGATTGACGACGATGATAAGAAGATTGTACCTTAAGGAACAAAGCATTTCTTCAAGGTCGAGTGTTCACTTTATAAAAATGAGTCAAACCAATTTTCTTCATGCCAAACCAGGAGCTCCAATTGCATCATTGCGCAGCATCTCGATTATTGATTTTCATGATATAGCCAGTACTATCCAATACGCGTCTTCAAAATCATATCATTTTAAAGAGGAAGGTGGAACTTACTACAGTCTTTAGTAAGAGTGGCAGTTAGCGGTTACATCTTTGTTCAAGGGTAGTGTGCGACTCGCTTTTTGGACACTCCGGATGAGATATTTAGCGTTCTAGAGGAATACAATGAATATGCTGTAAATTGCATAATCATGTTTTCAACATCTTCTTTAAAGTTGGCTAAATCAGTAATATCATCCCAAGACCTGAAGAAAGGCTGTGCAAACCCAAAATCTTGGCTTATCTTTGGCATCTATCAAAATCAAATGATTTATTGTAGCCATACATAGCACCTTGACACTACATGCGCATTTTGAAGATGAAATTGGGTGAAATGATTCTTTCTACTCTTGAATAAATCTGTACGAAAATGAGCAGAGAAAGAGAATGATGCTCGCCCTGACTAGTTAAACGTGCAAACTTGTACCAATGAACAATTAAAAGTTACGAATAGCTGTGATGAAGCTGGATTGATACATATATACTCTATTTGCTTTTTGTCAATAAAGACAGCTAACGTCCTTTTTAAACCATTAATCGATTTCATAAGTACATAGATAGAATAAGGACTCATCTATGTACAAGTTGTTTTCAAAAATATACCGAGGTCTGAAGCGGCTTAAATTCTGCTGTTTGTTTATGTGATAATAAGAAAATATCATGCAAAAGCTCTACCAGCGGTAAAGCTGGCTCTGTGGAAGAAAAATTGAAATTCGCATAGCGATAACGAGAGTTCTTGACTTCATAAAGTATTTCAGTGAAAGTCACTAGAACACACCACTCGCCAAATAAAATGAGAAATATATTCGTAAACTTTGAAGATTGAGTAATGACAAATGTGATATAATAGGGATCAAAGCCTGAATTGATGGTTCGAATGAGATGACCTTTAGGTGCTACTTGGTCATTTTGACGGACTTGATCTAGAACGGAAGACGTTTTTGCTCAGGTATATTGCTAATAATCCACTTGGGAAGTCTCAAATAAAAAGGGCAACGCATATAAGTCTTTTATATTTTGCATTGGAGAGGGGGAAAAAATATGTGGGGTTTCGACCCTGCCACAGGTCTCATCAGATGGCTCTCCGGCTACCATTACCCCCCACGCCCGAGTTCCTCCTTGTCGGCCGACAATTCGGAACTCGCAGTCTTTCTCAGCTAAGCCTTGCCAGGGCTCGCTTCTTTGAAAGACTACCCAAAGTCAGGAGGGACTAGTAGTGCTGGCAACACCCACAGTCCGTAACTTTCCGAATACTCCCGGGAAGTATTGGAAAGTCCTTTTCGACCTGGAAGCTAATTACTAATAGGCCTATGAGATATATACAATGACTATTTTCAGAACAACAAAACTTGTGGGATACGAGAGTATTTTGGATTTATTCGGTCTATTCATGCGATGCGGACGCGGTTTTTGGTTTGCCAGAATCCGGCGAACTTTGTGCATCCTATCATAGCACTTTAGTTGTACCACATACCGTGGAGTAAAAGATACAAAGCTCTAAAGGTCCATATCGTCCCGGGAAAACCATTTCCAACTAACGTATGCTACTATGACATCGATAACGCCAGAAGATTCTTTACTGTCACGCATAATACCATGTCACGATCACGAGAAGTATGGTTGACGGGATCAAAAGGCATAGCTTCGGAGTTTGAAACACACCTCTTTCGCCTGAAAGCTTTAAAGCCTTCAGTTACTACGTATTGCGGTTCAACCCTACTGCCTTTTGGTGTTCCAATATATAAAGTAAATTCTGCATAGTAAAAGTACTTTTTACGAGTTTTGATTCGGTATGAGAAGATGCTATTGAAGATATGATGCATTCCTCACAGAAGGCAGTATCTGCTAAGGCCTGTCTTAGGGCGACCGAAGTTGGTTTAACTTCAGGCTGAAGTTTGTTGATGGGAATTCCAACGAAGTATATAGTCATTGTTTATCTTTCTCAAAATTTATTGGTAGGGTAGAGCTAAGTTTGATCTGTGCAGCAAGTAGAAAATGCTAACCAGGGGAATTGGGCCATCGACACTGCCGTCATACCGTCTACGGAAGTACCAGAGATACAACCGCCTTCTTATGTCTGGTCAGTCACAGTATACGTCTTCATATATCTTTGGATTTAGGTTTGCAAAAAGTGATGTGTGAAAAGGTCTTTTTCCAGATCATCAATACGAGAAACGTTACATATTTGGGAAGTTTCACACATTACTTCTCTATGAATTTAGCCTCCATTAACCTTGGGTGCTAATTTTCTGCTTATAACTCACTTGGTAAGCAGTAAGGCATCTCATATTAAAAAAGTTTTGTTCCCCTCAATTCAACACAATACATTGTCGCCTTGCATACAAGATCAGTTTTTTTTATGTGCACACAATCATAATATTGAAGCTATATACATTGTGAATGCCAAGGTAGAAGCACACAAGTGTGGAAACGAACGTTGTGAGTTGTGATGTAGCAACGAGGACCAGTAGACGTCAAAATCGATGAATGAAACAGATCTGGCTGCTGAAGAGTCTCTTGCTAAACGTAATTTTTTTATTTGCTTCAAGAAGCAATTTTTATTTTGTTCAAATATCTTTAACCTGTCGTCTAAATACTGCAGCCCGTTTTCTCACCATTGTTTGGTTTTCCATCCAAGTACTAACAGCATGGTCTTCGGTGAGGTCAAATGCAGCTGCATATTGTTTGTACTACTTTCCTTACAAAACCTACCCCGTAAATAACTGTCGAGGTAATACTGTGCATTTAGTTTTAACAAGGGCTGCCAATACTTCAGTCTGAAGGACAAACCCGCATCCATCCTGGAGCTTTCACAAGTGTACACCTCATAAAGTCTACATAAGCTAATTGATGCGAAATCACTGACAGAACAATCTATACATGTTGGTGAGGATAAAAATATTGCTTTTTGGTAACATCGCGAAACAAGAAGATGATAAAATATCTCTATCTTATGCACAAATGACTTGTTGGACTTGACAAATTTTATAGATGGAGAGAAGTTTAATTACGAAACGGAGCTGTATTTGTACCATGACTCGGATTGAAACAGTTCGTCCTCTATCCGCACATTTCTATCAATGATTCATATATGAAGTGAGTTGATGGATGAACAGTGATGCATTGAATTATATTTTCATGCGCTTTAGAAAGTCTAGCGACAACATTGCATATAGATACTTGCCTTCGTGTTTGAGCTTTCTATGATACTTCGTAGCCATTACTGCTGTCACCAAACAGCCTTTTCGGTTACCATATCTCCTTCTGTATTTTTCGCTTTCGAAAATTCAATGACAGAGTATACCAAACCAAAAGTTTGTGCAATGTAATATGCGCAGTAAATGACCATGAGAAATCGCTCTCCCATTTAAAGTGTTATCATTTAGAGTTTAAGCCTTTCTGAAATTTATTTTGAAAAACCAGGTATTCTCATGCTATGATATATGTTGAATGTTTTCACACACCTAATTGATTCTTCGCTGCGGACCGCGGGTAACGGGAATCGCCTTTGCGCCATGTTAATTTCCCGCCGCAATATCTTCGCATGTGCGTAATTCCAGCGCATACCGTTTTTTTTTTCCAGAGTGTACCGTAAACAATGTTCCCTTTAAGAGATCTTACTAATGTTAGGTGAACAACACTACCTTTGAGCTCTCATTGAACGTATAAATAGCGTAAATCATTGGGTCATCTTGTGGCATATCTCCATCTCTTGAATAGGATCTAATACGGTTGGTGAATGATTTTTATATCGTGTAGACCTTCACATTTACTAAATTGATTGTTGAACAGATGGTTAAAGTATCTAACTTATTGGTCTTGTCAATGGCTTTTGCCGTTTCAAACGCTACCTACAGTTACAATTGGTGTATAAGTGACCACTCCACTCAGACAGTCTGCAAAAATTCTGGAGGCTCTCTAGAGTCACACTCTTGCTATGTAGGATCTAGCTTGGAAACATACTACTGCTGCAGAACTGTTAAAGGAACTGCACCGTATGCTTCATTCAGAACTGCATGTGGTAGTCAGTTGGAAGGCTGTAATTCAAATTGCGGTGCTTGGTAAACTGGAAACGCAGCTCTCTACTAGATAGTGTTACTCTTAGGCGTTATAAATAGCTGGTGAATATCACTATCAAAGATGTATGAAATAAAGTACCCTGTTTGGTAACATTATGGCACATTGTTAATATTCATGAACAAAACCTTTTATAATAACATGTTATAGAGCAAAAAAAACATCATTGCTATCTCTTGCAATGTTTACTGAAACATTGCCAACTAACACAAACTGCTGGTCCACACTTTTTATTTTTGTGAAAGAGACGTCTATATTGTTATTCAGACCTCCACTATGAAATAAACCATCTAGGTCCATCTCATCTACATCAAACACTGGTGAGCCTGTGATATCTCGAGTCATTCACGCAATTATGCCTTGATGACGCTGATATTGAGTTCTCCGCCTTCTGTCATATTTTCATCATTTGTTCCTCCCACTTTGATCAACCCTCTAAGTATATGATATGCAGCTTGTAGTACTTCTTGTTCGTCCACATCTGCTGCTACGTGAAGCTCTAAAGAAGCGATGTACTGTCCAAATGTATTTTGCCAAAAGTGGGTCCTGCCGATTGACAATACGCCTTTGATTTGTTGTAGCTGGAGGCAAATGCTGGTTAGTGATGTGCAAGAGCATAAGCATAATAAGAATGCAACGGTAAAAACCAAATATACTGACCTCTCGCAACTTTCCTTCAATTCCATTCCGCAATGGTTTTGGGGTGGTCTGCAAGATGAGTTTCCCTAGTGCAGTAGCCGTAGGTCCAGCCACATAGAACATGAGCACGGCTTCTACGGTTGCAACCAACTTATCCATTGCAGAATTACGAATTATATAGTTGGCCATCACTACTAGCAGACCTGAACTTATGACTGATGATGTAAAGATGTTTCCGCGCAAAGTACTAATAGCTCCTCGTCGTCCTCGATTAATTACAGAATAAGATATTCCTTGCATGGTGATAGGCATGCGTCGCCACACTGATAAAGTGTCAGCCACTAATTCAGGTACATATGCCAGCTCCACTATAATACTTTACCTTTGCAGAATGTTTCATGGTTTTGAAGATTGACACCTGCCAAATACGAGATACCAATACTGGATGCCAATAACAAAAATGTCGTGATACCAGCAGACTTCTCTGGATGTGCCGTATGTGAGTTTTCTGACACATCGTGTGAGCTTGGCAATAGCAGATGTTCTAAGCTCTCTTTGCTAACTTGCATGGAGAAAAATAGAAGGTAGATGGCTGAAGCTAGCGCAAGTAAGATCTGAAGCCGTATTGCACTAAAGGGTATTACAAAGTCAGCTCTGCAATAGACTTCAGAAGCACATCAAAATGAGTGACTAAATACTTGCCCAAAAGGACGCTGCACATTGCGTGCACGGAAAGCCGAATCAAATTCAAGTACTGTTGACACAAAAGTATTGATGAGGCCAATGGCGTCAAAGACAACAATGTACGAGTAAGCAATCATGGCTGTGATGTTGAAGTTAGAAGGCGGTTCATGAGCATGCGTACATGAAGTTTGGATCACCTACATAGACTGCCCAACGAGCCTGCTGCCCCATAAATCAGGAATCCAAAGATAGCTTGTAAACAAGCAACACTAAAGATGGACTTTTGCTCTGGATTGAGGGAGCTAAACACACTTGAAACGGACGGGAGAGGATAGTGTGCTGAGTTCACAGGGGTATGGAAGTGTGGTTGTTGTTTCCCAAGATAGCTTGAATAGGATTCATGAGAGTGATGGCCGTGGCTGTGACCGTGGCTATGATCATGATCATGATCATGATCATGGTCATGATGATGACCGTGGTGGTGGTTGTGATTGTTGTGGTTGTGATCATGGTCGTGGCTTTGGTGATTGTGGTAGTGGTCATGGTCGGAATCATCCAAGGTGTGGTGATTATGTTGGTAATGGCTATGTCCGTTATGGTCAAGACTATGACCATATGGACTATGGTCATGATCATGCTGATGGTGGTCATGATGATCGTGGCTCTCCTGTGCCTGATGTTCATGATGAGAGAGTTTCTCATAATCTAGCGCCTTTGACTGTTGGGCTCGAAGTGGAGCTGAGGTTTGAATGGCAATCGCTTGGCCACGTATTCCAGCATTGTCTCCAAGATTCGGAGAGACGGGATGCCTCTTCGTGAATTGCCGAGTTGCTGGCTGCTGCATGACTCGAACGATGTCCTCAAAAGTATTGAACAAAGCTTAAGGTTGCGAAATTGGATTCTGACTGCATGTCTATTTTCAAACCCCGATAATCCAGGCGTGTCAAAAGTATACCAAGCCATCCGATTCTTAAGTGAGAGCATACCAATTTTTTTTTTTTATGGACGAGCTGAAAAGGTTCAAATTCAAGGGATTCTTGTAATTGTATCTCGACGATTCACTTCATAGATACTCCAGAAGGACATATTCTGTTTGAGCAGTTACCGGTGTATTCTGGAAACTACTACTCGGTCTACTCTGTTACTGCTTTTATTTGAGTGTATACTTGACGGTGAAAATACATCTCTATGTACCAGCCGTTTCTACAATAAAAAAAGCTTCCCTTAGGTCTTTCAACGTAAAGACGGTAATCTTTTTTTTTTTTTTTTGGAGCCAATTTTGATTGGTTGCATAAGCAAGGAAAGCTAGAAACATTTCCTGGAGGCCAAGTCTCTTCTACAACTTTTGCCTAACTATCAAATAATGTACCGCCATTACCCACTTAAGCCGCCCATCGCCAGCTCTTCGCCTTTCTCTCAAGAGAGCAGTATGGACTCGACGGACATGAAGCAACCGCAAAAGGTCTATGATATGGAGTATTGGCTAGCATGCTTTGATGCCCTCACCAGCACCATGTATAATTCTCCAGCAGCAGTGCTGCCATCTTTCCCACATCACCATTATGCAATTCCTTTGGGAGATAAAAAAGATCAAATTGGAACAGAGCGAGGAGAAAGTCGATCCGACCCGAACATCCCTAACTCAGTTCAGGAAAATGCTTTCAATAACCGGAATGACGAGTACTTTACCTTCCAAAACTTTTACGATTTTCGACAAGCTAGGTGTGATCATGTTATGGGAAGATTACGGCTTCATTTTCGCTTCCCAGCGCTGACGATAAGAAGATTACAAGCCGGAAATTACATTTTACATCAAAGCTCACCAGAAGGTCAGGTTGTGGACCCTACTACGGGGTTTTTCAATGATAAATATACCACCGAAGAGATGGTTCGTGCCAGAAGGTCAATTATGTCTAAGTTTGGAACTTCTATGAACTCGTTAAATGTAAGGACCCGGTTCGTTCCCTATTCATTTTCCATAGGAGCAAGATACTGTTCGCCTTATCGAGTGCATGATATTCTTTTGCGTTGTCCGCATCTGCCTAATTGGTAAGGCATATATTTCTTGGTATATGGCTTAACATTGAAAACTGACGTGTTTTCTTCTTTGTAGGGCGCACACCATCTTCATGCTGAACGCCATTGCTTATATGAAAGAAAATGGACCCGTGGAATCTGGCAAGGTCGTGGCTGGATTGTTCAAGCCTTTTGCTCCAGCCATAGATGTCACATTTCGCTGGTTGACTAATGAACACTTTATGAGTGGGCAAGAGCCATTTCCGCTTGCCCTCCTTGTATTCGAGCATCTGGCGTTCGACACCACGGAAGAGCAAGATATGGATATCTTATTGGCCACGGTTGGAAGCCCAAAAGAGGGTAAGAACGCAAAGAATCAGATGCAGCTAGCACGGTTTCCTGTATTGTGGGTCGAACTTGGTGACGGTATGGGCCAACATTTGACTGGATTAGCAAACCATTGGCTTGAAAAGTCGAGAGCGGAAGGAACTCTGGACGTAGAAATGGAATGATACCACCTATAATAATACTTGTACAAATACTTCATGAAAATAAAATGTGTCCATATTCCAGTTGTCAATACAGTAAGATAAATTCAAGTCAGAACTATCCAGGAGCAGAAGAGCAATTCCAGTATACAATGATAATAGGAGGTGACTCCTCCCTTTGTTGAAGCTGTTCGGTTTGCAAAGACACGCAGTTTCAAAAAAGGTGTTACAGGCTGCGTCAGGTAATTTCTGAGCTTCATTTCTGCTTCCCCACACCATGATCGACCACCAGAATGATCTAGTGGAAGTCTGGCAATCCATTGTCGCCTATCATGACGTTGAAACTCAATCCAATCAATGGTTTGACCCTGCTACTGTTGCTCTCCTTTTTGTACTATTACTATACTCAAGCTTGCTGGCGAGCGACCACCCATCGTTGGCTATATTTGCCTGTGCATTCTTTGCAGGTGCTCTCACTGCCTACATGCCGCGGCAGCAGTCAATTGATACCAATGTATATATGGATATAAGGCCGAAACGAAATATAGAGGTGAAATATTCATTTGGCTTGTTGATGAAAATTGTCATTTTACCAACCATACCTTGTCCGCAGATTCAGCCAAGGAGCAAGAAGACTGAGAACGCAACCGAGCTGCACCTTTCAGACCCAACGCTAACCGAAAAAACCACACAACTTATCAATTATACCCTACGCGATTTTGTGTCTGTTTGGTGGGGGCCCATGAACTTCTATGGAAACAAGGAGTTTGAAGACGAAATTCGGGTCACGATCAATGCAACAGTGGAAGCTTTAGAGAGATCGATACAAGCGCACGACTCCAACGATTTGCTTCTAGCGATGCTTTATGGTGTTGCCAACAGTCTCATTATTCACATGGTGAGTCCCAGTTAAACAACAGATGCTTATCTACTGTCAAATATTAATGTTATTATTTTTGCAATAGAGAGAGTACCGTGAATTTGAAGATTCACAGTTAGACTTGCATGAATTCACTCGAAGGAATCCCAGCTCCCCATTTTCACAGCTTTTGTCAAGAGATGAGCAGCACCAGCAATTACGAGAGCTAGGTTATTCATTTATACAAAAAATGGTACCAAAAGAAGATTTGACGAGTCCGATCGTGGCTGCCTTCTTCAAAGAAGTTTTCGCATCATATGCTTTGGAGAGCGCATTGAGTCTTCTATGTGATCCAGACTACCTCAACCTTTGCATTGTTGACGTATTGAATGATGCAACAGAAGGAAGCGATGAAAGTAATGGTGCTGATGATGACCTATCTCATCTGGAAGGCTTCCGAAGTGTGGTTGAAAAAGCAGCTGAAGATGCTATGGCCACCAAAAATGAAAGTGTAGGAAGCATAAAAGCAACCGAAGCTAAACCCAAACATCGACCAGCAGTGGAAGATGAAGGTAGAAAATCTAAACCGATTTCCAAGGACGATGACCAACTTGTAGTAAGAACTAGCACTTCGTCATCAACATTGAACGAAGGCAACCCAACAGATGGTTTATATCCCCAAGATAGCCCGAAGTCCGCCAATAGTGAGCAAAAATGGACCTCAAATCGTATCTCCATTGATAGCGCAAAGACATCTCTAAGATCATCGACGACACTTCAACCTTCCAGCCCTGTAATTAAAGAGCAACTACCAATGCTATTTGAGAAAGGGACAGCTAGCTTCAGCATCATGGACATATCACCGAATGACGCAGGAGAGAAGATTGATAGCGCCTCATTGCTTTATTTTGTGCAAATTGAAAGGTCGGCAAGCAGTGAAAAAAGGCAGTCCGAGGGCGGTGGCTACATCCTTACCAGAACATATGATAACTTTGTGACATTGCACTCAGTTTTATCGGCTAGACATCCAAAAGTAGTATCAAAACTCTCACTCAAACTTCCTTTGGATCAAGGACGTAGCTGGCGTAGTTCTCGTGCACAGCAAAACAATCGAGATGCCATTTGTCAAAGTTTGGAAAGATATTTACACACAGTTACAGATAACGAAATTCTTGGTCATGAAAAGAGCGTACACGTTTTCTTCCGCAAGGAGCAAAGTACCAACGAAGACATTGACACCTTGAGTAGCCAACCTGCACCAGAAGAAGAATCTGTAGTCTCAAAGGCTCGCAATTACTTTGGCGGATCCTCTGCTTCTCTCCATTCGGAAGATGACAGAGAAGCAGTACCGTCACAGCAAATGTCACCGCGGTCACAGTACTCTCGTTGGATCACTAAAAAGGCACAGCGTCCAAGCTCTTTAAAAGACTTTGGGGAAAATGAAGGGCCTCCGTCGAGACAGCAAGGCTCTGATAAATTGCCAGTAGCAAAAATGACAGCAATGGAAGCAACCTTAGTGACCAAAGAGGATGATCAGTCGACTGATGTGAAGCATTCAGATGGGTCCAATACCCCTCAAGACAATCAAAAGGCGCAAAATACACACAAAAAGCTCAATTCAATCGAAGTAGAATTGCTCATTGAAACAACATTTGCTCTTATCACCGAAATCTTCCAGCTAACAGAAGCTAACCAGAACGCATGGCTAAGGAGAACAGCACTTAACCTGCTTCGAGAGGTCATACGGCGATCATACGCCGAAGTTATCTCTCAACAATTTGTAAAATACATGGAGGAATACGCCCGTACATCATATTTTACGACATTGGTTGGTAGCATCACTGAGAGTTTTTGGCCAAACGGTGAATGGGCTACCTCTGTTGCCCTTAGAACGCCAGAAGAAAAGGCCGCAACAAAGTCTTTGGCGCGGGAGCTCTTAAAGACCAGAGGCGTTCCAAGTGGTGCAAGACAGCTCATTGGGGAAGTCAATTGTGTGGATGCAATGGAACGACTTTGGTCGCGATGTCAAGACGTTGATTTAAACAGAGTTCTTGGTGTACAAATACTGGAAAGAACGCTTCGTCCGTTGGTCAATTGAAATATAAAAAGAGGAAACTATTATTGTGATGGTTTGAAAAAATTAAAAGTACAAGAAATGCAGCAGGAAAATGCAAATGCACAAGTAATCATCTATCGTGTACTTGTGTTGAATGTAGAATAAAAATATTAGCTGGTCAGTCATTTAAAAATACCTTCACGATATCCTATATTAAAGCGATGCTTGTTGAGCCCCTCAAGATACGTGCTGCTCAAACTGTCAAATAATCTATATCTGAATGTTCAAAGTGGATGGAAGTCTGAATGGATGCGCTTCCGTGTTGAACACCCATTCATTCAAAGAAATAGTGGAAGTGTCACTAAAGATGAGGAACAGGTACTTGAAGGTCTCGGCGAATAAGAAACTCTCTTGGAAATCTGACCACCCTGGGTTCGCAATGTCGACATTAATGAGGCTGCTGTATCCCACAGGAGTACGGCAGTACTTTTCGATTGCCTCGAATATCTTCCAAGCCTTATCTTGGTAGCTCTTGTCCCCTGTAATACGATAGAAGTAGAACAAGCTCTCGACAGTTTCTAAACATATGAAAGACGATATTTAGTCAGAATGTTTGCAGAGTGTATACGATTTTGTTTCATGAGTCTCACCTGGGCGCAAATCATAGGAAGCTTGCCTTGGACTGAAATAGAATCCTCGTTTCTTGTCCTGAGAAATCTGACTATCTGTATAGCTGTCTAAAGATGCACCTTTGGGAATCCAATTGAAGCCTTCTGGAGCTATGTTTGTTTCGGTTCCTTCCCAAATTTGATAGCAGCTATCCATCAGTTTCTTTGCAAAAGTAGCATACTCTTTGTTTCCCAGTAGTTTTGCTCCGTAGATGATGTTTCCTGGTACGAAACAGACCTATAAAAAAATAAAAAATAAAAAAAGGGAGTTAAATGGAGCATTGGTCGATGATGTTATGTTTGTTCTTCATGCAAGCAGTGGAAAACTTTCATACCAACTCCCCAGACTGGCTGATCAGTTTATCAGCTTCCATATCAGCAAGGTAGGTGAAAGGATGAAATTCGTCTTCTTGCTGCAAATATGTTTCCATGCTATCGACAAACGTTTTCCATGAGGAAAGGAGGCTATCGTCGGTAGAGCCCAACAATAAATAATTTTTGAGCAAGTACTCGTAGTAACTGTCGCCACCTCCACTTATGGTGATGATACCTGTATATGTGTTTAGATTATGCAATACTTAATGAGAGGGCATAGTCCAGCGTAAACTTACCGGACGGATCTGGTTCGAATGGTTGATCAGTCCACTGGATAGCATACAGACCAGGAGGTTGTGTTTTGGTGTTTTGTACTCTGGTAACAACTTCATTTGCAACGTCCATATATTTTGATACCCCTGTGACTTGTGACAAACGTGTCATTTCCATTTGTACAGATCCAAACTCGGCAAGATCGAGACTGTTGCCAGGAACAGCCTTGCCACTGATATAAGAAAAGTCAAACATTATGGTTAATGTTGTTTTTGGCCATGGCATAGCATGACATCGATAACGTACGTATTGACATTCACATAAGATGCCGGAATACCATCAGCTGTGTCAAAGGCTGGCATAATAGCATATTCGACCAAGGCAAGGGCTTGCTTGCGTAAAATAGGATCTGGTCGGAGATCATTGGCTGCCAAAAGTCCACCAAGGTACCGAATGGTTGTTTCAAATGTCTTCGAGTTCTCTTTAGATGCCTGGAAGTTGACATTTTCGACATGGCTCATTGCCTTCTCGTATGCATCGTCCAAACCCATAATGAGCATTGTATCCAAAGCATCAAATATGGTGGCTAAAAAATATGAGGAGTATATGTGAATAACGAAAAGTTGATTTTATCCATTTGTGCTAACTTTGATTTACCTCCCCATCCGTTTCTGTAAAATGAGATGCCCAAAAATAGACGCATCCTTTGTTACTACATTGGCGCCAATTGCATTGTTTGGTATAAGCGACACTTACCGAGAATCAGATGGCTTCTTGCTGACTGGAAGCAATTCATCGTGTCCGAACGCGTATGTTACATAGCCATTCCAACCGTGCAAGAAGGCTTGCCTAACAGCATCAGCTCGTGGATCATCAGTGACATTTGCAGAGGTGGTTGCAAGCAACGATGCCCTGTTTACAGCTGTGGGCCTAGCATCGACTTTGAAAGAATTAATGGCTGCGAGCGCTATAATACTAAGCGTTGCAACTGAACGCATATTTTAGGAAAGAGAAAAAGAGTAAGAGATGAATGATGTGGCTAGGTGATTAATATAAGAAAAATGCTTGAAACACCACAAGTTTAGGGACACGAGTATTCTAAGACAAAATGGTTATATGTCAAAGGGGACAGTGGAAGCTCGCATCTGAGGCAAACTTGACTTGTAGGGAGGCAATTCCCCTTCATTCTCTCCCCCAAGAATACTGTATCATTCTCTCATGAGTTTCTAGTCATCATGAGCAGGTGCTTTCATTGAATATTTTTGTTACACCATATTAAGGTATAACAGACTTGCTGGATTCAAGTATTTCAATTTTAACCAACTCAATTTTTCTTTTAGGACAAGGTGTTCCAATTTCCTAGCATAGCGTGCCTTACAATCTATGTTCCACCGAACTTTCTGCCGGTCAAATCGTACCCGAGCAGAATATCAAAATCAGCGACGGCCCCCCACCCGCTTCAACCTTTCGACGGTAACCTGAAACTGCACTCCTGACTTTTTCGCATTTCGGCAGCTATACAAGTGATTGAAAGAATGACACAGTTGACGAAGTAACGATGACAATCGGAAGAAATGATAATATCGTCTTCCTCACTTGGGCATGCTCATACATATGGTCATGACACAGACAAACGAGAAAATAATGTGTGACAAATATTGATTGGAAGCTATGCTGCATATATGGCTCTAATAAGCCAAGGTTCATCCAGTTCAGCCTTGACAGTCCGTTGGAGGCGACAATGGCGCTTCACTGCAAGTTGTACCTCAGGCTCCTAGGAAAATCGAGGGATTAGAGGGCAAGGTTTCGGACATTAAAATTTTCTCCCTGATGGTGAAGGCATGATCGTGCGTGATCACTCTCATATACCAGATCACCATACAGCAAAGCGAACGTGAATGACAGTCCAATGATTTTAAGTTGTATATGACTTTATATGAACGCTATTGAAAATTCTTCAAGTATGGTAAAAATCACTACTTTGGATAAATGGACATAACCCATTTATGCCACTTTATGGAGGTATCATCGGGTACCTTTCGTCATCACCGTGGCAAAATGTAGTCAAGTGCTTTCATGGCTCTCAATCTTTGCTCTCGATTTCAATTATAATAAATAATTACAAATAAAAAACAATTGATAGACCGTCCAGTAGACCGGACATACAACTTGGAAAATAGCTGTTGAACCACATAGCTACTGGCGTTTGAACAAGTGTGATTCAACATTAGACCAATTGACAGGTGGCGAAGTCAGGTATATCATCCTTTTTAACATTTGAAATTTTAAAAAAGTCATTTTGGGTGTATATTTACATATAAGAGAGTCAGGACATCATGAACCATGCTGTTGGTCCGATGAAAGGAAAGTACAATATGTATAGCTAGACTAACAGTGTCTCCTATATCCAAACACTGACGCTAAACAAATGACATCCATCCGACCCACATTCTGCCCAGTACATTGCTATCTGTCGCTAGATCCAATAAGCAGTTCACTTGATCACTGACGGTTGGACACATTTGAGGGATTTTCGCTCTATAGTTGTAGTTCTTATCACCCATCGCAACCTTCTTGATGGAAGAGATGTATGGTTTGGAGGAATGCCCTATCACCAATTCTTGAGCCACAATATCTACAAATAACAATCAGTAAGCAAGGTGTGTCATTTCTACATGTTGTTGTGTTTTCAATTTGGGCCAAGTCTTACATCCCGGATTTTCACCCCTGAGCTTTCTTGATGCAATTTCCAGCTTTTGTTGTGGATACCATGCGATTTGGTCAAAATCGGCACTTTCATCTGTAGAACCAGTGTTTGGGATAGTAACTGTTCCTTCTCGCTCTGCCAAGAACAGTTAGGGGATTGAAAAGTAGAGGAATACCACTGATGCTCACTACTTACTTTGCTCTTTTCCTCGCTTGATAGCTATCTTCTTCCAATCCATAAGTGGTTCCTTCACAAAAATGTCCATGACATTTAGTAACAGATCCTGACTGTTCCTTAGAACTATTGTAAAGAAGATGACATAAGTTGTAAGACTTTGGTCCTGATTTTTTTTTTTTATAGAACCTACCTTCCAAAACATTGATCATGGGCACACGCAATAAACCAGGAACTCCCAGTGGCTCCAAAAATCCGATCATTTGTCTGGTCAAACGGAAGGGAATCAACTCTGGTACAGGTAAAAGTTCTGTAGCGGATCCAAAGGCATGACCGAAATCGATGGATATCAATCGCCCGCTATGCTTCGATGTTAATGGATAGTCACGTATTAAGCTTAGTATTAAATCTATGCTTTACCTTTTTCTATCGATTAGAAAGTTCTCCAGATGGCGATCACCAATACCTAAAATGTATCCACCAACGTTAATTGCTGCAAGACTGTAAGCGAAATCTTGGCGGATGGCAAGGAATGCTTCAGGAGACGCTGCCAGTGAATAAATGCTATCGCGCAGTACATGGGACGGCAAAGTTGATGTGAACATGTCGAACTGCTTGACCACAGCGTCCCTCGGAGCCTGCAGCAAAGCCCGGTAGCCTGAACGATTAGATTTGAATATTAGACAGGCATCACTTTGTCTTTGAGCATCAATCAAAGCATACCCATTGTTTCTCCTTTGAAATTTGATACCCAGCTACGATACGCTTCTTGCAATCTAACCATTTGATTCTTTCGAGCAGGCTTTTCCTCTAGGCAGGCACGAATTGGCTTAGTGTTATCCAACCACTCTATGACGCCGATGGAGCCCGTCATCGGGATGACCTATGAAGGGAAGTCGATAGTGAGCCTCCATTCATCTTAGTACCTTATCATTCTGAAATTATCAAAAGCTACCTTGTATGTGGTAAGGAAAATACCCTGCCTCAAGCAGAAGGCGTTGCCGGAAATAATGTTATTCATGACTGAGAACAGTTGCTGGATACGCTGGTCTAATCGCAAATCCTCGCCACCCTAGCATGATCAATCTGTTAACATCAAATTTCAAGACTGTCTTCATAGTTAAACACCCCTCACCTTAACCAAGAACAAATACTCCTTCTCGTCGGTACCGTATATTCTTAAACGTTTAGGCTTCCTCAATGAGCTCATAACAAGCACTCTCTCATCAAAGTTAGATATTTTAGCATGCTGAGATGGATTTGGCTTGCGGTTACCGGTATATTGACCGGGTATCTCAATCTCCTAATGAACATATTCAGTATGGCATACGTTGTCAATTTAAAGTACATGTTCACTAACCTCTGCAAAGTTCGCATAGTGAAAGTTTGCCAACCATGGTGAATACGATTTCAGTAGTTCGGGAGCACCAGGGAGCTTTTGATTTTGTATATCACTTTGATAATATTTGATAAGCTTGCGGAATTCCTTTGAAGTCATACCAGTGAGCTTAGATCCATCCCTCCCACAGAAGGAGTACAATTGTGATGCATGTTTCAAAGCAAACGCCTTCGGAATCGGACCAAGTCTGTTATTCCTCAGGTCCAGTAGTAGCTGGTTCATGTCATTGAAAGCTCCAAGGATCCTACGGGTATCTCGACTTGGATTATCCATAAGGCTCTACAACAACATAGAAGCCAATGGTTAGCATAGCGATTTATCAGGTTATGAAGAAACCAAATCTTACCATAGCATAGTCAATAAAGTCTTTAACAATGTGTTCGGGGTTTGTCAGACGCCGAAGCTCTGTAACAAAATCATCCATAAGAGGTGACGACACCATGTTCCAAATGATCTTAACTTGTTCTGATTGTCTCTTTCCTTCTTGAGAGTCATCGAACTTATAATGTTCTTTGCTAATTGCCATGGGATAATAAAGAGCTTTCGGGTAAGACTTCGCGATCTGTGGGTGGCAGGTAATGAGAGTTTGTTTTTAAACTTTTGAAAACCTTGATCGTTAAGGTAAAATGATCAACAACTTACGGCTTTGACGAGTGGATTCACTGAAGGAGCTATGGCTTTGTCGAGGACAGCTACTAATTGAGGTAACCAAGGGAGTAATAGCCAAATTCCGCTGAACTCTTTTGAGCACCTTTTGAAATGTTCTCTTGTAGCTGGATATTCTTCAATGAGCTCCAAAAGTCTTGGAAAGATGTGCGTTGCATCTTTAACACCGAGATCCATTGCTTTGAAAACGCCGTCAATGACAGTATGAGCATAGCTCAAATGATCGAATGAAATCTATAAACTCGACGGTGTTGGTATTCATTGCAGCTAAAAGGTCACCAAGCCAACAAACTTACTGGCTTCAAGTTACTGTCTGCGGTACTCCTCAATATGCGATCGCAATACTTTGCTAACTGAAAGATACAATGTGAAGATTCATTTGGCTAATATGCTATAAGTATCAACTTGTATTTTGCTTCTTCAATAGCAATTTCGGTTGCCTTACCATATCAGAGACCGCTTTAACCGCCTGGTTCAAGTAATCATAGGCGCCATCACATAGAGTTTGAAGAGCTGCGTCAATCGATTGATTCTTGATATTCAGTTGTTGAATCCACTTTGAACTTTTTGAAACTTGCAAAAGCTTAGTCCCTTCGTTCGAATTCCTCATGAACATTATGGCAGACTCTAGGACTTGGGCTGCGATGAGATTGAAGTCCAATTTCTTTTTGGTGGATACATTGCTGGCAACCTTGTAATAATATAGGATTAATTTTCACCATCCATGCTTTGTGTAAAACCACATCCAATTTAACCTACGGTTGTACTGCAAACGTTGTTCATCATGCGATCTAAAAGTCCTGCCTTCTTTGCATCGTTGTTTGTTATTGAAAGCTTTCCCAGACTGATATTGAGCGCCGAGTTCAACTGCTCTGTATCATCAATCTGAAACTTTTTAGCTTTTCGAAGAGCATTAGTAGCGACAACAAAGTTACGCTGCCCGGAAGCTACGTCGGCCATTTTGATATGCATCGCCTTTTGGAGCTGTCTGGATCGCTGGTTCAATTCATCCTAAATGAAATAGGTTCAGTATTACCGGTATATCACGCACAATCATATACTTCAATTACCATATTATGCTCCTTGACAAGTGCGAGGTTGTCAAGGATGGAGCTTCTTGTGATCATCAAGTCGTCCCAAACATCCATCGTGTCTGCCTCAGGAGACGGGTAGCTAATGAAATGCTCCGTCAGTTGGTTGTAAATGAAGATAATACTATGCTTCACAAATGGACATTACCGGTGTTCCATCATCAACATCTGCTGCCAGATCCCAGCAGTGCTCCCATCTGGTGCTTTTTTATGCAGAGTACTGAGAAAGTCATCCATCTCTACTATCTACAATTCAAGTTCGCATCAGCCACTGTGTAATGGAAAGATACGTGCATGTCCTCCTTCAATATACCTTCTGAATGACTTGCAACCTCAGGTACTTGCTATTTGTTGCTAGTGGATTTAAGCGGGACATGGACGATATGAGGTGACGATACGATTGTCTCACGTAGTAACGAGCTCTATCCATGTCGTTTTTCTGGAAATGGAGAGCAGCTAGTTCTATATGCAAGTTTTAGTTGGAGATTAATGGCAATATAAAACAGTGAAGCACAACTAATACCTGGTGAATAGTTTGATATTAGATATTGTATTCTGTTTGGTGTATCCATAGCTTTGTGGAGTAACGTAGCTAGTGGATTTGGATTTGTTTCTGTCCATGGGTTGAATTCTTCATCCTGCTTTTGGATACCATCTGAGAGTTTACTAAAGCACTTCATAAAGAAGTCGAAGTAGTATCTCTATGGGCCGAAGAATTGATTAGACTTTGTGACGTGTTCACGCTTTTATGCACACAACATACCTGAGTTCCAGAGTCCCATAGCAGCTCAACATCATCTTCCACTTCAACTAAAACATTCAAAGCTAAATCATCCCATAAAGTCATCTTTTCAAGACACCTTAGACGCTCCTGTTCCCATATATTGCTCTGAACTTCATGTTAATCCAGTGCTCACTGTAACAAAACGTGATGCTGAGTAGCTTACCTCAGTGTAGCCGACCTCCTCATTTGATTGTTCGATCAAATCCAGAAGCATACCGGATGCTAGAAGATAATCACCCTCGCTTTCAGCATCGATGGCCACTATATAGATTTTCCGTTTAATATCTGAAGGGCTTCGAACATTGAAATTGGTGCAATAGAATTACTAACCTGTCGCGGTTTGTTTGGATGCGATGTTCTCCGAATACAAGGTTGCAAAAATTTCATGTTCATTGATAGAATTGTAAAGTGATGCAAGTTGAATCCATTGATCTTTGCTGTAAGGTTGAAGGGAAGCCTTCTTATCAGTTTTGGATCGCTTAGAATCTGTGCAATATATGAGTCAGAGGCAATAAAACATGGGGGCACGGCATACACCAACTTGCAAATGACAAGGCAAGGAGGAGAAAATACCTCTTTCAGGGCTAGTTTGAGTCTGAAGTTGCTTCTCTATCAACGTAATTCCCGTTTGCTCATTGAAACTTGCTTCAGAGACTGACTTTATCAACGTCGGACTCAACTCTGAGCCATCCATATCATAGAAGATTCTCAGGAAGCTGTTAATTGCGGGTGGATAGTGCAGGGTAGTCCGCTGAAGCATAGCATGCAGCTGCTGCAATATCTGCTGCCTTAAGCTTGCTGTTTCCTCTATCATCTGTACCACACTATTAATATGTGTTTCGTAGCTTATATCGAATGGTATCCACTTACCGATGGTGGTCGCTCGGCCGATGCATCAGCGATCGATATCACTAACATTCGATAGAGAATGCGAGCTATTTCAATATCCTTTTGGCCAAGGGACTGGAGTGGCAATATCAAATCTTGGTAGAGAATTTGGATATCAGGTAGGTCACCGACCCTGTACCGACGGTACAAATTGACCTTGTGTTCTCTCGCCTCATTCTGATACGTTTGGTATTGTGTCATACTCCTCTTCTTCGACGCTTCTCGATTCCGAAAGAATTTGCTTGCAGCATGATTTTGTTGCTTTATAAACCTTCTTCTGTTCCTCAACTTTCCATTAGCATCGTGTTGACTATATGCTTGTGATCTGTGTAGAGGTTATTTTACAATGCTAGGTAATTTGGAAAATCCGTGGTGCCAAAGATTTACCTGACTTCGTCAATGTCTCTTTGAGATTCACTCATGATAGTATCCAAAATCACAGATGCGCTGCTTCCAGCATACTCAAACAGCATAGACGACTGAGATGATACAATTTGTGAATTTCTGTAATCTACTTTGAGAGTTCATTGCATCTTCGTCAGTAAAACACAACAATAACCTATGGATCTATTTTTCAACATCGCTCACCGTCAGCCATGGTGGGGGTAAACTCTAAAGCCTCCTGCGTAGCTCGTAGAACAGGCGACAGTTCGTCTCCGCCGTAAAGGTTTTGATTTTCGAATGATGCCACAAATAATGGCGCCATGGATGAGTTTGCTCTCCAAGAGGTGTTGATTTGGGCGTAATTCTCGTCAAATTTGGCATTTGGCAATGGTTGTTCGAACATGGGTTTGTTGTAATCAAAGCTAGATTTTGCCGCATCCAGAATCATCCAGTTTGAATACTGCAGATATATTTCCTCAACATCTGGTTCGTACATATCGCTGTAAATCATGTAAGCAATCACATTATTATGACTTCTCCAGTGATAAACAGCCCTGACCTGAGAAGAAACTTGATAGTCTCAAAAATATCTGAACTTGGGTATTGAGAGCGCCAGAATGTTGCTGCACCAACCCGAATGGAATCAGAAGAATCGACCAATCCACGTAGAAGCCCAATCTTGATGTGTTGAAGGATGATAGGGTCATTCTTGGCAACCTGGTAAAAGTCTTGCAGGATGCGGTAATATATCTCCTGGTAAAATCGCCAATTTGGTTGTACATAGCAAATGTATAGAGCATTAGATGAGCGATTAGCCGTACAATGTTCAAGTCTACCTACCCTGCAGTTCGTGCTGGGATGGGCCACAAAAGTCTGGTTAAGGAGAGAAAGGATACTATCGATTCTTGACAATTCAATAGTCGGGGCGATTTTTTCAAGCATCTCTAGCATTGCTATTTGATTGAACTCATCCCTTTGGAGAAGGTGCGTTAGAGATGCATCTTGTATAAAGCATACCTAGTCATGATCTCACCTCTGTTGCAGCGTCTTCCACATGTTCTTGAACAGCAGGCTTTCAAATAATTGTTCAATTTCGTGGGCATTGCATGCAAGTACCCTCAATGCATAACCTCTCAGTTTTCCGTTCTGTCGTGGAAGGATGTCAAGCACCTTATTGCTGAATGGTTTGCAGATAACGCGATCATTGATTTGTAGCTTATAGAGACAAATGAGAAGCTTGCTTTCGTTAACTTGAGCAATCCTATTCAACTGTGACCAACAGCGTTTAAGATTAGTTGTCTCATTTTACAGGAAAGATATGAAGTTCACTCACCTTTTGAATCAATGTTTGTTCAAATTCCGTATTCAAACAATCCTTCTTGCGCATTAAAGCTAAAACCCAGCCTGCAACCTAATCTCCCTGTAAGTCAAGAGTAATGACCTTGCTTATATCAGGTAACAAATTATCAAACCTCGGCTGCAACAGCAAATAGTTCTTGCTCCTTAGCGTCCACGCGATGAACAATGCTTAAATAAAACTCGCTATCGGATGGCTCCATACTTGATGTTTCTGGCGCACGTGCTGTGGGAAGCATATCATGTGCAAGAGCAATACCACATAGCTGTAATCCAGTTACTTTTTCCTTTGTTGATAGCTCAGGGTTTCCAATTTTTTCGAAGATGACTCTCTGTAACGTTCGGAGGGTTATCAGCTGAAGTCATGAATAATGTAATTACCATATCAGTATGCTTACCGTTGGTACGATGATAAGTTCTTTCCATTGCTCAAAAAACAGCTTGACGATGTCCAAATTAGTTCGAAGTACTGTCCGGTTGTGATGATGAGCATGGCGCATTAAATATGTCTAGTAAAGGCATTATAAAATATTGGTTACTGCGGCAAAATTACAAGTGGATAGGTAAAGTGAAGAAGCTCACCATAAAACTGAATATCAACATTTTATCTTCTCTGCTTGATGTAAAAGGAACGCTTGGAATCCATGATACGATGATGTAACATAGATCCTAGGTACAATTTCAGTAAAGTTTCCTTTTTCACTGTCTACCTTCGCTGCACTTACCTGAACATGATAATTCATAGGTTCTCCGTATTCCCTTTCCTCCATGACCAAATTCATTAATGGTTTAATCCATTGCTTGGCATACTTCTCAAAAGCAACCGGCCAGTTCACAATTAGTTTGGAAATAAAAAGTCGAACATTCAACTCGTTACCCATGGATGTAAAACTCTTGTAAAGTTCTGACATCCAAAGAGGTAGCTTTTCAGATCCTGATTGTGGTGGTGGTGTAATTTCAATTTGCAGCTTGATGATCATCCTAAGTATCGTCGTCATACAGGCATGCTTATTGAAGAAGTCCAACTCTAAATCCAAAGCCGATCTGTAGAGTACCAGAAGATATAAGCAAGGAAACAAAGGATTGAGTGCAGACAAAAAACTTCTTCATACTCTTCATTGCTCACTGCCAAGGTCACTGTTGCTTGCTTTTGCTCCTCTTTACCTTCTTTATCATCAATCTTTTCGATCAATGGCATATCCTGGAATAGATGTCAGATATGCGGTTTAAGAAAACAATATGATAATATTGAAATGCAGCCTAAACTTACGCTGAGAGTAGCTGGTTGTGACAAGCTAATGCAACAGATTACCCTTAGTTAGAGCTTCCTCTACACATTTCTCAACGACTGAGAGACTCACCTGCTTCCCATGAGATACTGTGACGACAGATATCGGACGGATTGCTTTTTCTCGCCTCCCACCCAGGCTTTGGATTTCAAATCAATCAGCTTTGCCCGTATAGGCGGTCTGCTGAATTCAATCGGTAGCTGAACAGGAGTTGTGACATCAAGTAGGTTAGACCAGATACGCTCATCTTGCTTTTCCTTAAAGCAGAAACCTATAAAGAATTTCTCGCTTTTCTGTGTACAGACGATGGCGGCAGACATGGCATTATAAGCATATTGTTGACATTGAAGTACGCTTATCTTGAGCTCATTTTGGAAGGAACGAATCGGCTATCAAAAATATGAAAAGAAAAGTTAGCATTACAATATGACTTTGAAACTGCCTCATAAGATACTCGCCATCTGCCCTCTTAATTTATGACCGAATCGAATCAAGTCTATAGTCATCTGTCGACCTTCTCCAGCAGCATTTTGCGATTGTTCCCATTTGACAGATATAGAGCTCTTAGTAGTATGAACCTGTTCAGCTGGCAAGCGCTCATACAAGATGTACAAAGCGGTCAAGAATAATCGTACATGACTCGCTATAACAAAGGTTCCATCAGCACATTTTAAATTACTTCAAAAAAGGATATTTGCATGAGGTTGTAGCAGCATGTTTTTTCTTCAATAGCCGCCAAGGGGATATGAACTTGATGACTTGTAATTTCCGCTTTCAGAATATCCATGATCGTGGTAATATGGTTCTCATAGAAGGCAATGACATGTCCCTGTGGCACCTGTCTCAACATAGGACCCAGAATAGCTTTTACTGCATTTTTGCGGAATCGCAAATCTTTAGTTCCATCCAAAAAGTACCTTGATATTATTTGAGTCAATACTTAGAGTATATCCGCCCTATATAGAGATCTATACTTACTGGAAACAAACGGACGCTGACGTATTAAATTCAAGAGGGTCTAGTTTTGCACAATAGTTTGCAATGCCATCATACAACGCTGTGGAGTGTGAATGCTTGTCATCTTGAAATATGACTGTCAGGAGCAGCTCGAAAACCATGCGTGATTTTGATTCTACCATGGCTCGTATAAGAAGGTCCAGACAATCTATGTATTCTACATAGCTATAGCGCGTGTGTGAGAGAAGTGCGGCGGTCAACATACTGATGGCTTTAGGGTAGACTTACAGAACACTGGCTTTGTCAAGGTCACTGCTCAGCCGTGGAAAGTCGTTGGCGCACATGGATTTAAGCTTGGGTTCAATCTGTGGAACACCATAAGTATACTGGCCGTTGTCATCAACCACTCTATTAACACTTGCCTGAGATGAAAAAGAATCAAAATGTAAGAAGAGAGGAAGCGACGGAAAGGCCTCGTTCTTCATCCCCAGCGGAATCTTCGGCTCCAGAAAATATTGAAAGCATTTGAATATGATATCAAGATGGCCTGGTGTCTGAAGGTCCTTGGGTATGTAATCTTGCAATGAACTCAATTTGGTCAAAAGTCTGGCTAGCATCAAACGACTCTTGCTATCGGTCCATTGAAGTTGTCTAAAAATCACACTTAGCAACTTTGTCTGTCATACAGCTCAAACGTTCTTACAGGCTTACATTTTTTCCCAAAGTGGCCTCATGTTAATAAGCTACATTTTGAAAAAGCAGGTAGGCATTAAGATGATGCACTATGGTATCCGTTCTAATATATATCCTCTTACCTTCCGTGTAAAATCCCTCGTTTCGTTCCTGTTTTGCAAACTTTGACAATGATATGAAACCGTGCCAACTATTAACTCTTGTACTTGAGGCTCCTCGACATGGTCTATGAGTGTACTGGCTACATGTTCAAATTGTTTTGATAGGAATTGATAGATCTAAGTGGCTGTTAGGCATTTGTTGCATACACAATAGCCCATGTCGTTCAAGGTATACTTACCGGCTGCGAGTACTCAATATATACAGCAGACTTTTGGCTCATCCATTCCTATGTTATATATTGTAAGCTTGAAATTATATCTCCTATATTCAAATAATAGTTCACCACTCGACTCGATGGAACTTACAATAAGGTCATCCATAAGTTGAAGAGCCTCAGAGCTCATTAAGCAAACAGATAGTAGTTTAGTGGCGATCATTTTCTGATCCGGAGACTTGGTGCCAGATACAAGCTTGAACCGGTCATAAAGGCCCCTAAACATTGATCCAGGTGCGGAAAACGGAAACTTGGTCTCTGCCGTTCCGTTTTCAATGAGCTCATCCATCGCCTCATGTTCCTGAGCCATGACCAATCCCTGCAACAGGTCCTGTATACCAGGCACCGACGCATCTAAAAACATGGTATCTGTGAGTCAATGACCGTGATCCCAGAAACTATGGTTTACGACGTTTGTTACCTTTTTTCAATAGCATAGTGGTCAAAGGAGAATCTGCTGAAAATAAGACGCCTCCCAGCAATTGGAAGTATGCATTAAGCGATTCTGCAAATTCTTTTTCCTTTAACGCTTCCATCAGTCGTAAACCGATATTTTTACTATCCTTTGCCTTCTCTCGATAAAGTATATCCTCCATCTCGCTACTCCTTTGGAATATTGAACTTTGGAATATAAAGCCGTAAAGGAATTGCCCAAATATGCGCTGAAATGGCGCAGTCCACATTTCATCATCCGTGAAAGGTGGGAGACCACGCTTAGTAAGTTCCAAGAAAAAGTAAATTACAGCAGCGATAAATTCGCGTAAGATTCTTCCTTGCTTTCTTCTAAGCGTGCTGCCAGATAGGACAGACTCTTTTAGGGTATTGACAATGCTGGATCCACTGGCAGACACTACATCTTGGAGGGTACTGAACAGCTTGCATTTTGGGTGGTCTAAAAGTTGTTCAACAGTTGCCACATCTGCTTCAAGTAGCCATGTATACGTTGTGAGAATTCCTGTCAGGTTCTCACAGCATCCAAGCAGCTCAACCAACTCGTTTTCTTGCGAACTTAACAACTTTATATCTTCAAGTCTTGGTTCTTCCACCGTTTGTATAAGGTAGTCAGGATTCTTCTTTAGTTGCTGTTGTAACCAAGAGGAGGCAGATTCTAGAATGAGTTGTATGATCAGTATTTGATATGTCATTTGAAACCTGATTAAAGTAATTAACGTACTAGAGGTATACGGAACAAACTCTAAGAATATTTCCAGGTTCTTTTTTGCATACTTGATCTGCTTCTCAGTGATTTGCGTGAATGTAAAGTCGATGAAGGTCGCTAAATCCGCCTTCTCCAAGTTTGGAATGGGCCGTCGACGAGCTGTTTGCCGCAGGAATAAAGTATGCTTCTTATGAAGTATTCGTTGAAGATGATTGATAGCATGCAAAGCTTGCTGTTGAGTTCCTATAGAAACAAGTTAGCCTCCTGACCATAATCTTAATACCATATCCTTCCCATTTACGTACCCGCGCTCTCGTGGTCATCACTGGCAAGTTTGAGACTGAAAAGCATCCAATAGAGAATTTCGAGCGTGAATTGATCTACTAACGACTCTTCTTCTCGGAACAGTCGATATATTCGGTTGAATGTAAGGGCAGCACCAAGTCGCTTTGTAGGTTTTGGATTTGACGCGAGTGCATACACTCGTTTGAGCAAGGACTTCATATTAATTGGGTTTTCTTCCTGACGCTAGTTCAAAAATTCAGAAAGGAGTGCATACATAAACGAAGGTGACCATATTTTCGATCTACTTTACCTTCACATCCGTTTGCTTGATAGACCACATTACAAATTCATGCAAGCATTCCGCACTGTAGTCTTGCAGGGTTCCGTTAGCGTCACATACTCCATCTATGCAAGTATTTAGCAAAGCGATGGTTTCAGCGTTTTCATATTGTGCATTGTTTGTTAGCCAGTGGATCATTTGTGATAGCAATGGACGTATGATATCACGAATGGTCTGATCCGTGTTAATAGCCAAACGTAGGATGATTGGAAATATCTTGACATAAAGACGATGATACGGGGACTTGACAAGCTCTTTGCTACCACGGGCTTGAAAAGCACTGTTTCCTATCATGATCATAAGCGTTGCTTGTAGTAGTTCACATGCAGTAACTTTGGTAGCACGGTCTAATGAATTTTCCGCTAAGCTACATACACGAGGGAGAATTTCGTCTGTGTTGAAAACAACAGCATTAGTTAATAGTATCGCGCTGAGATGGTACGGCATTGTTTGATCCAACATTACCTAAAGGAAGATCAACTCTTGCTTCTGTAAACGGAATCCTGACTTTGACATGGCGCTCTGGATCCCAAGACAGAACTTCTATATGATGCTTGGCCACTCGAAGATGTGGATCACTTTGTTCAAGCTCATACGACTTCATATCTTTTACGTGGCGTTTCGGATCAAGGAGACTCTTGTTATAACCACCCAGTCGACCGAGGAATCGAAGGATGCGTATTTGCAAATCTGCTGCCGACTCTGGATCTTGAGCCAGCACCTAACGCAAGTGTGATCTCAATGTAAGCTATTTACACTCTGTATCAACTTTTTCTCACTAATTGGCTTACCCCAAGCAAGCCTTCGCTGATCTGGTGCCTCTTATTCTCTGCTTTTAATTTGACTTTCTTTGGTCTTTTGATTGGATTGAAGTCTGACGACACCTCTATCTCCATATCACTTTGTAAATCCGTAGCAAGGTAGTTGCTTAGAAATGGTACAACATGAGTGATTTCTTTGATGTACACGGCTCGACGTTGGTCATCATCTTGAAGCTGCGCATACTCCAATATGAAGCTCAGAGTGTCGACGGCCGTGGATGCGATGTCAGTTTGAGTAAGTCCGATTTCAAGGGATGTCTGTAATGGGCTCACAAAATAATGTACATCCAAGAGTTCCAAAGGTGCCAACAGTATTAGGTTTAATCCACTAATCAATAAATCATCCTGATACTGTTCAATACGAGCAAGCACATCGATGATATACTCCCTGTACAGCACTTTCTCTCTTTCCACCTCCGAACTTTCCTATAAGAAAATACAGACATTTAATCGGCCGATAGTATGCATCAACTTGACATACCATGAACAGTATCATCGAATGACCAGCCTACCTTCTTGAAGATTTCATATCTTTTGCAGACCGTAAGAGTACAAGACATTAGTTTGTAAAATCCGCTGACGATTGGCCATTTGTTGCTTAAATCAATTATACAAACACCAAATAGATAAACCCATCTTTCGTATAAGTCTGGTCGAATATTTGGAAAGAAGTATAAGGAGAAATCGACAAAGTTTTGGAAAAGCTCAAAGTCTTTGGCTACGAGAGGTTTCAGTGCTCGCACGTCACCCGTAGATGATGTCTGAGTGCGTTGAAAGGTTACTTTCGACGTATCGGCATCCTCAGATTGATCGTACTCGATTGTGCCAAGATCCAGTGTATTAAGAAATACGATATTTGTACTTATTAGTTCGTCGTATAGAATAGTGCTAATCGGCAAGTTGTCTGAATCCACATCCATCATATCTCCATTATCAGTTTCAGCTGGCTCCTGCAGTATCTGTTCCCATACATAGCGAAATTCGATCCAATCTTGTTGCCTTGCATCTAGAGTAGTGATTGCCGCTGTGCTGATACCTGATACGGTGCTTACTAATGCCGTAAAGACTGTTGTATTGTACGTTTTTAGTCCGAGTCATAAGCAGACGCAAATATCATTTCATCCATTCCTTACATGCTTCGTGGCAGAACTTGCGAAGAAGTTCCTCGCTAAGGGATCCAATAGTATACAACATTTCTTTTAGTGCCGCTACAACTAATCGGCGAGAATAGGGCCCAATTCTGGTGTAGTAAGTAAAAAAGAAGTCGGTGGCACTGAGTAGCTCAGCTTCGACAGCTGGATGAAGTGTCTTCATTGCCGCGACAATGCGAGCTAAGGTCTGAATGATGGGAGTCAGTTGATCCTTGCCCAGGGTTTCCGACTCGTTCGTTCTGCAAAAGTAAAAGATGGTGAGATGGCCGATGCGTATCTAACCTCATACTTCACAATCACTTACACAGAAAAGAGCCACGTAGATCGCTTTAAAACTAATTGCAGAAGCTGATCAAATTCATCTGAAGTCAAGTAAGTCGTGCAGCTTTGGGCTAGGTAGCCAATACCATATATAGCCACCGATATACTCTGATCGTTTTGCTCATTGTCGTCTTGATTCAAGCTACGTACAAAGGTTCGGAAGAGAAACTGTATATAGAGAGAGTAAGATTAAGAACAGTACCGACAGGCTATAGATAGAAAACCGGATGTCTTGACTTACCGCAAAGCATTTTTTCTCACTTGGACCTGCAGTTGACTTAGCCAAGGTGTCCGAAACAATATCGAGCAGTTTGTGCACAGCATGGATTCCCGCTTTTGACATGTCTCGGTTTCGATGGCTTGATAAACTCACTAAACGAGTATAGAAAAATGTACAGTCCTCAACCAAGTGCTCGTGAAATAAGGCAAAGTGGTTTGTGAGGAAATCCATGGTGGCTAGGGCAATTTTCCATGTCAGTGACGATGTAAGAGTAGCAGATAACCACTGTCTACCCTAGCAATCAATGAGCAATTCTTACCCAGTGGAGCGCTGTAGCGTGATAAATCCTCTGGCACCTCGAGTAATGATTTTATACATCGGTATAATGAATCAATATCGTTTGGATCTGATGAACAAATCATCAGGACATGTCTTTCACATAGATTCAATCTCACACGAACCCTTACTTTGTTGAATTATGTTGTAAAATTGAAATAAATAGTTGTCTAATCCTCTCACTGCTCCAGTTATCAAGTTTGTATCTGCGTTCTGCTCTTGGAATAATTGATGTGTCAAGGTAGTGATTGCCCAACGAAGGAAGGACTTGATGTTGCCATCATTGAGAACGCTCGGTTGATATCTAGCAATTCTGCCAAGCAAATGCAATATTTGACCCTTTACTACAATGTGCATCAGCATCTAAAAAATTTGGATGGATTGACGTTTCAAAATTCTGTCATTTCCTACCAGCTGGTTTGACTGTTGCGGAGCTCATAGTGAAGTCGGTTGAAAATCTACGTGAACGGAGAAAAATAGATTCGTTCCTTATCCAACTAATAAGATATACTCTCCAACTATGTAACTTACTTGGAGAAGATTTGTTGCAAGTCTAATTCGGTGACATCGACCTTATTAGCTGGATCAATTAGCGACAGAAGAGGCTCGAATGCAGCCGTTTTCACTCTCAATGATTTATCCTCCATCATTTGCAAGACACATCTCTAAGAACACAGTCAATGGTAGGCCGTTTTCAATGTTTAACCACAATGAGCACCGCACCTTTATATAACGAACATAGGGTTGCACAGATGCTTTGATACGTTCAACATATCTGGCAATGAATTCCAACAAGGCTACCTTGGCGGCACTGGCATTGGTATCGACGCGATTATAATCGATTGCCGTACACAAATACCGTATAACACCATATTCCTGATCAAATATGATGGCCGTTGCGAAATCTGCAAGTTGTTTTTGCATTCAATGTTGTCATCCATTGCTTTGGACCATTATGCCTGTCCACATACCTAGATCTTTCTCCGCAATGTCATCGAGTGCCAGTCCTGCTATTTCCACAGCGATGATCTTGCTATCATAGGAAAAGTCATTAATGTCCTTTAGCTGGCGTTCTAAAAGCGCTAAGTTGGACATGTGCCTGTAGTGAAACAAAAAGCAGTGGCATAAAAGTAAGTTCAAGCTCCCAAATTTCGGATCTGTTTCCCTGACAAATTTTAGTGGTACCAAATTGGCGGCGGTAAAGGCAAACGAACGACTTTATGGGTTTTCAAAAAATCTATCTACATTTTTTTTCCAAATGCATATCTTTTTATTCAAGCAAGCAAAAGCAGGAAAGAAAAGAAAAAAATAAGAATAGCATAGTTTCAGGAAGAATGCTGTTGAATGGAGTGTGCTACCGGGCGGGCGTCTTCCTTAACGTCCACGCTCACAGCTTTCATTAACAGAGATGTTGGAACGGATAGTTTCAATATTTGGAGTAGTGAAGTCGATATCCATCTTTCTGACTTCTCTCAAATGGAACTTGCCGAATCCTTGAAGTGCCTGATATTCATCTTCGGTGATTTCTACACCTTTTTGTGCTTCTGGACCATGTCTCGGAGGAGTAGGAGGAGATTGAGGCTCAGAGATGGGAGACGGAGATGCATCCATGGGTCGTTCGGGATGGATATTATCAATTGGGCTATGAAGGTCAGCCATTGACAATCGGCGAATGGAATTTCTCTTAAAATTTGTATTGATGGACAGCTCACGTTGGGGAGAAGGCTCCATGGGCTCAAGGTACGGTTGGTGATATGATGGATAGTGGAAGCTGATAGTATTGCTGTGTTGACCGAATTGTGGTTCGTTAGGATGATGTGAGGAATAAGGGGACGGCAAAACAGGATGGCCATAATTGGGAGGACCCGAAGGTTGCATGGCATATGATTGTGGCCAGGACATACGGTTTCTCGGACTTAGTGGTGCTGGGCGAATATCGATTGGCTTATATTGGTCAACTGGCATAGAAGCTCGTCGAAGCTGAGAAACTCGCTTTAATTCTGCGTTGACGGCCAGTGGCCGCTTGTTCGTTCTTGTTTTCTGATGTGAATGCGTTTGTGTATGTTGCATCATGTTATCAAAACGACTAAAAGTTCGATCGCATCCAGGAACGACGCAAGTGAAAGGTTTCTGTGAAAATTAATGGAAGGATAGGATTAATAAAAATGGTCAAATTGCAGATAGAGGTAGCGCAGTCGATAAAGGCTTGTGAGAAACTTTTAGAGATGACTGACCTCTCCAGTGTGTTTTCTATTGGGTTTATCAGCACAAGGGTATTAGTGTTTGCCCGTTCATGACGCAAAAGTTGCCACATCTTCTCACCTTTCGTGTCGTGCAAGATGTTCGCTTCGAGTAAAAACCATATTGCAGTCTCCATAGCCAGTACATTTAAAAAGTTTTGGGCCGGTTCGAGTAGACGATCTTCGACGACCTTTTTTGTTCGTTTTGGGTTCTGTGAATGGAACTTGCTTGAACTTCAAAGGCTTTTCGATCAATGAGTCGATATTCATCCTGAAAAGTTGGTTATGTGAGGTGATAGTATTTTGAAGAGCAAAAAAGAGGGAGAAACTTGGTTGTTCAGGATTGAACGGTGGTAGAAAAAAAAACTGCTTACGCCCTTGCTCGAAGTGTAATGACCCGAATCCCTGCCAATAGCGTTAGCGCATGAATTGAGTTGACGTCCTGAAACATCGTGGCCACTGCTTAATTGTCAGGAACTTTTTCAATCACAGGATGCCTTTTTCATTATGTGCATAAACCAAGCGGATGAGGTAATGCCCCTATAATCATTAAACGATGAACATGAAGTAAAAGAAGACTTTAGTTTATTTTAAATGATACTTTTCAATTCTCCAAAGCCTAATACCATCAAATCAAAGATATCTGTTTTGAAAGTTCCTGCAGGCAGACTAAACGTCCATAGAGGTCTCACAGTAAAACCAGTGGAACATTTGTAATGCGAAACCCGGTAGGGAAAAAAGGGGAGGGCAAAACTGAAGGGCTAGAATAATTTTGATGAGGTGGGATAATCAAGTAGCATAATTCTACATGTGGATCTCTCTCACTCCGTTGATGGTATGTAGAGCAGAGTTGAAGTCATGTTTCTAAGCATGAGCAGGTGACATCTTGATCTTTTGATGATGGCATTTAGCGACTTTGGGTAAAACTCTCATTTTGTATACATTTTGTAACACCAACAGCTGAGACACGTTGAAGCATGGTTTGCCATATGTGCTTGTATACATTCACAAAAGAACGATAGTGACCTCCATTGTTTATATAAACGCCAACGGTAGGCCAACATATATCAAGATGGCTCGTTTATGGATGCCAAGTACATACATATGGTCACAGAGGGCGGCGTCTCTTATGTATCGGGTTTTTCATTGCAAGAAAGCGAGAAAAGGTACTACAATGAAACTTTGATTCGATATTATCCACATATGACATTATTACTTGTGTAGAATTCACCTCATAGAACACAATAGATGGCTGGCAGGAAAAAATTCTTCGGCGACCACACAGTTGCTCAAATGATATGGTTTCATGTATAGAGTTTGCATGAACAATGGGTGTTTCTGCAAGAGAGAGGATAGTTCTCATGGATCAAGCTGGAACAAAGTGATATTCACGCTATTTAGTTCGAATTTTTGCGTAAAAGGCTAGTTATACTAGGATAGAAATATCTGGCGACTTTTGAGTGGTGGTTTTTATCGATGGATTCTGTATTCGAATATCCTAAGGTACCCGCTGAGGGATTCGAGTTACTGGCCTTTATTTTTGTTTTCTTCTCCTGCAATGTCCGCTGACTTTCTGAAATGACATTGGCAAATGTCTTCGGTGCATTAATGTGATCTGTCACCCTTGTCACTTGCTTGGTCCTGCAATTTCGATCGCAGCTAGAGGGTATAGCTTTCCGATTTGGGAGTCTCAAGCCATGAAACTAAAAAAGTAGCGAGTGGATAGACAGTGATAATCGCACGAATTTATTAAAGGGTCCAATGTGTTTGTCATACATGCTAAAGGGTTTCGGTGTCGATGCACATCATCCGATAGCGTACAAAATGGCATGTTTGTTGAGCTAGTTCGAAAGAGAAAACAAAAAATGTTTACCTGAGTTCAAATGATGTCAAAAGCAAGTCGGAATCTACTTATAATGGCAATCTGACCTCTTGGCATGGGACCTAATTGCAAAGCAAGAAATTTATTTTTCATTAAACAGATCGGCTATGGGCACATCGCAAGCAAACCGGCTCTCTAAATTATGTTTTTCTTGGAAAGCAAGGAATGCTTTTACAAAAGTGAAAAATTGTGACTCAGCTGTCAACGACCTGCTAAGAGGTGACTCCGCTAGAACTGAGACATCTGAAGGAGCTCGTTACCGGGCTCTACCCGACAAGGGAGAGAGAAAAAAAAAATAACAAGGAACGAATTGACTGAGCATGAATTGATCAAGTTGATTGGCAAAGGTCCGACATGGGTTTCAATTATCATTTCAATACATATGTTTTTATTTTATATTCTAATATTACAGCGCAGCCAAGTTGCGTTAACTGTCTAAAAGATATTCACACAAGATGGGGGGATTCTTTTTTGATATACATGAGCCAAGCAGGTAACCAAAGAGAGCCAAAAAAAATTTTTTTTTGCCCAAGTTGGCTAGCAACTGCTCTGGAGAGGAGGACTTGAGAATATTTATATAATGGCTCGCTTACTGACCGGCCTGGAAATCAGCGACTAAAGCCTTGACAGCATCGATGGTACCAAAGATCATACCAACCTAAAAATAAAGTAAAACATGCAAGGGTTATTTACTAGGTTAAGACAAGGTTAATTGTCAACAAAACCATCAACTTACCACACCAAGCAAAACAATTAAAGCGCACCAGGCAAGCTCATAAATAGGCTTGTTGCGCCATCCGGTCAGTCTGAGGTAACAAAGGACTGGAAGTAAGAAGACAAGGCCACAGTTTGTCAAAGCACCAATCAAAGACATAAAGTCTCCAAAGTATGGGATGTATACAGCTAGAATTACAACAATGACCATAATAAGAGTTCGGATAGCGGCACGAGCAGCCCATGCGCCGAATGGGCCAAACCGTTCCTCAGTACGTAACCATTCTTGGGTTTCCAAAGAAAAGGTGGTTGTATAAATTGGGACAGCAACGACAACATGAATAGTCATGACAATCATAGCCACCAACTTGCCAGTGCCTTCTGGAAGCGAAGCATAAATGGGAGATTGAGTGGCTATACCGTAAGCCCAGTAACCGGGAACGGCGGTCAAAAAGTAGAGAACAGAGCAGGTGCTAAGACCAGTGGCCACTGCGTAATTCCATTGCCAAGGTTTGGCCATAGCATGTTCAACGTGGGGATAAGTGTTGATACCACCATATGAGAAAGCAATGGTACTGAGAGCGGAAGGAAAACCAGTCCAAATGACAGCATCGTGAGCATACTTGACGGGATCAGGGTGAGCCTTGGCATCCATTGGAGCAACGATGGCGACAACAAAAACGGCGATAGCTGTGCAAAGTGCACCCAAAGCAGAAACAATGGTAATTTCCTTCATAGTTTTAAGGGTGACCATAGGGATGAGCAACACACATCCAAAAATGATAGTCCAAGTTGCGCTGGTAAGAGCGCCGTTCTATATCATTGGTTGCAACAAGATTAGAAAAATGGCCGGTTAATGGAACCTATGCAATATACCACATAGTGGCGTCAACTTACGGTATATTTGAGCATTTCATTCATGTTTTGACCTGCCAATACTAGATACAACGTGGGACAACCAAAGACATTAAGAATGTGGAGGATAGCGGTGACCCAATATCCAACCCAACCCAATGCATGGGTAGCGACTTGCTTATAGTCATGGAGACGTTGACCAGGCTTATAGTACAAGCAGCGAATCAACACAATTCCGCTGTGAAAAGAAATGGACAGTTTAGTTTCTGTGAGTTTGAATAAAACACCCTTATAGTAAAGATGGAGAGAAAGGTGGTTGAATTTACCCATATATAGCCATGCCCCAAGCAAGTCCGAGGATGAGCAATCCAAGCCAACCTCCAAGAGCAAGGGCTCTAGGGAGACCAAGCGTACCGGTACCGGCTACAACGCATACGACGTTAAAGTATGCGGTGAAAAAAGAACCCGTTCCCTTATGGCCGACATATTTGTCTTGTTCGAGATCAGAGGAAGCATCGCTAGGACAATGATCGATGGTGGTCTCTTCGACTTTGACGATATCTTGGTTGGCCATTCAATAAGCTGGGAAGGAAGCAGTACGTCGAAGCAAAGGGAAAGAGAAAGAAAAAAGTGAGATGCTTTCAAACCAGCTACCATCTCGTTGCTGACAGGTTTATATAGTTTTTTTTTTTTTGGTCGATAAAAAAATTTCTGGGTTCTATAGTTTGGCACTTAGAGAGCTTGACTTTTAATTGTTCAGTCATTTGAGTCTCCGCAAAATAGAGAGAATAATGAAATTTTTTCCCCTATGTTTGAAGAAACCAATGATCAAAAGAGTAGCTAATGATCTTTTACATGTATTAGCCTTGTGATGTTAGAAGCAGTCCCTATGCTACTCATCCCTACTCGTCATTTCCCCTCCATTGCTCTATATACCGCCGGCCAATTAACCCTCCGCTAGCGGTCCCACACTTCTTTCTCAGATCCAGTATGCTTGTTTTGTTAGTTTATGGTTGGACCGATTCCATGCAAGAGGATAAAAAAAACACAGCTTCCCCTCTCCATTAACTCTAAATAACTGGTTCCTGGGGAGAGGTATGCTTTCCAAATCACCGGCTTTACCATGCATTTAAATAAAGATTAGATATCCTTCAAATCACAGCTATATAGACAGTATATAAAAATGGTAGCAAGCCGAGTACAAAACGACAAATTGTAAAAAAAAAAAAATGAGCCGTTTTTACCACGCTACACCGTCACGGAGAACCTTCGTCAGAGATACGAAGTTTTCAAGTCCAGAAATTTCTGGGCACATGCACAATATCTTACCAAAAAATGCGATTGGTTAAGCAATAAGTACTAAACCCCACATTTAAATCTCCTCTACGTCTATTTCGCTTGCATGGTGGACGTCTCTAGTTCATTCAGCCACGGTATGTTATGCATAACTGTGCATCGGAACATGCTGAAACCAAGGGCAAAAGAAAGAAAGAGAAACAGCAGTCCACATGGGCAGGCAGACAGCTCTATTCCATCGGATCAGCGCATTATCAGGGCGAAAAGATAGGTAACGCTGATCTTCAAAAATGATAATCCTATAATCCGTTGTCTTCGGAGATGCCTAACACCAACGTAACCAGAGACGGTTGATACTTTCAACAGCGAAACTCAGTCAAACGTAGTGCAGGCTAAACTTTGACCTCCTTTATTTTAGTCTCCATGTCAAACTGGGGCACCTGGACAAAAATCAGAAGACACTACGTTGACGTTTGCTAGATCCTTTTTTTGTCGTGTGGTGTGGTTGTTTTGACCGTTCCTATTAGAATCATGATGGAGCAGTGTTATGCAAGCCCGTCGTAACGGAAGAAAATTTATTATGCGTGGTGGTTAACCCGAATTGTCAACAAACCGAATAGGAATACAGTAAGTTTCATATTTATCCCACGATATATTGTCATCTAAAACACCAGGCTACGCTGTCTTACTAGTGGCATTTCTTTGCATACTGGTGAACAGAGTAGATGGTCTAGCGCGCAGAGTGATAGGCAGAGATAGGAGGTAGCCTTTGGTACCGACTGCATGGACCACCAATAGATGGATATGCAAAGTGACCACAGTGTGGAGGTGTATGCAACAGCGCTGCAGATGAACCAGCCAATAACCCGACGATGGCTGTATTCTACCGCCTGATCTGTTGAACTCTAATGGAATAGCGCAAAGGATAGACAGTCGGGCTTCCGGAGTACGAATGACGTGAGGTGGCGAATCGTTCAAGACATGTAGTGTATGTTTGAATGACGGTTTATTTGCAGTTGTGTGTGTTTGAAAACATCTTGTCCATCATACAAACATTGTACTTCTAATTCAAGTAAATTGCACTGTAGAAGGTAGGGTTGCAGATGCAAATAGGCAATCGATTTGTCTCGCATTACCGCAGCTCTAACTAAAGTAGCAAGCTATGCTGCATTTTACATTTTCATCCAACAAGGCAGATGGCCGAGACACTCCACTGTAGTGACCATTTGTATGCACAAAAAGTTATATATATTGTTTATATAATCAGTATATGCTATGGCTTAGCGCATTGGCTAGACATAATGAAGTGAAAATCATGGTTTCTTTTTTCCAAGGAAAAAAAAAAAATGAAAGAGGCTAAGATGCGATGCGGGAGAATTTTCTTTTTTGCAGGGTGTAAAAAAACAAAACAGGTATATCAAATCAAGAACAGAAGGAACAACATACAGAACACCAAAAATACGTTGAATAGGGTAAATTATGACATCTGCCTTCCAGACCCACCAAATCGTCCGGTGGGCAGGTCCTCTTCAAAATCGTCGTGAGGTCCATACAAGGCGGACTCTTCAGCATGGCTTTGACGGGGCATATCGAATGCCTCACCGCCCACATCCGTCAAACGAGTGAATCTTTTTCGGTTCTTGATCTTCTTACTGATAGTAACGGCTGATGCTGCAATGCATGCAATGGCAATCAAGCCGCCTCCGATACTCAATCCAATAATAGCAGGCAAAGACAGAGCGCCTGAAAAGGTGATCATAGGGCTATCGGCAGTATGGTTGCTATAGCTTTGCTTGGAGGAGACAGCCAAGTTGGTAGCGAGACCGCATCCGTATGAGTCGGCATTGGTGGTTGTGGTAGCCTCATTAGCGGCCAGGTTACGCAAAAATGTTCTTGTATAGCCACCAGGATAATCTGGGTATTGAGCCAAAATCAAGTCTTGCAACACCAAATCAGGTCTTGCCAAACCACGTGAGTAGAAGTCTAACGTGAAGGGTTAGCCATTTGCACCAGACCTGTCAAGTCTTTTCCTCACAATTCAACACTTACCATCGGCTCCAGCAGCACTCACGCCTTTATCCACTCGCCAAAGCTGATTGAATCGCTCAAAAGGTGGTGCCTCAGGATCGTTGATATACAGGCCACCGTGTTGCTTGGCATTATCCAAGGCAGTGTTGGCAGCGTTTGTCAAATTGGGCTGGACATAGCCAATCCAGTTATTCCAGTATTCAATAGTGTTATTGGGTGCGATCAAAGCAGTGAAATCAACGACAATGGACGAATTTGTCACTTGGGCTCGCAAGGTAGATGGGTCACCAGGTTGTGAGATGAGTGATGTAGTGAGATTGCCGCCTACGGAGCAGTCATGCGATATGCAAAAACGAAGTCAGATAATAGTAACCCTCAAACACCACAGATAAGGAACCAATGCTTACCGGCATCCGAAGAAATATTTTTAAAATACATGTCCTCGAACACATTAAACTTGGTGGAGTCCGGAAAATATTGCATGAAGGTGATATTGCGCTTATACGAAATATCAGCGCCATTGATGCTATCTCTAGCGGTTTCATAGCTTTGCTTGATCTTATTAAATATTTGCTCTGCCACAGTTTCCTGATTGGTAAAAAGAGAAAAGTACTTGATCCACTCAGCAAGCTAACCGGGGTGAGGTTCCGTTAGTGTTTCCCTTCCTTTTCATCTGTGAAACCTAGGTGTACTTACTGCAAGCGGAGTAGCCTGGTAGGTCAGTCCAAAGGATATACCGTTAGGATCATTGCCACCACTGGTAGGGAAAACAACCAGATCGTATGCGCTTTGAGAGAACGATGGATCTGAGACGTTGTATTGTGCTGGCTTTGACGACACGCAAGGGGAGGTCAAGTTGCTGGAGTTTCCGATATAAACAATGTCGTTTTGATTAAGAAGCTAAAGAAACTCTAGTTTAGCCACGGGTTTAATGTGACTCGTCTCCAATACAGCCACACATCGATAAAAGGCCAAGAAGCCAGCCAGCCACGCCCCTTATAAATAAAACACAACTTACTCCCAAATAGCCAAGAGCGCGAGTATCCACTACAGCGAGCTTTGTAACTGGAATATGAATATAAGTCTTTGCTTGAATGTCGGTGAGGTTGGGTTGCGTTCGAGTGCAGTATAAAATGTAGTTCTCGTTGGTCAACTTGTTAGTCACCACCTTGTAAACGTTCGAGTAAGTCACGGAAAATCCGGTTGTATTTTCTATAGTTCCAACCCCAGACGATTAGTCTCATACCATCATTCTAGTTCCTGGTTACTTATTCCCACTTACGTAGTGCATCAGTGAGCTTGCTGTTGGCAAAGAACTGTGTAGAAGTGCTAGGATCTGCGTTCAAACAGTCACTCAAACTGGAGCCAGTGGCAGAAGCGGAACTGCTCGTGGCAGAAGCGCTGACCGATCCAGAAGAGGTTGCAGAGACTGAAGCGGACGTGGGCGCGACTGATGAGGTCGAAGGTTGAGAAGCGGAGGGTAAGGTGTCCGAAGTTCCTGCAGGGGCGGAGGACTGAGTTGGAGGAGTAGAAACATCTTGAGCGCTAACAGCGAGCACACAGGCCCATAAAGCTAGGACCTTAAGTGAGAGCTTCATATAAAGTGATAGAAAGTGAAGAAGGGGAGAAGAAAAAATAAAATTGAGGCTTTGCAGATTGAAATACGCATCATTTACAAGGGGAGGCTGAGGAAGCTGTGTTGCCCCAAATCGGAGCGGCTGAAATTTTGCTCAGATGAACCTTTTTTCTGCTTTTTCCTTTAATGCTACCAAAATCACTCTGAGATGTCACCATTTGACAACTGAAGCTTTAATTCGCTGTTGCTACAATTTATACAACTATTTTAACCTGAGGGTGGCTTATCTTAGCGGCAGGCTATCTCGAAGTATATATTGACTCAAAACATGACCACTATATTATTGGTTCTCATTCATTTAATAAAGTCGGTTCACCTTGCTCGGTGCTGGAATCACTTTATCTGTTGGTACAACAACCGCCTAGAATCCATGGTCGTCGGAAGTAATCTCCGCCGTACAAGGAGCAAGAAAACAGCCAAGTTCAAATTTAGAGCTCTGGTATGCCAAGCTTTCATTAAAGATAATTACGGATTTGATCTAACACGATGGCTGATACAAAAGGAGTTCATCTTGCTACCATTCATAAGGAAGGATGACCACTGGTATTTTTAGACGAAGTAACACAGACTTTTAATATAGTCGAATGTTTTGGAAGGCAGCGTCTCTGGGAAAAGGTTTCTACAGTATGAATGTAAGTCACGGTTCACTCGGCTGGGAATCCAATGTCTTCTCCAGCCTCAAGCAAATTATTTTCTTTTAATATCCCAATGGCTGGCTGTGTGAACCGGTGTCAAATTTCAACTCAAATTGGGCATGAGGGTTCGAAAGTCACGAGACTTTCGAACATCTAATATGATAGCAGACTTTTTATCATGAATATATTCATAACAAGTAAGGCAAAGCTAGGGTATAAGCAGATAGAATTGAGAGATTCGAAGAACGTGAAAGCTCTTGGAAAAATATACTCCTTTCATATCATTTGCCATTGGCAACAGAGTAGCTGAGCAAACCGCAGTCACGGATCTTATTGGGTGCCGATTATTTCAAGCCACTCAATGCTCTAACACGACGGACGAATCCTTCAACCGCATGTCTCAATGAGCGGTCGAAAAGCAAAAAAGGACGACGATGAGTACGTTGATATCGACGATGCTACAGATACCCATGAGAACGAGGATGCTCAACAAGGTGGATACTCCTGGGAAGAAGAGTACAAGCGCAGTTGGGATGTCCTGCAAGAGGATGCCGAAGGTCGCCTGAGCAGTGTGGTAGCGCATTTGCAACAGCAAATGAAACGAAGACGACTGCTACGAGACACAGCAACAGTTCAACGTGGTATCATTCGGCACTTGTTTCTTGTCATTGATCTATCAGAGGCCATGAATGAGAAGGATCTTCGACCGTCGCGTTTAGAATTGACTTTGACATATGCAAGACAGTTCGTCACAGAATATTTCGATCAGAATCCAATATCCCAACTTGGCATCATTGTTATTCGAGACGGTGTAGCGGAGAGATTGACGGATTTAAGCGGCAATCCTACAGATCATTTGCGAGCACTGAAGAACAAGAGAAATCAAGAAACGAGCGGTGAACCAAGCTTACAGAATGCATTGGATATGGCATGTGCAAGTCTTGTCAATGTTCCCAGTCATGGAAGTCGTGAAGTGCTTGTGGTTTATGGCTCGTTGACTACGTGTGATCCTGGCGACATCTATGATACCATTGCTCAATTGAAAAAAGAACATGTACGTGTCAGCTTTGTGGGTTTAGCGGCTGAGATACAAGTTTGCCGAACCCTGTGCAAGGAAACAAACGGTAAGCTGGAATAGATAAGATGGGGAGGAAAAGCTGGGTAGGCCCAAGCACTAACATGGCCTCCTCCTTGGGCCTCTTTGTTTTAGGGTCCTATGGTGTAGTTCTCAATGAAGCACATTTCAAAGACCTCTTGTTTGAAGCTATCCCACCTCCCGCAGTCACCCAAACCAGAAACACTTCAAATCTGGTTATGATGGGATTCCCGACCAAATCAAATGACCTTCATCCATCCTTTTGTGTATGGTAAGTTGGTTTGACTGAGTCAAACCTGACCCAATCCAAAAGAAAAACCTCGATCAAGAATATTCACCGGTGTCTAATCAATTTGTTGCAATTTATTTTAGTCACTCCAAGCTGACGGTGGGAGGTTACATCTGCCCCAGGTGTTCATCAAAAATATGCGAATTACCAACCGATTGTGATGTGTGTGGCTTAACACTGGTCTCATCTCCTCATCTGGCAAGGTCATATCACCACCTCTTCCCTGTAGATAATTTTATAGAGGTGCCTTGGAGTGGGTAAGTGTCACTTTACACGCAATCTACACATACACCCCATTCAGTTTTTTTTTTTTAACTTGTCCATTCCCACATAGCATTAATTCCTTGCATTGCTTTGCTTGCCAAACCGCTTTTGACTCGTCGCCTCCTCCCGGCGCTGGATTAGAATCAAATAGTGGAAGATATTCGTGTCCACGTTGCCATAACCAATTCTGTGTAGACTGTGATATCTTTGTACATGAAGTATTACATAATTGTCCTGGGTGTTGGGCGGCTGGATCCAACATCTCAACCGTGCAAATTCATTCCAAAAAGCAACCTGCTATACAAAATGATGTTATGCCTATGCAAGGCGTTACTTCGTAATTGGTTGTGTCAATAAAAGGTACATCTGATCTATCTCATGCACTCTGTCATGTTGTCACGAGTGCGAGGTAAAAACTACAATAATTCGCCGCATGCAGCGTTAAGTGGGGGATGGCTGAATGGCTCCCTAGTCAAACCAAAGGTGAACCTGAAACCACTCCAATGGTTTCAGTCAGCTTCGACAATGAGTCTTTCGCGGCACAGTCCGCGCCATTTTGACAAATATTTTTTTTGGTTATAAATAAGCGGTTCCTTCTATGTCCCCCAGACTAATTGTTTATTCCATATTATTCTCCATGTGGTGTAAATGCAGCCTCCTGAACATCCCGCCCGAACTGGCTTTCTATATCTTATCCATGCTATCGCCACAAGATTGGCTGAATCTACGACAAACAAGCCGATCAATGGGAATATTAGTTGACCATCCGCACCTTTGGCGATCGATCATTCTGAACACCACGCCCTCGAACCCATGGAGGCGAACCCAAATCCAACGATTGATTGGCAGACATCGGCATGCGATTGAACACATCAAGATCTACAATGTCAGCGACGCCTCAGTAAGATGTATTCTCTCTGACTGTACCAATCTGAAATCCCTGCATGTGTCGGGTTGGAAAACCCTTACCGACCATGCTCTGAAGGGAATCACTCTGCTACCGAGATTAGAAAAACTAACACTGGCATGTACGAATATGGCCGCACTGGATGCTGCATCGATCACGCACTTTCTTGAGCGTGCGCCATTGTTGAAAGAACTTTCCATCTGCTGTCCCACCGCTGTGCGGTCTAAGTCACTTGCAGCATTGCTTACACCGACCCAACTCATCAGACTCAAAATGTACTCTAGTAAACGCTGGCCACTGGAGCACCGCGTGACCATCTCAAAGAAATGTGCAAGACTGTCGCAATTCGACATACTGTATTATCAAGAAGACACGACGATAAGCGTCTAACACAGGCTCAACATACCTACCCATAACATTAGTGACACACTAGCTCACCTTTAGTATTGAATTCGGTGATAGTTGTACTTTAGAACCATTTATTTCAAATTGCTAATCTTGCGTAATTGTAATATCAATATACATCTCTTCTCATCTGACTGACCCTTTGGCCACAGTGCTCCGTCTCGACTATTTCATTGGTGTTTCACTGTCTTAAAAAATCATAGAATTGTTTGGGGGAGGGGTGCTTTAGTAACCTGAGAGTCACTGCAGTTTCTTGGATTCGCCGTATGTAAGGTCTCGGCCTTGAGTCCATGTTCGATAAGCCATCTCGCTTATCTGTTTGCGAAAGGTTCGAACCCCCAAACTGCCAACTTTGATAGCTATGTAGGCGAGACACAATTTGTACCAACTAGGAATGAAGAGGTAGTATGTTGGCTCATCCTGCTGATAGAACCATGCCTTTCCATGACGACTGTATAAAGCAAGTTGTTCAAGGATATCAGCAGCCAACGACTTTCTTCTGCTGGCAATGTAAGCAAGTCCTCGAAGTTCATTTGCCTTGGTGACAAATTCACTGTATCGATCTTTCATGATAGTCTTGATTTTTCTGGATATGCTCTCGGCGGTACAGGTTTTGCGGTCATTGACCAGTGCAACCCCAGCCTTTTCCAGCTGCATGGCGTTGGCGGGCTGGTCGCTGGAAAAGGGATGAGCCAATATTGGTACACCATTAAATACAGCCTCATGGGTGGAGGCAGTGCCTGCATGACTAATGAACAATTTGGTGGATGTGTGATTCAAAACTGAATATTGTGGAACCCATTGCTCGAATAAAAAGTCTGGATTGTTGGCAAATCCAAGGCTATTGATAGTCCGATTGGATTGGAAAATATCCAACATACTGGTGGGCAGACCCACGGTTGCCCAAATGAAGCCGTCAATGATGCCATGGCGATAATTTGTCAATAGCGCTTGAACGAGGGCGTTGAATTCATGTTGGGTAGGGGTATACATTTGACCGAATGCGACGTAAACCACCTTCTTGTGGCTATCGAGAAAGGTTGCCAATTTGTCGCTCAGGGGCTGCGGTCGACTAATGAAAATGGGTCCAATATAGTGTTCGTTTGCATTCAAAGGGTAAGGATTTTCAAGCGGGAACATTTGGTTGACCAGCTTGACTGCACCAGAATTTGGAGCCACATATCTTAACTTTTCAACTTTCACTTGTCTTCGAATCCTTTTTAATTCAATGTCAAGTGGCCAAATGCCTAAGAGAATACGAAGCCTTTCTCGAATATACCGGTAGGATGCGATCAGTCTGGTTACATAGCTATGGCTGACTATATCCGAGTCAAGCGTGGTCACGTCAGAGAACTGATCTGGGGGCTCTGCAAGTATTCAAAAGTCATCAGAAAGAAGTGTTTAAGCGTTCCCAACTGGCGCACCGCCCGCTCTCCACATTATGTTGCGACTCCTACCCCTTCCCCAGTACTTACCATCTCGTACTTTCACTGTCGATGTCAGCACCACCGTAATATTGAGATGATGGGCAGCATCCATACAGGCAATAGCAGTGTGGTCACACATCATGACATCGGGTTTTTCCGTGTTCATAAGATGGATGAATTCGCTCAGCTGGTCTGCAAAGGTATCTTTGAAATACGACGTCAAAGCGGCCACAACCTTCTTGGAATAAGCTTGTTCGAGATCAAAGAAATCATTGAAATGAACGGATGTGTTGGGATCTTGCAAAGGAATGAAGCCGACCTCGGGGTAATTCTTAATGTATTTTTGATTGGCCTGGTAACTGACATAGGACACATTGTAGCCTCGAGTGCGCACCAAGTCTAAAATTTCAATGACCCAAGCAGTATGAGAAATACCGCCCATGGTGCCTAAGAAAAAAATCTTGGGCTCAGTAGCCACTGGTCCCTGAGCTAGTACCAATGCAGCATAGAGTGGTAACAAGTACCACGAGAATTTCATAATGAAAGGAATGGAAGTGATGGGTGGATGGAGCCTGCAAAGGCTAAAGAAGTTGTATATATGGATGGTCGGTATTGCGTCGGTATACCATGCTGCTGGAAATCCTTAGGTTGGTCGGCCGGCAGTGGGTTCGGTCATAGCACCAGTTTGCTATAGGCCTAAGCATATGAAACTGCCTTACCCGGTTGATCATCCGGAGAGCATGGTTTAAGGAGAACCCGTTCTGAGATTTGCGTCTTACGGCGTGGCCCATGGGTAATCAACCTGAGTCATGATGATTACTCCCCCAATGTCACCCAAAATGTATGAACATCCCATTTTGAGTGTCAAGGGGGGCGGGACCAGGGTTGACAGATTTGCCTCATTCTCTTTGAATACCAATGTGGCGTACAGTGACACATCAGTAATTACACTGTCAATTGAAAGCAGTAAAAGCTGAGCTTGGTTGGGTGATTTTTCTTCTTCTTTATCTCTCTCTTCTTTCTCTCTTTCCATGGACTGCTGCCATCCATTTACGCCTTTCATCGCTTTACCAGCTACGTGTGAGCTTTGCCAACAATGGTTACCCAACCACACTGTAAGTAAGCTGAATCCGCTCCTACCATCTGACAGCTTGACTCATCCTATTGTTTCAGGCAAACTGCCCACGTAAAGGAAAACCACCGAGCCAATGGAGTCGAGGTGACAACGACGACAATGAAGATGACATAATAGTGGACACTGATATCCAACGAGTGGAAGCATTTAAATGCTAGCATGTGCATACATCGATTCTTCTGTGTTTGTTTCTACCCACTCCCGTATGCTGGCATATCGGCGCATTCTTTCTTTAGCAAATCTATACCATATCACTTTTTGTTTTCTATCACCTTTTCTTGACACGCTTTCAAAGCAACTATACAAAGGAAAAACGACAAGAAATGAGTAAAAAATTATATATTATGCCCAGTGGAGAAGACTGTCAATATTGTCATGTCAACAAAGAGGAACACGAGTTGAGCGGTGAACAGCATGAAAGAACCATGACATGACAACGAAGCCTATTTTGGCGCTGTGTGGGTTCAGAACGTCTCATAAATGGGCAAGTGTCATATTTTCGTATTGGTTACTCAAATTTGGGGCAAAGAAATTTATTTCATCCTGCCTTCCGAGGTGCTGAGCATTTGTTCGAAAAAAAAAAAAACAGAGGCACAAGGTCATTCAGTCAAAATCAATCTCTTTGTGTAATTTCTGTTCTGCCAAACTGCGAGGTTCATGTTCCACAATAGCAACACCTGGCAATCCAGCATCCTCTAAAGCCCTGCGCATCCAAGAGATAGAAGTCAATGTTGTCATCTTGTTTGCATCGCCCGTGCCAAAGACATTGACATGAAAAGCATTAAATTTGGACCGAATCTTCCGTCCATTGTTCAAACGACTTGTGCGTTGCAGCAACGAGTCGGGAGGGTCTAAAAGTTGTAAAAAACGTTCCGTCGGTTTGTCCTCCATCACTGTCAGTCGGAGGTATGAAAGGTCAGCCGCTTGGTAATTTATCCACAGATCAACATTGTCATTTCGGCCCAATAGGTAGTCAAACCGCGCCTTTTCATTCGGTCCTCCCACCACGCTGATGATGCTATTTAATTTATCCAAAGCCGCTTGCGTTACATAAAGCTGTTTCTTATCCAATAATTTGGCAAGGTCCGGTAATATACGTCTTGATAATTCTTGTGTAGCCTGCAATTGAAGGGCTTCTCCGCGAACCATGGCTGGCGTAACATTTGGGCAATGCACCAATTCGGAGATCAATGCTAATACCGTGCTGACATCTAAATTCAACTTCTCAGTCATTGGGTCTTGAACATGGTGGGAGTAAACTTGGGGTAACGTTGTGGATTCAGATTTGGTGTATATGGTAACTCCGAGATTGCATAGTTTACCAATGATGTGTTCATCCACATACTGGTCGTCTCCCGGCGCGATACGCATGAAGGCAAACACCACGGTGGGTTTACGAAAATGAACCAAATGTCGCTCAGCACACGCCATGAGAGCCTTGGCTTTTCGAAAGATGGCAAGACTATCCTCTTCTTCCACTGGAGCCTCGTCGTCCGAGTAGTCACTTTCTTCTTCCAAACCAGCAATCTCGTGCCGCAGTCCTTTTGCGTTTCGCGCATTAACTCGAATCCACACCAGTCCGTTCTCCGCCACCACGTCCACTTTGACCGACGCCATGCTACGTGCTGAATAATGCACCGGCATATCTTTGAGAGAGAAGTTCTTCATGACCGCCGTGACATGGTTGGATTGAGAGATCGCTTTATGCACCGCATCCAAGTAGCAGAGATTGGAGCTAATCACTTGATCTGGTTGCTGAACTTGGGAATCTCTGAGCTATCCGGGAATATAAATTCAAACCAAAAAAAAAAAGTTCGCTTTAGACTGGACGGATGCACAGAGATCGCCATACGACAAACTTGACTCAATTACCTTGTTCAGGAATTTTAATTCGGCCGTGACCATTTGATCAAAGCGGTAAAGGCCATCTATATGACCTTGCTCTAACCAATGATCCACATCCTGCTTAATGGCAAGGCAGTCATTGTACAGTTTATCAATTTGATCATTGAGTGATTCTACAGCAGGGGAACTTGGCATAAAAAACAAAAAAACAAAAAGTGTGTGCAGCTGGTATGTAATATGGTATGGGTTAACAGGAAAAACACAACAACAAAAAAAAAAAAGAAAGAAGCGAAGCGAAGCGAATTGAATTGCGGGGTAGCCAACGTTATAATCTATAGCTGTGTCCTCTGGCTACTACTGTCTCTCCGTCTGTCTTATCCGTTAAAGAACCAATGTCCTTTATCTTTATTCTTCAGGTTGGCTCCTAGAGTGGACAGCATTGACCGCCGCTTCTGAACATCTGGCTTTGCTCCCTTTTCTATATCGGTTGGGCGTGCATCGAAGCCAACCAGATCTTCTCCTAGACAGCCCTTTTCTCGCTCAATGCCAATGGTAGACCATTCGTAGCCATAGTCATGGCCAGGGTACACCACCACTCGATCATCCAAGGAACCCAGCGTATGTCGCAATGTTTTCTCCATCATTCGGCGGTCGCCACCGGGTAGGTCCGTACGCCCACAAAGACCACATAACAGCGTATCTCCCACCACCAACCTGGAGCGATTAATCAGAAGGGCCTGGGACCCAGGTGAATGGCCCGGTGTGTGGATGAAACGAACCTTGGTACGTTTGCCAATGTTCATGGTTTCAGTCACTTCAGTAAAGGTAGGTACCAGTCGGTTGGCTGGGATTGACGGGTTCGCTTGCGCTATATATGGAATGTCCAGAGGATGAACGTATGCTTTAATATGGGGGAGACGTTTCAGTAAAGTGGCGAGACCAGACACTTTGATGGGTATATTATCATATGGAGGCGGGGGCGATCCTAAACACCACGTTGGGGTCATTAATTTAATATTGGGATCATTTCTTTCATGCGCCAAAACAAGGGACCTTTACCTCCAACATGATCAAAATGGTAATGAGTGACAACAGCGGAGACGAGGGTATAGCCTTGGTCTTGGATGAATTTGAGAATGCCATCGACGTCCCAACACTAGGGGCCAAGGGGAGAAAATTCTCGCATCAATACCAGTAAAAAGGCAAGATCAAAACCATGCAAAAAAGCTTTACCGCGTCCACCACAATGCAATGCTTGGTGTCAGTGTCCACAATAACGTATATAATATTACGCATGATTTGAGCAAATTCGTAGATTCTATTCTGAATAGGGTTCTTGATGCTACGTTCAATGCAGATATCTCGTCCTGGAATGAGTTGCAGCACTTGGAAGCCTGGAGATTGATTAGTTGTCGTGTAGGTAAACACCTGTCCTCCCGCGTACTTACCCATGTTGGTGTTATCCTTGTCAATCAATATTTTTGCAATTCGTGAGCTAATATCCATATTGTGCGGCTCCTAAAGTTTCAATGAAAATAAAAAAGCGTGGTTCAGTTATACATAAATGGCTAGTGGGTTGCATCTCTCTGCTCACCTTTTCCAATGCCATTTTATACATTTCAATGGCCTTTTCGTACTGTTCTCGTTGCGCAAGAGCTTCAGCTTGGCGAAAATAACCCTATCATGAAAATGCATATGTTAATGCGGGCTTGTGACTGAAACCTTAACAGCCCCTTTTAGTACCTTGGCCCACGTTGGCTCCAGTCTAATTGTTTCTGCAGCGTCCTTCTCAGCCTGTTCCCAGTTCTTTAACTTAAAGTACGACGCACTGCGATTGGAATGTAACAAAGCTGCGAAATGGGTATCATCTGTTTCCGCGATGGCAGTGATTGCTCTCGAGTAATCTTGGATAGCTTCAGTATACAGTTGGCGTTCGAAATAATCATTGGCTCGACATGTGTATTTATATACTTTGTCGTTCGGGGCCTCTGGATTATACTCTTCCATGGGTATATTAGAGACAAAGGTGAGAAGGAGGAGGGTAATAAAAAAAAAAGTAGTGGAAAAGAAAAGGGGTGGTTGCTTAAAGTGATAAGGCAATGAGCCTCGTGTTTTTCCAATTAGCCATTCAAGCAAGGGAGACACATCCACCAAAAAAAATGGGCATTATCAATGGCCACATTATGTTATGCCATGCCATGCCATCTCATACCAACAGCGCACCAAAGGTATGGAGAAATAAAAAAACAACAACTCATATCTTGATTTTTCAACTTGATCTTTTTTTATTACAATTCATCATTCCAGTAAATACACAGATATCCTTCAGCTGTGGTGTGGCAAACGTACCAAAATTACCATGGCCTAAGCCAGAACGGAAACGCAGAAAACCTTACACCGAACACAGGCTAATGCCAACGATGATCCATCTATAAACTGAAGTAAACAAGTCAGTGATACTGTATTGATAAGTAAAACATACGAGGATGTTTGCTTAAAATTTGGCTTTGGAGAATGTTTGCATCAGGAACCCTCTGCGTATTATGTGAGCGTTCTAGTTTATGCTATCCATCATGTCGTTTCGGACTGGTGCCAGCTTATTACATCATATCACATTCCGGCCAAAAAACAAAAAGAACAACAAGAGAAAATATTTACCTGGAGTGAGTGAGTTGTTAAGAAGAAAAGAGAGGAAAAGTTGAAGGTTTTATACTCTTGAGCCACCGGCCAGAAAACCTAACAAAAAAATTTTTTGACCCATTTTCATTCGCTGGTATGAAATTTTCATCCTCCACCGTGATTTCCCCAGTCACGCCCCGGGTAGCTTCGCTCTTTTACCAACCATGTATGACTTTATGGAATATTGCCTGAGGCGCTACTATAGGGCTTCAGGATGGAACGAGGAAAATCAATATTCAAACCTATGTGCTTGGTCTCGCTCTATGCTTGACTTCACCGTCCCTCATGGCATCTCGCTGGTGATGTCCAAACTGCCATCACAAGTGTTCAAGCCTTCTTACACCATTGACGCACTTCCATCTTTGAACGGAAGCATGGGGTACCTCTATACCTCAAGACCTTTGGACGTTGATACCAGTGCTACGGTTGATTTCAGAGAAACATTAAATAGTATACGATCGTCTAAACCACTCACAAAGTATCGCCCAGAGAATACTCAAGGTACGGACTGTTGAGAGTACAGTTAAAATTCGGCGGTTCTTTAACCTCTCCCACCCATGTTTACTAGACTACTTGGTGTATGGACGTATGTTTTTGCCCGGAGGAAATCTCGAAGCTGTGTATTCTCGCCGCTTGTCAGAGACCACACAGTATATTATTACCGCGTTCAATGACCCGCGCAAACAAGGCGCATCCTTGGTAAGTATGATATATTGGAGGGTAAAGAGTCTCTCAACATGGTCAATTAACTCTCAATTGAAAAATTGGTTAGATTGGTATGCAGTTGCAGCGAGATGTCGGTCGTCACTGTACCGAGTTCTCCTACACGACGGATGATGGCTTGCTAGGACTTCGAGGATTATATAATTTTGGTCACGACCGGTTCGCCAATGGTCAATGGTCAGCTGGAGCTGAATTGTATTATGGCATACTGGATAAAAGTGGCGGCTGTAAGTACATGTGTATACACAGAAGGAATTGCGTATCTGGGGTGCCGCATTCTGACACTGTCTTTTCCTTTAGTCTCAACTGGCCTGCGATACCAAACGCTACCAGCATCTTCCGTACCACCCATCAGCGTCACCTATACCCTCAACCCTATTGTCGGCCACATGTCTACAGCATACGTAGCTCAAGTGTCGGATGAACTCGTACTTTGCTCGCGATTTGAATTCAGCATTTACAGCTATGAAAGTGACTTAGCAGTAGGGTTCGAATGGAGGAGTGCGCACAACGCCATGGCCAAGATGAAACTAGCTGAGGATGTCAAGTCAGTCGAGCAACACGCCGCTGAGACTGGACATATTGTGGTGTCGGATGTGATGGAAGAATCAGACGGTGTCACGAAACTAGAGGGCCTAGTCAAAGCTCGCTTTGGACTCGCTCAAGGCGTTGCATTGATGTGGGAAGGACGCTTCAAAAATCTGTTATTCAGTCTAGGTATCACTGGTGATCTTAGCAATCGCACCAACCCCATTCGATCAGTTGGCTTAGAATTACAATATTTCGCTTAATGACCCAGACTGCTTGTATCATACCACCCTCTTTCTTTACATTCAACAAAAATACTCCCAGTAAATTTGGAATGGTTTTTTTTATATAATGTCATGATCGAATGACAAGTAGGAAGGAGACCCATCGCATTGCATGGAGCAGAGAAAACTGTAAAAGTTGGGGGAAAAAACAAAAAAGTCGCCAAAGTATGGTGGAAAAAAAATGTTCATTGTTTGTATTTTTGGGTTGCATAATAGGATGGCTGAGACATTGAGTAATGTTTTTAAACCTTGAAGCCGCGAGATGAACGCTTGCCACGAGCCTTTTCGAACTTGCGGCCCTTGCTGCGAACATAAGGCTTCTTGTTCTTGTGGGGACCCATACCGAAATGCTTGACGGCTTCACGAGCGTTGACGGCACCACGGAGGAGGACGGTGTTGGAACCAGTGGGAGCACGAAGAGCAAGCTGATCAAGGGTGAGGACTTCACCACCGGCCTTGATGATGCGAGCCTTAGCGGTCTTGGTGAAACGAAGGGCAGCAATGGAGAGCTTGGGGACCTCCAACAAGCGAGAGTCATCAGTGATGGTACCAACAACGACAACGGTCTTACCCTCTTGGGCCTTGGTGTGGCGAACAATGCGGGAGATAGAGACGGGAGGTCGGTGAATGCGGGACATAAAGAGACGCTTAAGGACAACCTTGTTGAAGTTGGCGTCGGTACGGCGAGCAAGGAAGCGGTAAAGCTAATGTCGTAAGTATTGGAATGAAAGTGAAATGGGCAAGAACATTGGATAAAACAGGATAAAAGAATCAGTTAGTCACATTCGATATACAACACCACTCAAAACCGCAGTACATACCTTGACCAAGAGAGCCAAGTAGACGTCCTGAGACTTGGGAGCCTGTCTGTGGCCGTTCTTGACGTGGTGTCTCTTGATATCGATACCCTAAATGGAAAGAACAAGAGCATCGTTAGTTTAAAGGCCACTGGACTGTAGAGCAATGAGAGAATGGTGTTTAATGTCGAATGGGTGTTGTTGATGCCGGGGAAGTGGTGTACAGTTGAATGGTAGGTAAGTAGATTCCCCTGTGCTCATTGCCTTGAAAATGTTCAAGCAGAAGAAATGTCGACAATTCCACCTCCAATGTATTCTCACTTGGTCGAGTGGTTGTAAACGACCTTCATCCATCGAGCGTTGCATTCATCCATCTATCTATGATCCATATCGATGCAATCAATTCATACCATTACGACTGTAGAAGAAAGAGGTCGGTGCAAGGTTTCGCCGCTGCATGGCCCCCTTTGACCTTGAGCCCCACTTGCCGCTGGCTGGCTGGCAAGCGGTACTATCCGATTTCCAAATTTGGCGGAGTCACACGTCACGTTTCTTCATGGCAATGTTCCAATTTGCCAGTAACTTCCTGATTGTTGCAGACAAATACTTCGTCTCTATCATCCATCGCATATCATCATTACTCATTAACATTGTTCAAAGCGTTGTAAAATCAGTTGTTTGCTAAAACATCATGATTTTGCCACCAGTGCACCGCGACGTTTCTGATAGCACAACTGAAGTAACTTTTTGACAATCGCTCATAGTCCTTTTCCAGTCACATTAACACGTAACAATAAGCAACGATTCTCAGGTATGACATTCCATTTACTTGTCTCTTTTTTGCCTTTGCTGCACTCCAAACAAAATTGGGGCCAGGTGTATAATCCATCAAACATCTGCCTGCGGCTCGGTAAAAGTTCACTGGGTACTTCTTATGTCGTAAGATGTTTGGTATAACTCACGATGACCCAGTCACTCTATCATCTTCAGTCGCTCATATATCAGTGCGACCTCTTTATATCAATTTTGCAGAAGCCTAATAGGTTTTTTGATAATAATAAAAAAACAACGTAGTTGCTCACATGTCTGTAATACGATGGCTATGAACCCAGTCCAAAAATCTTCGTCGTTTATTGCCGCTCAATACCTCCTTCAATTACATGCCATAATCCATATTATGTGAAGGATCCTATTTTTTGGCTCAGCGGTCATTGGCCTTATCAAGTGAGTTGGGATAATATAAACAATTTCGCCTTTCAGGGGCCGTGGGCTTCCATATTAATTAATACTAGTAACCGTTAGCTGCATATTCATTAATCATGGTGAAAAGCCGCCATGTACCGGTTTAGTTTTTCTTCTATCAGTTCAATAGACCAATCTTTCCTAATTGTGCTCAGTACACACACCCCCTTGTATACAAAACGGTAATCACATTGATCTTACTTATCGTTATTACGACGGTTCAAAATACTATGAATAGAGCCACTTTGGAGCGATTCCTCTCTTTATCCAGTTTCTATCTCATTCAAGACAATGATATTCAACAACGGGCTCAAAGCCCTATTGACGTTGGTGGCCTTATCTGGGTATGTCTTGGCTGCGGTTACCCACCAGCAGGAAAGTGCGCCTGCCATCAAGATTTTTGGTAACATGTTACGATAATCAACCTAATACGATGCATCTTACATTTTTCTGACTCTGCCTCGCGTCTTCATTAGCCCCAACGGTGGAACAAGCTATGGTCAAGAATATGGGTAGCATTCCTTTTGCTGTCAATCCCTCTTATATCCTGGCCGGTGGTAAATCGATTAGGAAATATAAGAAACAAATTGGCACGGCAAATGCCACTTTCATTATTCTTGCACGCAACAGTGAAGCAGGCGGCTTGGTCCAGTCCATAACACAGCTCGAGAAGGTGTTCAATTCGAAGTATCATTACCCATACGTCATTTTAAACGATGCTCACTTCACTGAGGAATTCATAAACACCATTCTCAACCTCACTGAATCCGAAGTGAAGTTCGGCTTTGTCGATAAGGACATGTGGGGATATCCTGATTGGGTCGATCAAAAGAAAGCTGCTGATGGTCGTGCAAAAGCTGTTAAGGACGGTGTTCCATATGCAGACAGCGAAAGTTATCGACATATGTGCAGGTAGGAAGCATGAATCGTCAAAGGTCTGGGCAAAGGGAGATGAAAGTGATCACCACAATCTAACGACCAACAACCTTGCATTCTGGAATGATTAGATTCCAGTCAGGCTACTTTTTCAGACATCCTTTGATGATGGACTATCAGTACTACTGGCGTGTCGAGCCGGGTGTCAGCTATCACTGTGATATTGACTATGATGTCTTTGGTTTAATGGCTGCCAAGAAGTACAAATATGGTATGATCAGAAGCAAGCATATACCGCATATTAATTATTTTCGCTGACCCGTCTCTATCCTTTCTAGGCTGGACTCTCTCCTTAACTGACTACCCAAACACCTTACAAACCTTCTGGCACACCGTTGTTGATTGGATGAAGCAACACCCCGAATGGATGACAACAGGCAACAGCAGTATTTCAAAATGGATACACGACGACGACAAAAATGAGACATACAACTTTTGCCACTTCTGGAGCAACTTTGAGGTCGGTGACTTGAACTGGCTACGATCAGAGCAATACGTATCCTATTTCGAGCATTTAGACAAGTCCGGTGGCTTCTTCTACGAAAGGTCAGTCACCCCTGTGATGAGCATACTCATCTTTAAGCTCACACAACTAATTTTTTCTTCATGTAGATGGGGAGATGCTCCAGTTCACTCTGTTGCAGTAGCTCTTATGCTTAAAGAGAGCGAAGTTCATTTCTTCAACGACATTGGCTACACCGTAAGTCAAAGCAATAGGAATCATTTATAATTGTTCTTTTTTCCTAACGCCTCCGTCATTCTAGCATCCTCCTTTTATGCACTGCCCAACCGAGCCTGAGATGAAATCCAAGTGCAATTGCGACCCTACAAAGACTTTTGGTAAGTGGGGTTGATCGCTGACTTCATCCATGACACCATTTACCAACATCTTGAACAGAAACAGGCACTTGGCAATGCAATCCTCGTATGGCTAAGATTGCTCCCAATTACAAGTGGTCTATGGACCAACTAAAACAAGAGACTAAGCCATTTGCTTACAAGAAATTGTAAGATACACCTATTGGTTGCTTTAACCAAGAGCATCCCTGTTGAACAGTCAGCTGCATCGCACATACTGTTCAATGGCCATACCACGAACCTAGAATCCGCGTCATCCATTTTTTTTCCTCAGCCAATCCCTTTTACTGTATCTCCCGTCTTGGGGCAGGACAATTCCAACATTCCTGCGATAACAATAAATCATACTTGAAAACTTTATTTATTTTTATTTTTCGAGTGGTGAATGCTGCCTAATAAATACATTATTTTGTTTCTGGCCATACAATAGCGGAAACTAATCTTACTTGTACAGCACCAGCCTTGATTTTTTTATCACTGATTTCCATTCCACTCAACATTCTATCCTCTTACTGATTCATTTGTCTTTCTTGTGTGGGTCATGTCATATTTGAACAAAGAAGGCACCAGCAATGCCACAGCCCACACTGCGGACAGATCCCAAGCGGCTGAGCCCACCACCATCAACTCAGATGGCAGTGCTGATGGATTGGCAAATCAAAAGAATGAGTCACCTACGGCAAACGATGTTCTATCAACGAAGGAGGGTAATGAAACTAAGGGCAAGGAGTCAAGTCTTCCAGAAAATAATCAGCATGGCCACGTGAAAGGGGTTGGGCCACCCGTAGCCGTTGAAGAACGACATGAAAATCCAGCATGGGAGAAATACATATCGTCACCAGAGCAACAGCGAGGTATGTACCGCTGGCAATGATCTGTAAAGAAATAGTACAGTAGAATATATATATTGATGATCATTAAGCTAACCCGTTTTATTGCATAGCTGTGAGTCCCACAGACGCTCAAAAGAACGACAATCTGGAAGACACACCGTCGAACAAAATAGTATATCTTAGCAACGACGACCTGACGCTATTTACTTCATTTCCGGAAACCAAGATTGAAACGCATCTGTTTGACATAAAACCATTAGCAGAGGAACATTCATCGGCACCTCCAACGCAAGACCATGAGAGCGAGACGTCGACGATATCAAAGGCATCCATCGATGCAGACCAAGAAAATAAGAATGAGGATGGCTTTGATCGTGAAAAAGGACTATTTGGCAAAAAAGGATTCTTTGTTCAGAAACGGCGATGGATGTGCAGCTCATGCACACGGTCTTCTATTGTCATTGTATTGTTCGGCCTTATTGTCTGCATATCGATCACTCTGGCGTTTATTTGGCCCCGACTCCCTCTACTGCAAATCCAAGGTGCCTCTCTGGTTGTAGGTCCGACTGTCACCTATAATCCTTCTGCCACCACCTATATGGCATCGTGGGACCTAGATATTGCCACTGATAATCGAAACAACTATGTTCCTGTTACGGCTGTTGTCATAGACACGTTCGTACGACATTCACTGACCGGTACCATCTTTGGTCGTGGCCAACAAAGCAATGTCGTGTTGAGGCCGGTCTCTCAATACAAGATGACGCTGCCCATTGATATCAATTATCAAGCCAAGCCCGATGATGCTGTGATGAACCAGATATTGGCTTCCTGTGGTCCAGGCCCAAAATCAAACACCACTCAACCACTGGAAGTTGACTTTGGAATCACCATTCATATTTGGGGTCTAAGTTATTTTGGATACACCCCTACCATTACTCTAACTCCACCTGCTGGAGGATTTATGTGTCCCTTCAGCGCAACTTAATAGATATACTGGTCCCGTCTCGATCGTACTGTATTAGCGGCCGGCCATCGTTGAGACGGTGAATGAAGTGTGAACATGTGCATTATACCTATAGCTCAATTTATTATTGTCTACAATTACTTTCTATAAAACAGGTGACGAAATGAGTGAAATCTGTGAAAAAAAAAGGAATAGTCATAATGATGGCAAGTTTATAAACAAAAAAGAAGAAAAAATACATGCAATGCTACTTTGATGTGGCCGCATGTCAAGCTTGGTTCGGAAACTGTACCGAAGTGATGCGAATCATAAAACCAGTCCTTTTAATAAAGCTGCAGCAATAATCTTTTACTTTTCTTTCCTTCATCTACTCCCCCCTTCTTTTTTTCATGTCGCCACTGGTTGGTCTCCCATTTCCTGTCATTTTGGTCATCCTCAATTCAGCTTTATATACTATGGCAGCAACTATAGGGTGAGATAAAATTCGAATATAACAGTACAAGCAATGTGATGCAAAATAATAAAATTCGTATGATAAATGGACTCTAATCAGTTGCTCTCAAAAAGGTCTTCATGTACCCCTCCAACCACTTGGTCAAATAGCACCTTATACCAAGATTCCTGCAACAGTTCCATGCTGTCAGTGAGCTATCTTAAGTACAGAAATGCCATTGCGTCTGAACTAAACTATTTTCTGTTTCCGTTCTGTTTTCTAGTTCTTGCGATCCTGATTCGAATTCATGCCAATGGCGATCATGTACCATTTTGGGGATCACGCTTGGCTGTAAATATTTTCTTTTTCTCTCTACACGGCTTTTGGTTACTTGACCTAAGAGGTATCTTTTAATATATATGGACATGTCACTGACTTCGATTTACGGCCATGCATGTAGGGGATAACGCCACCCATAACCCGCCAGTACCCTGCAATTCTACCACATATTGTCCCAACTCTCAACTATCTTGTCAACCATTGCTCGCTATAGGATCGGCTTGCGATACGGTAAGCTGCGTTGAAAGCTTGTTCCAAATATATCTGTCAATAGAGTCACAAACCGGTATGGTCACTTCTCTTTTAGGGAAGAGACGATGAGTGTTCGGGAACTTTGTCGATCTGCCTCAACTCTGTTTGCTCGGCTAAAACAGCACAGCTCAATCAAATATGTAGTACGGAAAGGTAAGATGTGTTGCTTTTTTTTCTTTATTCAAGTATCACCGATTTTCTTTTTGCTTTTAAACTAAAAAAATCCTTCTGTAGTATATCATTTGGTGGCCCCTTCATTAGTAATGTACATGATAACTGCACATCGGGGACGTATTGTTCTGCACTGAACGGCGTCGGTATTTGTCAAAATACGCTGTCCAGCGGCCAAGGCTGTCTTCAAGATCGCCAGTGTGAGTCACAAAAGTGTCAAAATGGGCACTGCCTGTCCAATGAATCCGCAAACAACACCTTGCCTCCATGGCAATGGGCTATCGTGGGTTGCATTTTATTTGTCTTTGTGATGACCTCCATTGGTATTTTTTTGGTGCTTCGACAACGACGTCGTCGGCAACATCAGGATTTGGGAGACCTGCACTTCGACGACCCAGCTGCAGCCAAAAGTTTCTATCAACGACAACTAGCATGGTGGAGACGAGAACAACAAGCAAACAATAAGGATGTCCAGGAAGAAGAGAAACCGGTTCCTGCCTTGGACGAAGTCTATCCTTACTGGCATACCAACCACACCACCGAGTCATACGACAATTCCATTACCCCTACGCCTTCTGCTTTTCCCATTCCACCCAGAAGGTCACCTGCACTGTGGAAACAAAAAGGCAACCTTGCTAGTCGAGCCATAGAGAAAGTCAACATTCGGCTGTCGGGAACTTTTACACCTACCTTTGGCGGTAGCCACGCTCGAAAATCCAAATCGCCCATCACGCCTGTACCAAGCCCTGCCATTGCATATCCTATTGTAGATGATGATCAGGAAATGAAAATATGGCAGGCCGTCAGAAGTGAGACCCCACCTTGGCCGGTCCAAGGGAAGGGGTGGAAATTTGCACGAGCGGCCAAATAACAACACAGGAAATATATAAAAACAAGTTGGTGAATGGGGGTCCTGGTAGCAGTCATCGCGCACGTCTCCGACCAGCCGTGAAGGAAATTTATTGCTTCAAGTGTTATAAGCTCGAAATCTTTGCTTGTCTTATATTAAAAAATAAAGGAAACGAAAATTAATCAACCATCGAACTAATTACTTGAAGGTTTTCTTGTTAGCTCTCTTCTTTACAGCCTCACCAACCAACATGGCCATCAATGACCAGTTTCGACATAAAACGGTTTGCATGCTCAGTTGCCGGTTTTGTTCCATGCACGTATGCAAGCGAGGTATGAAGGCGATGTTACTAGCCGACATGACTGTGGAGCTGTATTCCACCGATATCCCGCCTTCCTCGTACGTAGTAACCCACCCTTGATCCGTTCCCAGCCTCATTGACTAACTTATATGTATACGGTGGCGAAGTGTGCAGCTGGTTGGGACAGATTACAAAACGAACATGTGCAGTTGTAAAATCCGCGATATAGCGTGTTTAACATGGTAAGGCTTTGACAGTTTTCTTGGCATAATAACGCCTGTACTGACTATGTGTTAGTGGTAATGCTATTGGATATCATATCACCATGCCTTGCCAGGTGTGCTTACATTCTTGCAACAACGGGCACTTTTGGATGTTTCGGACGGAAGGCGTTGTTGCTGCTGATCGGTTGAATGGTATAGGTAAGTCAGAGTGGGGCGCAGATTGTTTGTGGAGCTCAGCCTCTGCCAGCCTGCCTGACTGACTTGTAAAATTTTTCCATTCGCATAAGGGAACCGGCTTTTATTATGGGGTCAGCTACCGAAGCCAGACTTAGATGGAGACAGTCCGTGTAAAATATGGACAAACGCTGCCAAGGAAGCCATAGAAGATCAAAATGAATACCATGCCAATGTTATTAGTGTTGGTCAAGACTTGTATGATTCAATGTGTCGATGAAAAGTAATAAATATCTAAATTTAGCGGGCCTGAGGCACCAGCCAATCATATTGACTTCATTTCGGCCATAATATTCTAAGGCACAACCCAGCCTCACAGACTACGCCTTTCTCAACTCTGTTCATTCAATGGTCAACATTGTGTCGCTCGCTGTTGGCATTGTAGCTGCTTTGGCTACTACTGTCGTAGCTCAAGATCCATCGTCATCAGCTGCTCCATCACAAACCTCATCCACCCCAACTCCTAGCGGTACTTCATCCGCCAAGTACAATTTGTCCAATCAGGGAGGAAACGTTCTTTCTGGAGAGATTAATGGTACGCTTTCGTTTTTTTTCTGGGCCGTTTCCTACTCGATATCAGCAAAACATTATCTCGTTATTCTCAAACGCTTGTCTAACTTTCATATTTAGTCTATTTGATCTTTTACGGTGATTGGAGTTCAGAACAGTCGCAACACGATCAAATCACATTCATGAACTTTGCAAGCAATATTTCTAGTTCCGGCTGGTTCAAGACTCGTAAGTATCGGCTTGAAGGTAGATCGTAGAGTACTTGTAATTTACATTTTACGGTTATTTTAGTCAGTGAATATACCGACAACTCGGGCGCTTCGGTCACTGGACCGTTAAAGCTCTACGCTGGTGTCAGTGATACTGGTAGTCAACAACTCAACTTGACCGATATTACTGTGCATGAAACCATCATCACCGAAGCCGTCAAATCCGGTTACTTGAGCACCACCAACTCCATCGATCCCAATGGCATTTATGTCATTTTGGCCGGTAGCAACGTTCAGGACTCTGATTTCTGTACCAAGCACTGTGGTTACAATTACCATACCGACAACTATCAATGGATCTTTATTGGTTATCCTGGTCTATGCCCTAACAAGTACGATACTATAATTATTTTTTTTGAGTCGGAAAGATCAAATAGGTTAACCCAATTTTTCGTTTTAGCTGCATTCCACCTATCAATGCCAATTCATCACCCAACGGCAGCCCAAGTATCGATGCTGCTATCACAATTTTCTCCCATGAACTTCAAGATATCCTCACTGATCCCCGTAACAATGCTTGGGTCACCCAGGATAGTACCACTTCGCCTCCTACTGAGATTGAACTTGGAGACTTGTGCTCAGGTTCAGGTGTGTCTATGCAGCAATGGTTTGGTGCTTACAAGCAAGTGGCTGGAAGCAACGCGAGCTACAACATTGAAATGGAAGGAAGTCAGTACCTTGTCCAGACGATTTGGGACAAGAATGCCAACCAATGCTCATTGGGACAATAGCCTGCCCCCTCCCAGATTGTCTTTTCTAAACTGTTGGTTACCCTGTTGATCCAAATCTTCCCCTTTCTTCATGATGTACTATACCTTTGCGCTGGCCAGTCAACGACCAGCTCAACGCAACGCAATGCAACAACTCAATCAAACCCCTCACTCCTTCTCATATCACCAACTCCAATGTCATTGATAGTACTCCTCTTTTGACATTTGTATGTTTATTTTTTTCCCCCGTAGCCCAGACGAATAAAAAAAAAATCCAGTGTGGGTTCAAGATTGAGCCATTCACATTCTATATAAACACACAGTTGCTTACCAACTATGAGGCTAGTTATCGCGTGCTTGACCTCCTTTAGCATCGATCGCACCCTGCAGCATGGTTGTCTTGTCGCCTCCCTGCACAACCACTCTGCCCTTGAATGATACGGTATTCATCTGTTGCTTTCGCCGCGGTATGGAAGACACAGCTGGGATCAAAAATAGAACACGTTGCTGGTCTGAAGCACGTCTGCGCGATCCGCTTTCATTTATTTGTTTCAGAACGTGAATCTCGGAAACACAGCTGTTGGATGGATCGAGGAAAACTGCAGCTTAGTGAGCGACACATAAAAGTGAAAAAAAAGGGTAGATAGAGGGTGCGGTGCGGTGCGATGACGCCATAGGTTCTATTCGTTATTACGGTACCCCTTTCGTGCACTGGAAAAAGATGGCGGGGGGGGCCAATTCAATCGGTGATCGACATGATTAGCAACAGGTTATCTTGTAGCAAAACAGAGTGATTTATTACACGAAAAAAACTGGTACTTTGAATGTCTGTTATAAGCTGGTAAGAAATTTTTTTGTTTTTATATTGGGGGTCCTAGAGTGTTCCATTCGATGTTCTTGCGAAATCGAAAAGGCCGATCGAATGTTGTGCGACCAAACGGAGTGGGGCAGACGGGTGAAGCACGGTACAAAGAAAAAGAACACATGCGTTCGAGTAAGCCGAACAGACGCCTTAGAGTCGGATGATCCGTGAGGTGCGTTGAATATCAACGCGAAATGCCTGAAGAAACAGCAGTTCTTTTTGAGTATGAGTTGGGGAATAGAGACTTTTCTCTTTGAAAATGGCGTCATCCATTCATTATTGTGAAGAAAACACACTGCCCAGGCCACGCGCCATATTTTAGGCAGTGGTTCCCTTCCTCCATCGACCGAGCTGCCCCACTCGCACATCTCTCTGCCTGCCGGATACCCAGTGGAAAAGCCTCGCACGGCTATTGTCAGCCGTTGGACCCCGTATTGGAGGCCGTCCTTATGCCAACAGGTTGTTTCACTGAATAGCGATTAAATCCGTGACATTTCAAATCCATGAATGAGGCACCATACTGATAAATTGGGTATATCCATCAGCTGAAGCAGGCAGAAAGAGAGCAGAAATGGTGGAAATGACAAGAAAAGAATAAAGAAAAAAAAAAAAAGGGGAAATGTAAAAAAGTAGAATATAAAGAAAATTTTATTTGCATACTTGCTGATACCAATTTAGGCACGAAAACCACAACGTCATCGACCCAACTTGGTTGAGACCAGTGAACCGGTCAAGCACCAGCGGTGGGGCGAGCTATCACTACGCCTAACGGTTCTTTATAGTATTCAATAGAAGAAATGACCATTTTTGCTGGTGAATTAAAGTGCCCAAGGGCTTGAAACCCATGTACTTATTCAAGCAAGCTTCTTTGCGCCCAAGTCTCACGTAGAATCTGATAGAAAATTCAGTTGATACATACATTAGCGGCCATGGAAAAATTAGTTGAATGCTTCTTCCACACCCTCTGGGCTGGTTGGTTTTCTTTATTATTGGCGGTTAAGATAGGATATCTACTACTGCCATGATTGCTGACTAGATCTTATACTGACTTTTAGGAATGGGAGGGAATAATGAAAAAGATATTATTATATACAAAAAATTGGTTGACTGGATGAAAGAAATACATGGAAACAATAGAAGAATAAACATGAAGAATTATAATCCCGTTTTCCATAATGGGAGGACTAAAACATCCTGTAGTCGTTGTTGTTCCATTCAGGTCGATGGTGTAACTCGTGTCGATCGTGGTGAATGGAATTCATGCTGACGGTGAAGGATTCTTCTGGTTTACTAACTTCGTTCAACGCCGGAGCCATGTCTTTCAATTGTGACCCACTCAATACTCGAACGATGGAAGACTTTCTGCGGGTACGACCAGTGCCGTCGCCTAGTGTGCTGGCAGCGATGATGAAGCCGCAGCTTTCACAAAAATGATTGCTGTGGAGGTTTTCATGATCAACACGAAGCGCCTCAACAAGTAGCGTCGATTCGATGATTTCAAATAATGGTGTGAAAGCCTAAATCAAGTAAAGCGTAGATTTTTAACATCTTGGGCTCGATCATAGTCCGCATGAAGAAGACGATCGAAAAGCGGCCAACCAAAAAAAAAAAAAAAGGGATAGCTTACATCGGAACGGTCCCCTAAGAAAGAAGTCAATTTGAAGAGATTCATGGTCAAATTGACCAAGAAGGTAAGAATCAAGCACACCAAGGATTTTCGTGCAATATATTCCACGAGTTGACTTCTTTGGTTGACAATCATATTGGTTCGTACTTTCAAATGTTTGAATAATCTGCGATGCATAAATAAGTGAGTAGACTGTGGTACAAATAACCCATAGCCTTTCTTAGTTACCTGCGCACAAACAATCCACTTAGAAACAGGTTGGCCAGTGTGTCGCCAATGAAATTAAGAATAAGGACACCGCTTCCCCTGTCAAAAAAAACACACACAAAAAATTTCACAGGTGAGTCTCAATTACTTGTTCTCGTGACATGGACGAGCCCAAAACATACCAAGTCGCCCAGCATGTTTGCCCGCTTTCAATTGGTTGCTCCATCTGAGCTTGAATGTTGTGGAAAGTGAGTTCGTATGGCCAGTCAGCGAATCGAACAAGGATCAAAACGATGCCAATAATTTGAATAAGTCGAGAATGGCGTGAAGATTCCAGAATCAAACATCGCTTCAACATGACAATGTAAAATAAAAGGTAGGTAATGTGCCAACACCTGAAAGTGAAAACAACGTATGAGTAAATGATGAATCGTTGTTTGAAGCTCAGTTTGAATGGGTATGGGCTTACGAGACAAGAAACGGAAAGATCGAACAGCTGGCTATTTCAAATAGCGGGATGCAGCCGTATACCAGTCGATGAATAAATAATACCGTAACTTGAGCCAAGTTGATAAGGTGACTGTAAAATGTTAGTCAAACCATGTGTTGCCAATGTTACAGCAAACTAAGCGGAAAATTTTTCTTTACATTGACCCTTTGGTGCGCCTATACTGCTTAAGGCAGACCAATGCATTCCGGACGCAAACGACGCACACTATAAACATAAGTATCATGTTGATGCGGTCTAACACTCTTATGCCATAGGCAGAAACTTCGACCATGGTGAAAAGGAAAGAAAGGAAAGTGAACAAAAGAAAGTAAAGAAAGCGAATCTTACACCATGTAATTTTCAGGCCCCAATAACCAGAATGTGGAACTCAGAACCTTAATGGGTTCACACCTAGAAACCCGGCCGGTCATTTGCCTTTTTCCTTTATACTTTCGCTTTCACCTTAGCATCGGTAGACAGAAAAGAAAGCTTCAACCGTTTTATATGTTTGACCAGCCGATGAACGTTACTCCATGTAGGTGACCGAGATTGGAATAATAGAAAGACGATTGTACTAGGCCAATATTCACGTACGATGCGGAGTTTTCCTGGCTGTATCAGAATTGGGAAAATGCGGGGAAGCCAGGGAAGATCATTGGTGATAAGTAGCCTAGCTCTTGTACATTCCCACAGCCCAACTTTGCCAGCGTTGAACCAGAATTTCCTGGCCTTTTAATCGATGGAATGATGGTTGGAAAAAAGCAGGTGGTGTGTCATATTTTGAAGTGAATGCCACGCACGCGTGTGGGGCTCAAGTATGACCTGACGGACATTGTTCATCTTTAGATTACTTCCATATTATTGGTAAAACAAACACTGCAAGGGACAAACAACAATCGATCACTACAGGTTGGGCAAGTTTTACTGCTGCTTTGTTATAGCTTGAGAAAATTTAACCTTTGGGAACAGCCGGTACAAAACTACAGTTTTGCGGGAAGACCTGCTTCATTTGTCTGATGGGGCTGGGCTGTACCAGCAAAAAAAATTTCGTTCGCATTTGGCTTTTGCCCTTGCGCTCAGAGTATCGTTTTGGAAACCGTGCAACCCAAGGCAATAAATTTAAAGGGCCCACCACAGCCATGTCATATTCTGAAGCCCTAGTGGTGGGAGGCAGAGGAGGAAGTGAAGCAAGTGTAGCTTTGGACTATACTTGCGGATTTGGGAATTCTCCTATTTTCCCTAACCATACCGTACACGTCTCTTCGACCAAGTCAGATTGATCCCACGGTGGCCGCTGTAAAAAACAACCACTCATTTTGACTGGTTGGAGGGCAAGCATAGGCATGAGTACGTCAGTGTGTTGGATGGCGTGAAAGGAAAAAAAGGCCTGGATCGTCTTACCAATATTACTGAAACAAAGCCGCTGCCAATCATCGGCCGGTGAAATCGGCCGCGTATTCAGGCTGGCTTTGGCACCAGTACCAGCTCATGGCTGGTCAACTTATCCCATAGCTACTGATATTGGCCATAGTGGCTACCATGGTAATGTTTACAGTACCAGGCAACTGTGATACAAAGTTATATATGAAGAACAATTGCCATAAGCAGGTGTTTAAGCTTCACGTTCACACACCCACATGTTTGGCATGACTCTTGGAAACACCTGTTTCTTTAGTTTTGAATGCCGAATACCGGTGACTTGCCCCATTAGAGTCAAAGGAACTTCGTGCTCCATATTTTTATAGTCCGGATGCCGGTTTTAATATGCTTTCTTTTCTTTGACGACCCTTGTTGGAGCTCAGACGTTGAAATGATGCGTGCCGCTGCTTCTTGGCCGCCTATCTGAATGGAATACATACTTGCTTCGATGCGCATGCGGTTAAGCATAATGTTTTCGGTTAGGCTGAAGAAAAGGGTACTTTAAAGTTATACCGGTTTCATCACTAATCATCATCACGCGGGTTCCCCGTCGACGAAGGCGTGAACTACATCCAATCTGTCATTTACGATCAGCCCTACCCATTGTCCCACTACATCCCCTAGACTTCATCTCTCTACTATTCACCAATATCGTGGAATTGGGCAAACCGTATCTATCTGTAACATGTTAACCCAGCGCCATAGTGTCACACACATGTCAACCCATTGTTGAAAAGTTTCGAATTGCACTCGTTTTTTATTGATACACGTCTACACAGAACATTTAAATGTCCTTGACAACCAAAGCTGTAAATAGAAAAAACAGACAGTCAGTCATAAAATCTCAGGCGCGGTTCTCCTAACTTAAAAAACAATGGTGCTTACCAGGGGGGAGGGATTGACGGAGCTTGTCAGCCTTCTGGGCGTCCTTGACGACAAGAGTGTACAAGTAGCGAGAGCATCTGACCTTGAACTTGACGTTGTCAGCGTTCTTCTTGATGGCAGCGGCTAAGGCAGCAAGAAAGGTTAATGACAGCAAACGAGATCTGGCGTTCTGAAAAAGCTCTCACTTACACTTTGCGTCCTTTCTGCGGGCAATCTCAAGGAAGTTCTTGATGTCCTGAACTTGCTTAGGCTATAGAGGGTGAAGGAAATCAGGTCAGTTAATGCCAACAATACAAAATTAGGTTGTTCAGCTTGTGGTGCACAATATTATGTATACAAATGGAGACGCGAACTCCATTTTCAACATAAGATGGCGTAAAAGTTCTTAGAACAGATTGCAGTCTGTCGAACATCTCGATGGTTGCTTTGTAGTCGAATAAGTGTAATGTCGTTACCAAAGCGATTAGGACCATTGAAATTTTCACCATGCCGGAATGTCACCACTTTTTTTTTTTGCGCAGCATTGAATCCATCCATCCATCCAATACAGATACATCTGTATCGAAGACAGGCCGTGTATACAAGTGATCAAAATATATACGCACCATAGCTACGTATTGGAGAAAGAGGGATTTCTACACTTTCTACACTGTGCCGATTTTCTACCCTCCTCTGGCTGTTCCAGCACTCACAGTATTCACCGCCAGAGAAATTGTGTCGTCATCAAAATTTTCCACGGCTGATTTTTCATCTAGGAAATTTTGAACAGCTGCCATCATTCTTTCAAATACGACTCACCGCCGTAGTTTATGCACTCCTAAACACCCTATTGTCGTCCTCTAAGATCCTACATACCTCCTTCACATGCTATGGCAACGATGCCAACCACTAATTCCTTTGCCCTCTTCCGTTGTATCACTAATTAATCACTATTCAGACAACAAGTCACTTCATACGTTATAGTTTATTAGCACATGGGCTAGAGGGAATACCAGATTACTCTTTAAACGTCGATGGAAAGTTACAGTAAATAATACATCATCTGAAAAAGGTAATGCACTATATTCTTATTACAATTTAAAGGTGCCTTGGAGTCTAATGTCGCGGCTGGAAGCACCAACGTAAACGGTGAAGCTACCCTTGACGACCTCCCACTTTCTGGCATCACTGTTCCAGATGCTGAGCTCCTTGGCAGTGTCAAGATCGAAGGTGACCTTAGTGGAGTGACCAGCCTTGAGGAAGACCTTTTCGAAACCACGGAGGACCTTGGGGGGTTCGCCAGCAGACTTGGGGAAACCAATGTACAACTGAGGAATTTCAGCACCGTCGACCTTACCGGTGTTCTTGATGGTGGCAGTGATAGAGACCTTGGATCCAGCTGCCTTGACCTTCAAGGCATTGTAACCAAACTTGGTGTACGACAATCCGAAACCGAAGGGGAACAAAGGCTCGATGTTCTTGGCGTCGAACCAGCGGTGACCAATGAGAAGACCTTCAGTATAATCGATTTCAGCAGCATCAACGGCATGGGCAGGGTAGTCAGAAGCCTTCTTGGCATTGGTGTAAGGAAGACGACCAGATGGGTTAACATCACCGAAGAGGACATCAGCGAGAGAGTTACCAGATTCTTGACCGGGAAGACCAGCATTGATAACAGCCTTGACCTTGCTCAACCAGGGCATCAAGACGGGGCCAACGGTGTGAAGGACGACAATGGTGTTGGGGTTGGCATCAGCAACAGCTTCAATGAGGGCATCACCTCCGTGCCAGAGAGTGAGGTTGCTGCGGTCACCAGGGTTGTTACCAACAGTGATGTAGCCTTCACCGGAATCGGCATTAGCAAAAACGATGGGAGTTTCAACAGCCTTGGCAACGGCAACAGCTTCCTCGAGATCATAGTCATCAAAACTGGTCTTGAACTTGGTAGTTCTGGAGGCACGAGCCTTGATACCCTTATAAGGGTCAACAAGGTAAGGGAACCAAGCAGTACCTGAACCCCAACCTTCAGCAAGAGTACCTGCGTCACATCCGTGATCAGCGCAAGCAGTTTCGCTATAGCTGCCAGGGGATGGGCCACCATCGCTACCAATGATACCAATGGACTTGGGGGTCTTAAGAGGCAAGGCATTTCCATTATTCTTAAGAAGAACGACGGAAGCAGCACCAATGGAACGAATGGTCTTCTTATGGTTGTGTTGGACATTACGGATAGGAGCGTCAGTGTAGTTGACGAAGTTGACACCAACCGATGGGTAGTGAGTCTCTTGACCAAGCTTGTACCAAGAAGCAAGAATGCGAGTGGCCATATCGTTAACACGAGAGAGAGGAACAGAGCCATTGCGAACGGCAGCTGTCAAGTTGCCTCCAAAGTAAGAGTTACCACTGCCAAAAGTGATATCACCAGGCATGGTCATGTCAAGACCAGCCAGGGCAGAGGGGACACCAGACATGGTAGCTTGCCAGTCACTCTGTACGAATCCCTTGAATCCAAGTTCCTCCTTAAGGATGCGGTTAAGGGTGTCGTCGTTCTCACAGGCATACACACCATTGACCTTGTTGTAGGAGCACATGATGGAAGCGACACCAGCTTCGACGGCACGAGCGAAGGGCCAGACATAAACTTCGTGGAGGGAACGATCATCAATGTTGGAGCTAGACTACGAGGATGAAAGATGGATAGTTTAGTTTAGATGTATATGGAAGTATGCTGACTTCGCAATATCTTACAGTAGTACGTTGTTGCTCTTGTTCATTAAGAATATAATGCTTGGCTGTGGCAATCTGTGTAACAAGTTGGTGATGTTAGCATTTGGTGGTTCACATATGCACAATTTGTGATGGCAATCAAGATTGTGTAAGTTTTGTAAATTCGATCTTGCTACTTACCACACCTTCAGCTTGAATACCTTCAACCGTCAAGGCACCCATAACACCGGTAAGATAAGGGTCTTCACCAAAACCTTCCCAGTTACGACCAGCTTCAGGAACTCGAGCCATGTTCACGTCAGGGCCCAACTGAACGTTGACACCCTTTTCTCTGAACTCAACGCCCATATCGTGACCTCGTTGCAAAGCGAGGGTCTTGTCAAAAGTGGAGGCAGTGTTCAAACCAGCGATACCACCAGACACATTAAAGGCAAAACGAACACCAAGAGGAGAATCCTGAAGACAGAGACCAGGGAAGTCAATCTTGTCGACGGGAGGAGTGTTACCGACACAGGGACCGTTCATCCATCCAATACCAGTGGCGACATCGACTTTTTGTGCCAATGACAAAGAGGCAACGTCCTTCTTGGCCTTGGTGTAGGCATCTGTCCAAGAAAGTTGGGCAGCATCGACAAGGGAGAAAATGGCAAGGGCCGCAGCGGCAACCGATACGTGAAGCTGCATTCTTTTAAAATGTAGGTATCTTTCGCTCAAGGAACGGGAAAAGGAGAGTTGAGGAAGAGAGGAGAGTCGAGAGACTGGTAAACGAGGGGTAAAGTGTCTTATGGATTTCCTCGGTGTTTGCCGACGTCTTATATATACTTTTTTCCCCTTCCCTCGATCAAGGCTGAAATGAATCAGGTTACCACTCTCTCGGGCAATCCAATATGTTTTAGTGTGAGGATCGACCCTGGTTGTACGCTCCTGTGTGTGGGTAAAATAGGCATGGGTAATAGCTGCAGATTTCCCGCCAATTCAATGTCCCGCAGACGTCAAATTGACGAAGCTGTCTGGGCTTTAAGCATTATTCCCAAAGCTTATACAAGAGAATGGTTCTGATTGTGGAAAGTCATGGTGGTGCCTGGTATAATGTTTTAAAAAATTATTCAACGAAGTTAATTTGCACAAAGTGAAACATTTTCATGTGTCTCCGTTCTACTGTTATTTTTTTTTATTACCCCTCGCAAGGTACACGTTAGGCCACACTCAAACGTGATTTTACAGCTTGAGAGTAGTTTGCACCAATACCCCGCGAGATTGAAGAATTACCCGTCCCCCACACTTTTGATTGTCCGGGACTTCTGAGCCTTCTTCGCCTACTTTGGCCAAGTCGAGTAACACGTAATCAAACTGATCGCTATATCCATGCTGCCGAAGGTAACACCAGTGATAAGATCCGCATACCCAGGTGGCAATGAAGCACATTGGTCTTTTATGGAAGACGGGAAACCTTGTCCAGCGAGGAAGACCCAGTATACCGTTTCGTTCCATTCCCACTCGAAGAATTTGGTATAGTTGTTGTTAATAACACCGCTGTGGACATTCCGTTCACGCGGTGACAATTTAATTGGACAAGTAACATTAAAAAAAAAAAAAAAGTCGTTCGGGAAAAATAAAGGTATAATGGCAGAGCAAAGTTTTCAATGAATTTTCAGTCTGGTAAAGTGATGCCTTGGATTTGCAGATGACGTTCGTAAAAAGCTAGTAGCTAATGCCATAATTTTTTCACATTAGCCCTCCCAACCTTACTCCAAAACTGGAGATTTGTAAACACTGCTTACCTGTTCAGCGCATTTTCGCTTGATGACCGACAAAGGATGAATTGTTTTTCGCCCATCGTACCTACGGGGACAGCCGAGAGTTGATTAGCTTAGTCAAGGAGGTGGTTGAACCTTCTTTTTCATTCTCTCTAAATTAGTAAGTTTATTTCCGATGGAGAAATGGACGCAAGTGGACATTCAAACAATCATCCAAACTCCATCATTTTTTCATCCGCTTACAACGGGAAAACTCACATCCTGAGGGATTAACAAGAAGAACCAGCTTCACTCACCATCGTATGTAGACTCGAACGTGGCCATCAAGCGTCTTATCCATACCTTCCACAGATCGCACAGTTTTCCAATCCGCTGAGAACGATTCATCCTCAGAGGATGATTCAGTGGGTGCTTTGAAGTCTTCGTCTTTAGCACTGTCGTATTCGCTACTGCTTCCATCAGTCGATGACGCGGCTGACTGTTCCGAAGCACTGGAATTTGGACTCAATCCTCGGCGCGTATCGATTTGAGCCCAGAAATTTTCTACTAGTGATGGATACAAGCTGTGGGATGGGTTATTGGATTGTTGGCTTAAACGGAAGGGAAAGTCAATGGAACTAGTGTTACGGCTCTATATCCTCTGCGTCTTCCCACGTAAAATCGGGCTCCGTGGAGTCTCTCCATTTGATTTTGTAAAACCTTGCCCTTCGCTAATGGGATTGACAATATCAATGTCTCATTTTGTCTTGCTTGTGGCATGTTCAACCCAACGTCGTCAATGTATCTTACCTTCCATTGGAATTCCATTATATATTCTGGAGAAAATGATGTTTTGGGCTGACTCGAATCATCGCTGTCATCTCCCATGGGCGCGATCGTTAAGGATGTTGGGTTGAATGAGCTGAGAACCCACACTGTTGGGACGATTTTTACTGTAAAAATAAAGCAGTGAAAATTGGGGGGAGGGCACAAATTTTCATCAACCAAAAGGTGGCTTCAGTCAGTGTCCTTGTTTATGAGGATGAAGACTGTTTGGCTTATAAGCTGACTGTCTCAAAACAATGATCTAGTCAAGCATGATATGCTGACAAACTATGTAGGCGTGAGGTGGGTAACATACAAGGCTGCCGTGACATACATTCTCAAAAAAAATTGTACAGTTTTATTGTTCTCTTGTGCCAGATAATAGACACGTTCTTAATTTTTGAAAGAAACTACTGCAATCGAAGGATTTCTATAGATTGCAAGTAATGAAACAGTGGTTTTTTGCTTTGTTTGGGTTTTTTTCTTCAACCTGCAACTCGGTATATCTCATGATTGTTGCTCCAAAGACAACTTTTCGAGCTTGTCGCCGATAAGAAGGCAGCCAGAGTTGATCAAAGCAGTATCAAGATCTTCCAAAAGATCGTCAGCATCCTCAATACCCACACAAAGGCGGATCAAATCTTCAGGAAGTGATCTCTCTGCACGGACGTGAGCAGGGATAGAAGCGTGTGACATCTTGCATGGCATGCTAGTAACGGAATCCGGTTTAGTCTCCAGTGCTTCAGTTAATTTCGGCTATACGCCGACGAATTCACTCACCTGATGAGAGAGTTGACACAGCCAAAGCTAACGCTGATTCCCCAAAGCTTGGTACCTTCAACAATGCGCTCTGAGATACCAATGTCACCTGTTTCAAAACTCAAGACGGCTCCTGGACCAGACGAGATTCTCTTGTGTAGCTCGTACTGAGGATGCTTTCGGCTTCCGGGGTAGTGAACCTTCAATCCTCGATCTTCAAGGAACTGTGCTACTCGTCGAGCGGTTGCTTGTTGCTTATCCATACGGACAGCAAGTGTCTTGACACCTCGGAGGAGGAGCCAGCAATCAAATGGTCCAAGACCGCAGCCAGTGGCATTAATAACATAATAAAGTTGCTGTTGGTTGCAAGAGGTTAGTGTCTGATCAGGCATTAGCCATAACTTGCTCAGCAGGGTCAACTTACATCGGCAACAGAGTCCTCCTTAGCTCCAATCACACCAGCCATCAAATCGTGATGTCCTGACAAATATTTAGTACCGGAGTGGTATGAAATATCAGCACCGAGCTCAAGTGGTCGCTGCAAGTAAGGGCTCATCATAGTATTGTCGACAACCACAAGTGCATTTGGACACTTTGCGTGGACATGTGCCGCAATGGTAGGAATATCGGCAATTTTGATCAATGGGTTAGTGGGCGTTTCGAGTAGAACAAGACGTGTTTTGTGGGGATCAAGGTATGGGAGAATGGCATCGCTGTTTGTGGTGTCGATGTGGTGGGTTTTGATACCTTGAGACTTTTGAAGGAAAGATAGTAATCGGTTGGTTCCGCCATACAAATCATCGCCAGCGATAATTTCCTCGCCATTCTTAACTAGTCGAGTAATGACATCAAGTGCACTCATACCACTAGTAACAGCCAAGGCTCTCTTCGCTCCCATGATTTTGGCAAGATGATTTTCTGTTTGAAAAGTTAATACATCATGTCCCATCCAACATACCATGCAACTTTCCTCTCAACTTACCAAGGTGTGTACGTGTTGGGTTTCCTGAACGAGAGTAATCGTATTCTCCTTCAGCATTGGCACCCTTTTGCTTAAAGGTTGCAGACTGGTAAATGGGTACGGAGGCGGCATTGTATGGATCGTCCTTGTTGTCTACAGTAACAACCTCAGTAGCAAATCGGTAGCGACGAGTAGAAACGGGTGAAGCTGGTGAAGCTGGTGATGCAACCTGTGCTGACATGGTGAACAAGCTATATTCGAGGAAAGGAAGGCTTGAAATTGACAAGCCAAAATTTAAACCCTCTCCCCATCTATTTCCCGAACCAATCAACGTCGTGTAATCTGCGAAGGCATCATCGGTGTGACTGCCAATCTCAGTGAGTCAATCCTCGTCGGCAAAGACGAAACACGGATGCTTTGCTGTAAGAAGGATGAACGAAACGATAAAGAATAACAAATAAATGTATGTTTATCTTTTGCATTCTTAGTATGATACATAAATTCATCCAAACGCTCAGCATACGGTAACCAGGGCACTGTTCTCACCTCTTCTGGATCGTATGACTCTGCAAAGTGGTGGAAAAGTAAGCCGTACCTATCTTCTTCCTGCACGAGTTCCTTGCCTTATGTTCTTTCTAAAAAGGCTTTGATGCTACTTTACAGCTTTGGAATACCGGGAGGCTTAGTGCAACAGAGGACTATATAATCCATCATTTTGATGTATTTGGGCACCAGTAAGGGGTAAGCAGTTCATTTATATTATGATCTATTTTAAATCAGTAGCACGCTCTGAGAGCATAGGATACTATATTCTATAATCCGTGTGTCTGGCTTCCCAACCGTTGTAGTGTTAGTACTGACTCACATGCTTAGATTAGAAGTGCATGCTTTGTTCCTAGTCATCCAAACACCGCGCTGCTCTCTATCCTTGAAGGTAAATTCAAATCAAAAAGATGTACATCCACTTTCAACTGCAATACGGTGCGTCAAGTAAATGGGCCCTTGAGGAACAATCGGGTTTTTCTCGCTATCAAGATGCTTGCTTGTGTAAATGCGAGAATAATTTCCAACTACTTTCAAGCATCAAACTTTTTCAGGCATGTTAACAAAAAAAGTCCGGTTTCTCGTGTTGTACCGTACCCAGGTGGCTAAACCGACCTCTAATTTTCGACTGGTGTCTTCCCTACACCACGCATTCTAGCAGAAATCGGCCTTTCAGATAACCAAAACAGTGGCCTAACATCATAGCTTCTTTGGTTTGCCACATTTTGGCGATCACCGCCATACAAAGCGAATTCAAGCGTATAAAAACAGGCTTTGCTCTCTGTCAACTCAGATGGTTTCACTTTAAGCATTACGTTGGAACACATCATGTTTTATGCTACTTTCTACGCATGAGCAATGATATATCAGGGCATGTTTTTGATCAAGACGATCACGTTCGTGCAGAGGCTACGTTGCTCGAGAATTTGGTTGATTATTTTTGTGGCAGCGATCTGCAATAAAAAAAGACGAGCTGAAATTGACTGGCGCAAGAACGTGACCTGGTTTTTGGCAGTGAACTTGTTTGATTGCTCTCACCACGCGGTGGTGGGGGATGCCTGAACTTATGCGACCCTAAAATAAAATAAAAATAAAAAATGATGGGCTGTTGCAAGATTGCCTCTCTCTTTTACTACATCTTCGATCTCTTCACTCTCCTTTACTTACTATGCTCGCCATCGAAGAGTCCGGCAAGGGTTCTCCCTATCTCGCCATTAACACTAGCTATCATCGACCGTTTTTACACACTAATCATTATGAAATTCCTGACGACTCCAATTCGCCTTTGTCCGACTCTTTTATTGATAGCCTAACGAGCGACGACGTTGCCGACACGAGAAAGCTGCTTTTATTAGGGTATCAAGATACACTATTTAACACCGGCTTACCAAGATGTGATCTATCATCCAATTCCACAGGTGCTGGTTCTCCTAGAGATGAATATGGTGACGATATGATGCCACAACCATTTCATCAGCGGGTAGGTTATATATTTCTCACTGACCCATATTGTTGATCAACTTGAACCGATTTCATCAAATTATCACCTCTTTTTTATTTCGATTGATGCCATCGATTCCTGTGTTCTTCTTTTTATTCGTGCATTTATCTGACAAGCCATACATATGTACTCACAACGACGTTATTATTAATTATGCAACAGGATGACTTGAATGCAATGATGAGAAACTTTGAAAAATTACATACTGGAGAGCGCACATTTCATATGGTCAACAATGCTCCATCAATGCTGGCTCCACCTCAAATTGACAGTGGCGTAGACCTGGACAATCTTCCTGTCGATGCCCTAAAAGATAGACTGGCCGAGAGTAACAGCATAGTGAACGAACTCATGTGGCGTATAAACAGCATGAATCTCGAGATGGATAAGGTAAACAGAAAAATCGAGTTCTAAACAAGTTGTTACAATAGCTTTGCATCATAAGTACTCACTCCGTTTATGCTGTACTCTTCAAAAAAAAAATTTTTTTTATCTTGTTAACTAGGGTCGGCATATAACATCGACACTCCATGCTTCGTTAGGTGTCAAGGACTTGGAATTGCAAGATCTTCGACAAAGGCTTTCCTCACTCTCTCAAAGTTATGACGGCCAAGCGGCGGAAATGGCCAGTTTGAAAGAGATATTGCATGAACAAGCTGGAATAGTTGATCATAATTTGGAGGACAATGATTCACGCCTCAGCATCTCTATCTCTCGTGAACTTTCAGAGCTCAGAACCACTGTACATAGGTATGTCGATGTACCCCTCCCCCGAAAAAGAGCGATTGGTCCAATTATTTACTTTATGATGATTTTTTTTTCCACACTCTCATTACAACCTATTCCTAAAATTGACAATTTATGATCCTGGTTTTTTTTTTTTGGCTTTCGTGCAGACTATCTCAAGAGCTAGAGGCGGAACAGCTTCGTAATAATGTGAAGGACCGTGAAATCCAACAATTAAAATATGAGGTTCAGGTTAAGCAAAATGCTCCCACGCCCGAATCTGGCCATCGTACCGTTACTGCTCCGGCTACTGCCACTACTCCATCTGAAGCCGCCTTGATCTCTACCATGTCTTCCACTGGACCTCTGGACTATGTAGGAGACGGGGCATCTGTTAGATCGTCACTCAGAAATCGCTGGGCTGCTGATGAGGTATGTGGGCTTTTAAACTTCGGGATGGCCCTGTGTTTTCACTCGGATATTAATCTTAATCCTGTTCCTAGAAATCGATTCCTCAAACTCAAGCACGTAGGCTTTCATATGATCGCCGCGAAGGTCGTGGATTATCTAACGGAGAGTATAGAAGAATGCTGGATAAAAACATCAACGCTGATTGGAGCGTAAGTAAATGCGCCTATCTTTATATGTTCAATACTTCAGGGTGTCAAACTCCTTTTTAGATTATTGTAGATAAAATCATACAAGATACGGATCAACAAGCCTCGATATTCTTACAACACAAGCTAAAATCTGCTACGCCAGAACAGCGCGAATCTATCTTCCGTTCCATTCAAAGGCACTCATATGCACTCATGACCAACCGATTTGGTAACTTCTTGGTTCAAAGGTTTCTAGAACTGGGCACTAGAGACCAAATCAACCAGATTGCTAGTACCATGCAAGGCCACATTGTTAGTCTTGCTATGGAACCCTTCGGTTGTCATGTGGTCCAAAAGGTAATTACAAAAGTATAAGTGGCTTCACGTCTCAAGATGATCATACTCATCATGTTATTGTAGGCGCTGGATAATGTAGAGGAGGCTATCAAGGTCGAATTGGTTAGCGAACTATTCCAAAATATCCCGGAAACCATCACTCATCGATATGCATGTCACGTCTGGCAAAAGGTGTTCGAGATCCGATGGAACACGCATCCTCCAGCTGTGATGTATCATGTCAACAGCGCACTCAAAGGTCGCTGGGCACAGGTTGCTCTAGATGAGACCGGCAGTCTAGTCATCCAGAATATCTTCGAAAACTTGACTGAGCATGATAAGGTAGGTCCTAAGGTCCAACTGGGATGCGGGAGGGAACCACATTGAAATGCGATTACCAACAATGGCATCGGCTAACAAACACTATCCGTTCCATAGCGTCCAATCCTTAACGAAGTTCTTGATAACATCGTCATGATTGCCAAAGGTCAATGGGGTAACTGGGTGATTCAGCATGTCTTGGAACAAGCGGAAAAAGGAAGTGACCGCGATCGAGCATTCAACACAGTCCTCGACGAAGCTGTCCAACTCAGTACAGATCAATTTGCTAGTAAGGTAGTTGAAAAAGCTTTACGAATCGGCGGTCCCGCCTTCCTTACAAGATTTGTCGATCGAGTCTCGGTTGGGAGAAAAGATAGACCCCGAATCCCGTTGATCGACATCGCTTCAGACCAATACGGCAACTATGTTGTGCAATGGCTGATCATGAACGCTTCGAGCACTGAACTCAAAGTCGCCGTTAGTCGATTGATCAAGAGACATATGGTATCTTTGAGAGGTAGTAAATATGGCCAGAAAGTAGCATTTTTAGTCGAAAAGATCTTGAGAAATTATGATTAGTTATCAAACATTTGAACAAACCCTTTAGTCTCTACTCATCCAATTGTAACAAATAGAAGTATCCAAAAAATTCATCACAGGCACTTTACTTTATCAGAAGGCAAAAAAGAGTAACTTTATAAAACAGAAATTCCAAAAAAAAAGATGAAGCAAATGAGCGAAGTAGCTGGGCCTTGAGTTGAGCACCATGACTGCTTTTTCTCTGTTTGTCCTTCAGATTTTGCAGTGTTTATTTTATACGTCCGAAAAACAATTGTTGACCTCACACTGTAGCTTTAAACAACATGCTCTCAGCTCAATCAGGTTATGCTCTAGCTCGCGCTACATTCAAGCGGGCTCAACGAGGTCTCTTTGGTGGAAAACACATTCAATTCGGAAACAATGTAAATACTCGATGTTTGAACGATGCCACTTGCATCCACCAAGTCCTTGATTCCAGATTAACTGATGCGTCCCATTGAATCCCTTTTACAGAACCCATTCTCAAAGAAGAAGACTCGTCGAAACTGGTTGCCTAATGTTCAAAGCAAAAAGCTTTACTCTGAACTCCTTGACTCACATTTCAGCCTTAAAGTCACCACATCTGTCATTCGAACCATCGACAAGAAGGGTGGTCTGGACAAATACCTCCTGGAAACTCGCGATAAGAACCTGTTCAGTGAAAAGGCCGTCACCATGAAGAGAGATCTTCAGCAGGTATTAAAGACCAAGACCGCTGAACAACAGCTGTAGACCAGTTCGTCACACCCTCCCCTCCCCTGTAGATTAAAGTAATAGACCTCCTTCACACATATCACACCTCATCCATTCCTCCTTTCGGGAATCAATAAATGAAAATAACACAGATACTTCATTGGTTTGCACACTGACACGACGGAAGAAATTGATAAATTTTGTTTGTTTAATAGTGAAAATTGTTAGGGGTTTCTACTCTTCGTCTTCCTCCATTGCATCGGCCGCGGCAACGCCTCTCCGCTTGTCACCAGGAACTTGACCGGATTTCAGCAGATTCTCCAAACGCTGCATTTCCTCCAATGATGTTGCGTTTTTAAGTGCCTCCTACAAACGGAATACGTTATTAACGACAGGTTTACACTTACGCAGCCTCCGACAAAAATACGTACCTTTATTTTAGCTTGCTCTTCAGGAGACAGTCCTGGAGCGTTGGATTTTCTGTGATCTGCATCGTCTTGGATACCATCGCCCACTTCGAACGTTTTGCTCTTGGTCTCGCCAATTGTTACTGCCAATTCATTCTCTTCACCACCATCGGTTTTGAACGTCTCTTTTGCCTCTTCTCGCTCCTGAAAAATCGTCACAAAAAATGAGGGAAAGCGGACGAAATCCATAATCCAATAGCCCATGGACCTACCGTCTTTCGAACTCGCTTGAAATCTAATACTCTGATTGAAGGGATTTTGTGAATGATGTACAGTCTATAGTACTGTTTCTTGGTAACTGGGTTATCCAAAAGGGACAAGTACTCGAGCTTGCCGCACTTGGTCAGTGGTTCAAGGTCGCCCAGTTCTTGGATCATATTATTTGTCAAAACCAGCGTCGCCAAGTTCGGGATATAATCAACAAGTTGTGAATCGATGCGACTGATGCGATTGTTGGCTAATGACAATGATTTTAATCGTAGCATACGAGGGAAGTTACCCAGTTGTCGAATATCATTATTTGTGAAGTCAATCGCATCATTAAGATCCTATTGATAGCTGAAGTTTAGGATCCTACTCTATATCGCTTATGTCCACGCTCAAGGCCAAATCTCTTACCTTGGTGACACCCAGATTCTCGATGGCAGAGATCTTGTTGTCTATGGAAATCAGAAGTACAACGTTAGTTGTGAATGATTCCTGAAGTCTTAAGAGGCAAGATCGAAAAGCCGTCGCTTCAATGAGGAGAGAAATAAGGTGTCCAGGTGCAAACTGTCACGTCGAGGGAGTTGTTGCTGTCGTCGATTTCGTATATTTATGATAATGCAACCGTCGTCGCGATTGATCGTTATTCTGCAAAAGCTGGCAGATCCGTAGCCAAACATGTAGAAATATACATACCTCTTAACACCAGCTCGCGATCCTTGAGTGCATTGATACGAGATATGGAATTGGCCAGTAAATCTGGAGTTAGCTTCATCCAATTTGTGTGTTCTTGCAAGAAAAAAAGTACAGTGTGTCCAAAGCTCGACGCTGTCAAAGGTTGGGTCTCGAAATTATCGTTGCCGTCATCCTATTTGCCAGAGCAAAATTTATAATTGAATTTGCTGATAGAATAAATTGAAAGTGGTTGCAGTTCTCACAAAAAGAATGTTCGCTTTTTACGAGGTATGCTCGCAAAAGTTTGGGATGTTATGAGAAAGACTCTTTAAATTTTATTCAGCTTTTACTGCAAACTCTTTCCCTCCATCAAGTGGCTACGTCAAAAAATCACGCAATCCAAAATATCCCAAAGATTTCATTGAGGAGATTGACGTTTTTATCATAAGGCACCTTGCTCCAATACGCGAGCAACACTCTTACCATTCTTTTCACTCTTCTAACGTTCCTAAAATTTGTTCGGGGTTTTCGGTACATGCCCAGTACTGGCTAAGCCAAACCTGTATCAGAAAAAAAAATTCTAAATGCATATCAAAAAGCTTTAAGGGTTTATTCACATGTCGTGTTTAGGATATTGCCTGATTGAATGAAATCTATTCCATTACATCAACATTAATTAATAGCTAGCGTTATGGTGGATTTTATTACAGGTTCATACTATATCTCGTTACAGGGTAACAACAATCTTCTTTGCTGACACTCCTTTACTTAAAAGATCATACCCATGCTGGATTTGCTCGAGTCCGTGACCAATCACTTCTGAATCCGGTGCGCAGATATATTGACCGGTCTCCAATGCCTTTGGAAGGAAGTTTCGGAAAACAGCAGGGCCGACCTCGTTCTTCTTGAGGTCGCTGCCATAGACAAATTTGGTACTCACGCCTGTCCACGTACTCTTCACCTTGATAGAAACAGTAAACGAGATAAAATGGGCAATGAGCGGAATACGACCTAGTCCTGACGACTTTGTGGAATTGGATCCGGCGCCAGGTCCACTTACGTCCGTTACAAATTTTGAACCCTTGGTTTTGCTCAGAACATCAATACAGAGGGAGACGGAACCGGGGCCAATGGCCATTGCACCAGCCAGAGTTTTCTCCTTCAAAGCGGAGATCATATCCTGGACCACATTTTTCTGATTGTAGTCGAACACTTGGCTGGCACCCAATTTCTTCAAGAGGTCGAAGTTTCTTGGAGATGCCGTGGAGAACACCTCGTAGCCTGCTGCAACAGCCAGCTGGATCGCATTGCAACCAACACTGGTAGAGCCACCCCAAACAATGAGGGTCTTGCCTGATGATAGTCGAGCGGGTGCCGTTGGAAGATCCAAAGCCAGGAAGTCCTTTAGGAACAGGCCGGATGCTGCAGTAGCCATGCCCAATGGAACAACAGCAGCATGCTCATAGCTTAAATTATCAGGCATCTTCACTGCTAGATCTGCCGGAACGACAGTGTAATTTTGGAAGGCGCTTTCAGTAGGGTTATTACGATCTGGATCGGCACCACAAGCAACGGCCATAACGCGATCACCGATCTTGAAGCGGGATGATACATCACTACCGACTTCAACTACTTCGCCAGCAAGATCGACGCCGAAGATGAAAGGATATTTCAGCCAGGTGAAAATCATATCGCCCATGTCTTGAAGTATATAATCTACGGGATTGATTGCTACCGCATGGTTCTTCACAACGATCTGGTCAGCACTTGGAGGTGTATAAGGTGCAGGTTTTACTTGCAATGACTTTGCCAGTTTGACTGGTGACCATGCTGCGTTGTTTGAAGGAGACATTTTGTTGTATGGCGACAGGGACAACGGGATACAGGCGTTTTTATTGTAAAGAGAGCACCACGGATAAAATAATACCGGTCGATTTGGAAAGGGAACGCGTAAGTGGGAAAAGAGTGGGGCCGAAACAAAAAGATCGGACTCACAATATGGGAGTTATCATTCAAGCTGTCTTAACGAGCATTTTGCCTATAGCCTATACAAAATTGGCACGTTGTGAAAAATAAGCAAACCCGGCAATTGTTCAGTTAATGCCAGTGCTGATTTTCCCGACATCACTAGAAAAAACATGGCTACCTAGATCAAGTCCTCGATTGGTTTACCTTTAACTTTGAAATTGCCTTTATGTAAACCTAGTTATGTTACAATGAGTGGAAAGTTTTATTTGCCCTCTCTATATAATATTTTGGCTTTAGTTGTCCTGAAAACCTCCAACGATAATGACGCTGGGATGAAGCTTCGGTGTGGGTATATCAGGCTCGCCGTCTTCTTCGTTCTTGCCTTGTTCAGCTTCATCGGTTTCCGCTGCGCTAGTATCAATCTCTTCGTCTGGTGCCACAACACTGCTGCTAGCTTGAACGTCATCCAAGTCCTTAATGTTATCAGTAGTGAACCTGAGGTCGAAAGCATCCAATATATAGCTTCTGACTGCAAATCGGAAATGATAGCATCCTAACATTTGCATGACAGAATAAAATATATCGGCACGACTAAAGTATTCTGGGTATCGCATCCGTAGTCTGAAGGGGATCCATAGTTAAACAAGTGACTCTAGTATGGTGAATGACATTCAACACGTGTGTCTATAAATTTACCTTGCCAAATTTTTGGATGCCTCGTTTGCAATGATGTGATTGCTCATATCTCCAACATTCTTAAGGATGACTCTGGCCGTTTCATCGTTTTTGAGTGTTGCTGCTAATTTTGGTGGTGGTGGTAATGCACCTTGATATTCCCATCGCTTGATCTATCCAGAATGAAAACTATATCAATACCCATGTCTCCACACAGCAAATGACAAAGCTCTAGCGATGCTCACCGAAAGAAACTCTCGAAGATTGACAGGAACACATAGCCCTTCCACGACTCCGTTAGGTGACACGACACCTTCCCAGCCTAATTCGCCAAGGATCTCAACGCCTTGGTCTGTTTTCGCAATTAATCCTAACACATAATAGCAAGTTCTGAAGGGATATTAGCATGGCTGTTATGCTAGTGGTGGTATCAATGTCACATAGCATACCCTTTCAAAGACAGAATATCGCTTCCCTCAGCCATATTAATCACATCCTTAATGATATCTTCTTCTTCGAGGAAAGGTAGGCCATTACGAGTAGAGCCAATGTTGCCAACAGCCCATAAAGTGGCTTTTAGCCGAAGAATGGTCTCGAAATCCCGATCATCGAGCGAATAATTCCGGATGAAGCTTGCAAATAGCTGGAAGTGGCCTTTTTCTTTCAAAAGCATGCATCCTTCTTCCGTCCTTGTCAATTCGCCATAAAAGTGTGGGGGAGTCCATCCATCTCCTGGTTGCCTAGGTGTAGGTGACCGGCATAAGTTTTCTTCAACGTCAAACAGTACTCTATTGTGAATGCGAACTTACATTGCTTCATGATTATGTTCACTGTGAATACGCTCTTCAAACGGATTGGCCGTGCCCTTATTTGGAGTATTGATTAAAGCTCTATGTAGCGATATCTCGAGCTGAGTAACATAATGTTGATTCCGGTTCTATATCATAGCAACGTTGTTCAGTTTATGTCTCAGCGGTGGGTTGCATTAAGCCCAGCACGTATGATTGGGATTCGCTCCTAAATAAACCCAACTTACCTCAAACCAGTCATCCATTTCCTTTTGCACATAGCCTAACTCGTTCAAATAGGCAAACCCGGTTGAGCTAGATAGGAATCTGTTTTCAACAGCGTCAATATTGTTATATTCTGAAATGGTATGCAGAAGATTAACACTTACCTGAGTAATAATGGATTGCCTAGTTCGCCCAAATGGTCCAAGCTCGGTCGACATTTCACCAAAAACTCTAGATTAGCAGGTATCTCGCAAGCCTCGTCCAGAAGAGAAACTGCCATTTGGCAAACTTCCAGGTTAGGGTCATAGAGTTGAGTGACTAGCAATCGAATGATCCATCCGTTGTATTCACGTTCTGAACTGTGCAATACAGCTCCAAGTTGTTTCGTACTGAACAGCCGGATTGGGTTATACCCTGAAGTCATGATCTTGGACAAAAGAACTCTAGGATGCCCATCCAGAGAGTAATCCATATTGGTGATGATGGCGATCTTCAGGTCGTCTCTTGCTTTCAGTTCACTGATCTGATAAAACAGGTTGAAGATCTTAAACTTTTCCATAATTCGAAAGCCCTCTTTGTATTTACTGAGAGTTCCCAACAAAGTGAAGTAGCCGCAGCTGAGGGTGCTTTCCATTCGCTCGCTGGAAAAGATAGGTTCGGTTTCTGGGTCATGGTTCAAGGGATCCAGCTCTCTCAGGGCCTCAGACAATTGGATGAGTACTTTGTTTTCACCTAGATAGCGAATGCCATCTGGATTGCTCAACAAGGTTGAAAAAAGGACGCAACCGGTATTGACGTATCGCGTAAAGTTGGCTTTGCTTGCATTGATATCGGAAAATCGGTGAGAGAATGGTCGGTAGAAAGCTAGTAATCGTTTTATAAATTTGCTACCACGCATAGCTTCGTCAAGTCGTTTTGGATGCAACAATGGGCCCTGTAATAGCTCTAAAATATTCTCCCAATTCCATTTGGTATAATCTTTCGTATTGAGGATCTGCGTATCCATAATCAGCTGTCGAAAATGAATATCGTCAATATTGATACCCATTCGTTTTTTGACTTCATGAACCTTTTCTTGATTCCTCTTTGCAGTAGCCTCTCGTTCTTGTTTGTTGTCCACTGACGCTTGAGAAAGGTACCGTGTGCGTATGCGACTGAGTCTATCGATGTGCGCTAAAGCAGTGGTGGCATTATGGCGGACTTGTTCATCATCGAACGAAGAGGCAAGCGCAAATAACTTAGGTAGAGATTGAACTTGCGTAGCCATGGAGATGGGTAGCAATTTGGTGGACAGCTGAAGGATTTCTCCAATGAGTAAGGTCGCTTTGCGTGAGATATATATGTCATCAGACTTGACCATATCCACCAACGCCATCAGGATGCCAGCATCGACAAAGATGATTAGTATCATGGTCAAATGATGATCCATCATGTTGAGTCGCTCATTCTTGTGCGTATTGTCGGCTCGAACGTTCGCTAAATCGCCTGAAATGGCATTTGCAAGAAACCCGCCATTCAAAATGGCTGGTCCACTTCCTGATGTTCGGCTGTATGCATTGGACGCAGAGGTGGTGTTTAGTCCCTCAACCCCATCATCCACTTGCGCAGAAGAGGCAGCAATATGTGCAACATGCTGTCTCCCGCTTAAGAAACTGCTATAATCCTTTGGTAACCGTAGATAGAAGATGTCGAAAAACATGTCCAGCAGTACTTTCTAAAGAGTCGGTGGTCAAAGGTGGTGGATGGAAGTCAGCGTAAGCTCTGATTGAAGTTGTATAGATGTCGGTTATGAGACATATTACCTTTGAGTCTTCAGAAGGGAGTCGAAGTGCTTGTACTACACTACGAGCTGCCCTCAGGTCGTTTGCACACATGTAGAATACACCGCTCCAGCTCTTCATCAACAGTGTAATGACCTTGCAAGAATTCTGAAGTCTCTCTTCATAATTGGGTCCACGGTTTGTGTCTAAAAATGGAGATATGATCATCTCTAACTCGACACCAGGTCGAAGGAGACATCGGGTGCTTGGAGAATCCAGTATATATGTGAAGGCATGGACGAGTACATCCACTAGGCTGCGTTGACCATCCAGCAGTGCTTGCGTCATTATTCTAAGGCCCCCAGTCTCCATTACTAAGGGAATATGAAAAATAGCTTATATGCCACATATTAGCATAGACTTTTTAAGAGGAGCGCGCATGTGTCGATATATTTACCGATTTCCGCAAGGGTCTCAAGACATATATTTCGAAACTTGTCATTAGGTTGCTCTGCTATCGCAACTAGGGCTCTGACGACCGATTGAGGAACATCAGGTAATGCGTCGTTCTCAATAAAAGCTCTCACAAGCTTCAAAGCTTGCTCTCTTTCATGATCTTGGCTGGACTCTTTTGCAAGTGACCTGTTCGAGTGCTAGGTAAGGGACAAAGCAAAGGTGAAAAGGAAATAGGAAAAGAGTCGGTACTAACATAGCAATGAAGATGTCCAACTGCATATTCATCATTCGGCGTACATCGTCCGCAGACGAAATAGCGTGTCGTAGTGCTCGAAACCCTGCTACTCGTACAGGTGCTCTTTGGTCTGCCACGCATAGGCGCAAACTAGAATGTTGAGTGATGTTGGTTAACCAAATGCGCGTGTTCTGCAGGACGTCTTGCGAGTTTTTATTTTCAATCACTTACGAATTGATGATTACATCTTTTGAAACATGGCCTGCCACGTCTCCGGTATTTCGTAATATTCGAACCAGTGTATCCAATTGCTCCAAAATGACATTGGAATCCACATCTTTCCTGCTTATAACTTGCATGATCTCATTAAGACGAACAGAAGTGGATCGATTGTCTATGAAAGCATTGGTAGTGATAGGTTATTAATTGACACTGGAAAGACCAGCTTCGTGACCACGCAACTCGCTGTATTCTTACCGTCATCGGCGAAAGCAATACTATCTTGGTATGACTTTTGCCTACTTTTGGAAGAAATAGGTGTAGGTTTCGGTCTAACATTTGGTCGAGTGCTTGAGGAATTGGAGGCTGCAATAGAAGCCTGAAAAGCAGTCGATGCTACAAAGCGATGCTCCTTGAGTTTGTTGGTAACCTCTGGCATAGCTGAGCCTTGTGTCCCCAAATAGACGTTAGAATGACCACACCTAAACTAATAAAGATGAACCTTTACGCAGGCTCTTACCTGCAGACTTTCGCAGCTGTTCTATTTCTTTTGTAAGAGACTCTATTCGCTTGTTGTATTTGTCAAGCTGAGCTTCGAGATCCTTGGTTCGCTTTTTGTCTTTAATGTACACTTCCATCATATTTTCCACACCAAGTTTCATTTTCGTTTCACGCTCCAGCTGTACAAGGAGGCTTTCGAGCTGAATAAAATGTTAAGAAAAGAGATTTAATTATGAGCAAGCGTTGCTTTTGCTGGCATGGATGAATGGCGAAATGTACCTCTTCCAGTAATTGCTCTTTGGTTGGCTGGGTTGGTTGAGATTTAGGAGAAGACGCTGACGAGCTGGCGGTTGGTGCCATTGCGGTAGCCTGCGTTATGCGTGTTGACTGACTCGTCGCTGGCGCTGACTCCACAGGCCCGGGATCCATTTGCTAAGGTGGAATGAATGAAGAACGATCGCTGAGTCGGACACTCAATTTGGATCGTTGTGTAGAGTTCCAGCAGGAACGCAAATTCAGACTGCCTTACGCCTGTTTGTCTTTTTCCAGCTCAGGTCAGTAAATAAACCATTCGAATAAATGTTGCAGGTAACAATAAGATGCTGAGATATAGAAAACCCCTATAATGAATGACTCATCGTTTACGCGGACGAAAGAAAGGAAGACAGATGTGCTATGTAGCACCAATTTTCCATTCTGTAGGTGCAAAAATGTTACGATACCGCGTCAGATGAAAGTGAAATACCTCAAGGAAGTGGCATAAGCATGGATCGTCTCAAAAAAATAACAATTCATGCTGTTTATTTACAACATAATGCTGCGTAGTACTATAAAATTGGCTACAGTGAGGGCTGGCATCATCCAACAGGTGTTACATTCTTAAAGAGCACCATCTTGATAAGCATCTATAATGATTAACTTTGGGCTTTCAAGAGACTCACCAGCGTTCTTGACCGTATGTGACAATATAAATGACGCGGTTGTGCAATTCGCTCTTGACTGCCTTCCAGCGCTTGTAAATTTGACGGACATCAAAATTTTGCTCGTCATTGTCCTTGCACCAAGCTTGATATGCCTTCAAAGAAAAAAGCAAGTAAACTCAAGGCAAACAATAGAGGATTTGCAACGTCTTCGATCCCGAAAAAGAAAGAAGAGCCAGATCCACCAATTTCTGAAACTACCGAACCACTTGTAGCGGACGATCTACCTGATCGCGGAACTGAAGCTTCAGAATCGTCAATTCAACAAGAGATCGACAATGACGCAGATATGGAAGCTCCAGATCATTGGGAAGACAAGCTAATCGAGAAGTATAGAGTTATTAACGCCAGGAAAATTGAGTCTTATTTCTCTCAGTCGTTCGGCAAGTTTTTTGGCCTAACACCAGAGGACGAAATGGATGTTCCGACGATCAAGCTACCCGCTGATATCGAGCACTCGATATTAGCCAAAGTGAAGTCGATGGATAATACCGATCTTTTGGGTAGGCTTTACTTTTTGATTTCAATGAATATCTAACGGGTAACTGAAGGTCGATTTACTACAGACATGGACAAAATTGTTCTAGCAAACGCGAGTGAAATAGAGAGAGAACGACAAATATCTGCTTTGGATCGGTTATATCTCATGTTGCAAAAAATCGGCTTCGATTCAGAGGATATAGAGATTGCAATGTCCACGACAAAAGCATCGAAGCTTACGGATCTACTGGACTGGGTATGTTCATATCATCGCAATGTCCATGTTCAAAATTTCGACTAATACGGCGCTATAGTTATGCCTTACCTTACCAGACGAAAAGCTGCCAATTGGATTTAAGGACAAGACTTACTACGAAGACAGTATGTGAATATATACTTTTTTGCAGTTTTATTCTTTAGTTGGACTAACATTGGATGGTATGCAGATATGAGTTTGAGGGCGGAAGCTATGACTGTAAGTTACAGACGTTAGGGGTTTCATTTGTGCTAATTCTTTCGGAATACTTGACATTTAACATCCGTTCATCTTTCCATAGGTTACGAGTAATCCAAGTGATCATGCAAATAATGATGATACTCTTAAACCGCCGTCCCCTGTGCCTCAGACAATCGACAACATTACCAAGAACGACAAAAAAGAACCAGAATCGGATGGTAATATGAAGGAATGGATATTGAAGGCAGCGCAAAGTTACGATGTAATTATTTTGAGTTTCCTACAGAGACCCCCACTTTATCAAAGCTAAACTTTGACACCGTCACTCTTTTCAGGAGGATGATGAAGTGCATGTAAACGAACAATATGCTCAAGCTAGATTAGAACTCTTGATCCTTCAAAAAGAGGTATCCGAATGCAGCAAGAAGAGAGACGGTGAAAAAATCGACCGATTGAAAAAGGACATTGTCGTAAAGAAGCAAGCCCTTCAGCAGCTGGAGTCTGACTGGGATTACGACAAGAAGCAAGCAGAATCTTCTTTTGTAGACAAAAAGCGCAAGTGGGATGAAGAATGTCGGGAAAAGTTTATAGCCAAACAAAAAGCACATCAGAAGAATCAGGAATCTTACATAGACACCAACGTTACTGAGGATGAGCTTGCGAATGAAGATAATGAGGACGGACTACTTGGATTATTTGGTGACCAGGCTGAAGATGACACATCTGCTGGGACCGTAGTATCCAAAACCCTGAACATCCTCGATGTATCACCTCGAACCTCTCATGGTCACAAGTGGTCTGGACTCTATCCTAAGCAAATTCTGAATGATCACTGTCGGAGCATTGACACACAAAGCACGCAAACCTATACAGTGGTGTCTCCGGCAACCAACCTATTTCATGCCAGTGTCAAAATCCGGTTGAAAAAAACGGAAACTGTGTTCAGTATGGAGGCTAATTCCGTAGTATCATCAAAAGCAGATGCGCAGGAATATGTTGCTGTGAGTAACAATTCCCTTTCGCTGGTGCATTTATTATCACCACCTTAATCAATCTCGTCTCTTTCTTTTATTTCGTCATTTTCAGACCATTGCCTTGTACAGACTAACGGAGTTACCTCTGTATCGAAGCTTACCGAGTCCGTACCGCGAACTGTGGCAAGAGTGGAAAGAACAAGACGTAAGCTTTAAAATTGCTTACTCAGACATGCCTTGATTTTATTTTTTTAAAAAATAACTCGTTGATGCTTAGGAATCTGAAATGCGAGAAAAATCCATGGAATTACATCGGAAAAGATTCAGGTTCATCATAGATTTAATCGATCATGCCGAAATTTCAAATGACAAGGTTAAACATTAATTCGTTTCTGAATTGTCAATTAGATTAATCGATCACTAAAGCCGTTACTTGCATAGGTCCGGAAGTCATCAGATTCACTAGCACCTGCCCCAAACGACGAGCTTTTCGATCCCAAAGTTCGAAGAACAGATATTCCCTATTTAGCCACTGAGTACCAAAGGCGTATTGCAACACCAACGTACGAAAAGATGAAGGTATGTTGAATTTTGCTTTTAAATGTTGATGTTTTTCCATGGTTTCTCACCCATTTGTTGAACAGGAAAAACGATCCTCACTTCCAATCTACTCTTTCCGAAACGAGATCTTGGAGCTAGTGAAAGATCATCAAATCGTCATCGTCAGTGGCGAAACTGGATGGTTCGTAAATCCTTGTTAAATTATTTGTAATGACAATGGGACTAACCATGCATCTGTAGCGGTAAGAGTACTCAAGTCCCACAGTATCTGGCAGAAGCGATTCTTTCATCCTCGGCTCAGCATGGAAATATTGTCTGCACACAGGTGAGACTCGAAATTGTCATGAGCAACTAAAAACGTACAGCTGTTCTCAATGTCATTATAGCCTAGAAGGATTTCTGCTATCTCCATTGCCCAAAGAGTATCCCAAGAAATGGGTGACAAGAAAGGTGCAGTAGGTAGTAAAGGGTCACTCGTGGGTTATCAAATTCGACTTGAAAGCAAGACATCCGATTCAAATATTCTTCAGTTTTGTACCACGGTATGTGATTATCATAATGAACAGCTATGGTGTAAATTTCTATCTGACTGATGCATTATTAGGGTATTCTACTGCGTCGTTTGGAGGGGGACAGTCGGCTTCAAGGAGTTACTCATGTTGTGGTGGATGAAGTGCACGAACGATCGATCGAAAGTGACTTTTTGCTCATCATATTGCGACATTTATGCAAACTTCGACCTGATATTAAGTATGGCTTAATATGAACACATAGTGTCTGGATGTCTTGTTATTAATTCCCATTTTACAGAATTCTTCTTATGAGTGCTACGGTAGATGCCCATAAGTTTTCAAGCTATTTTGGAGGTTGTCCTGTAGTTCAAGTTCCTGGACGAACATTCCCAGTTGAAGTCAGGTTTATGGAAGACATCGTAGAGGAAACTGGGTACTTCTTAGAAGAGGACTCACCTTTTGCCAAGCGACTGCAAAGGATACAGAAAGGTACTAGAAAATTCAATAGACGAAACCATCCCCACATGTAACGACTTTGTGCTAATGAGGTATGCGACATAGACGTCGGAAGCGTTAATGTGTCCGGCAAAGGCGGGAACTCGCACAAGATCAGGCTACAATGGTTTGAAGAAGATCAAAATGATGATCCGTACAATCCAGAAGAATACGATCATGATGCTCAATTGGACGACGATGACAATATTCAAACTACTTATAGCAAGTCAACAAAGCTAGCTATACGACGCATGGATGAAAACAAGATCAATTACGAGCTCATTACAATACTATTAGAATACATCGTTGCACCACCATCTGAAGAAATGGATAGTGATATTCCAACAGATGGAGCTATCTTGATCTTTTTGCCGGGTATGCCTGAAATCAGAAAACTATATGACTTGCTGGCAGACCATCAGCAATTCTCAAATACCAATCAGTTCATTCTTATCCCACTACACTCTCTCATATCCACCGAGAATCAAGAAAAAGTGTTTGACCTCCCCCCTCCTGGTATGCGAAAAATCATTTTGTCAACCAATATTGCAGAAACTGGCGTTACAATCGAAGATGTGACTGTGGTCATTGACACTGGAATGGTTAAAGAAGTCAGGTAAATTATCGTAATGTATTTGAAGCAGAATTTCCATAGTATGCAGGAATATCATATTGACTGGCTTTGAACAGACTGGATGATAAGAAGCGAATAACCAGCCTGCAGCAGACCTTTGTTTCCAAGGCAAATGCAAAGCAGCGACGAGGTCGTGCTGGTCGTGTTCGAAGCGGCATTTGTTTTCATCTGTTCACTAAAGAACGTTTTGAGACCAAGGTAAATGCTTTGTGAGCAGGTGTGACTCCTCTCGTACCTGTCAACTAACGCAATTCCATAATAGATGGCAGATCACCAAAGCCCTGAAATTGTAAGGTTGCCTCTGGAAGAGCTTTGTCTCCGGATCAAGGCATGTGGCCTAGGCGATATCCACGATTTTCTTTCGCAGGCATTGGACGCACCTGGAAGCAAGGCGATCGACAATGCCATATACTCATTACAGGAGGTCAGTATTCCTGCATGCCACAGACCTTTTATTTATTTTCATGTTCTTGCGTTTGCCGACCAGTGTTGTGAGAGCAATGTAATACTAATCTATATGTACACTAGGTGCAAGCCCTTAGCGAGGATGGCCATCAAAACCTCACCCCACTTGGACGACATTTGAGCAATCTACCAGTAGATGTTCATATTGGAAAAATGTTACTATATGGAGCCATGTTCCAATGTTTGGATCCTATTTTAACAATTGCCGCCGCTATGAGCTTCAAGTCGCCATTTGTCCGGCCATTTGGTAAAGAGGATGAAGCAGATAAAGCTCGAGAAGGATTCAAGAAAGGTAAGCTATGTTCCAACATCACCTGTTCCTCACAACACTGTTGAGTGCATAAACTGACGTTTAGCTTTGTCCTTGTAATTTTTTCTTTCCTGTTTTTTTATTGGGGGGGGGGTTGACTTTTACTAGACGACTCTGACCTTGCAACAATATACAATGCCTATGTCGCTTGGCGTAGCCGCTTCAGTGGAAAGATTCTTCCAGGTGGCTACCGTGCTGCCAAAGAATACTGCAAAATTCATTATCTCAGTTTTCAAAATTTGGAAATGATCGAAGACATGAAAAAACAGTTCCTGGGACTCCTAGTCAGTATTGGCTTTGTGCAGATGGATCAGCAAGAATTAGCGTCCGACATCAACACCTATAGGCTAAAGCGGTCGGAGCGGTTCTGTCAGGTTCCTGCCAAATATAACATGCACGGTGACACTATGGCGGTGGTAAACGCAGCCATTGCTGCCGCTCTTTATCCCAAATTCGCCTTCAATGCCAAGCATACAAAGAAGCTCGTGTATGGTGTTAAGAATGATGTGGTTCACGTCCATCCATCATCCATTCTTTTCCGAAGTTCTAACAGGATTCAGAGCAATTTTGTGATGTTTAACACCATCACTCACAGTGACAGGACATACCTCTGGGATGTTGCAGCCTTGGATGACGTTGCAGTACTTCTGTTTGGAGGCAGCATGGATATTCTGGTAAGTACCCGTTCGTCCCTAATGTGGAATCCAGGAGTACATACTAACCAGGAGGGTTTAGCATGAACAAAAGCGTGTTTTGCTCAACCAGTGGATCAAATTGAAGTGTCATGCTAAGACGGCCGTCATCTTCAAATTCTTAAGGCACCATTTGGTAGGATACTTTGGTTGGGATCAAATTCCGTTAGAGCTGATCTTTTTTTAAAACGTTCTTTTCTTTCTCAGAACTCTTTGCTCAAAGCCAAAATTCATCAACCTCAGCTGGACCTGGATGATTTAAACCCCGGTATTATGGAGCTCACGATCCAAATGCTTCAAATGCCCCGAGTCAAATAATATGGGCGATCCACCGCCTGAAAAGTCAATGCTACACGTGCCATACGAATAACCGGGACTTGATTGTCAAAAAACATGGAAGACAGGTCAATAATAAAGCGGATACTTATCACTCGCATTTTCGTCTGGTTGGTTAGGTCATGGACAGTATCTCAATTCCCATTCTATTCACTATGTCTAGAAGTCTACTTTGGAAACATATCACCATAACGAGATATTTGGTAATTTCCTTTGTGAATCGTTAGCCTCAATTTGAGAATTTCACAAGCTTTTTTGTTGTGGCCATGTGCTTCGACAAGCAGACTGGGGCCAAAGAAAAGATTTTTCATGTTTATTTAGAACGGTCAACGTTACATTTGCGATGGGATCTTTTTTGTCTTTAATAAGTAGGAGGTTCCTCTAATGATACATGTGTTGAATTACTGATACAAGAGCCAACAAGGGCATGTAAGGCGTAGGGTGTTGTTTACTTTTGATCAGGTTTTTGAGTAAAGGCGGGTTCGTCATCGACATAAGTTTTTGCATTTTCTTCGAATTTACCGGCTTCATCCGGGTTGTGATGCGGATAACCGTTATTGTAGTAAGCTCCGGCCATAGCTGCATCTCTCGTGATGGCTGGAGGCGGTGTGTACATTGTAGTTGCATTTTGTGAATAGCCCTCATAGTATCCTGCTTGCGAGTAAGGGGTCATATTGTCCTGTCGATGGGTTGGGTCATAGGCAGCGTTTGCACCGGTCACGGAGGCGTTGGAATATTTCAAGCTGGATGGGTAACCCCATGAAGGACCGTCGTCATGATCATGAGTGGGGTGATCGTTCCAGTAAATAGCATCCGACATTTCTTGTTGTTGTTGCCTTTTCTTGTTTCGACGCCATAAGAAAATAGCGGCTGGGATCTGCAATTGGTTTTTTAAAATATGTGTGGGATTAGACAGAGTCCAAGTTAAGACAACAGCAGCGCGACGAACTTACGGCAATGGCAGCTGCAACTCCACCAATGACACCACCAATGATGCCCCCGTTGGAAGATCCATGACTAGCATTATCTGGTTGAGACGTTGGCGAAGTATCAGCATTACTAAGGTCTGTGGATGTCGCTGTTTGCGATGCAGACGAGGTCGAAACACCAGTAGATAAGGGTGTTGATGAAGAAAGGGGAATCGAGGAGGAGGAGGAGGCAGCACTGCTGATGAGAGAGACGGAAGAAGTGGCGATAGAAGACATGACTGAGGAAGCGGTCAAAATAGCGCTGGTATTGGTTGCAGTGGGATCGGCGCTGACAGTATAAGGACCACCTATAGCGTCGTTGGGGGCATCGCCGATTTGGATATAGTAAGCACCGGGCGGTACAGTGGATGGAATGGTTGCAGACTGTAACAACTTTGCCATCGATACAGCAGATTGTAAAGTTGCGATGGTTGTGTATGGCTCCCCAGCCCCTGATACCAGCTTGATATCTGCAGTACCTGAAGATGGGAGAATCCAGCCAACCACAAATGAGCTGCCCTCCTTAAGTGTGGATCCTGCAAGTGGGAACGTGACGCTAAACGCCCAAATTGATGGTACGAAGGTGAGGCAGGCTACGATTAACTTCATTATGAGCGGCCTAATGTAATTGAGCTTTTTGTAAGGGAAGGTACTTGATATTCAGAAGAAAATAACAAAACAAGGAGGGAAATTGGAATAAGGGTAAAAAGGATGACAATTTCGAGGAGAAAAAGAGAAAACAGAAAAACGAAAAGCAGGAGGTTTTTATTATCGAAGAAGTACGCACCTGCTATAAACTTCCTAAAAAAAATTACTGTTACAGCCTTGTAAAGTTTTGGGTTGGTATGTGTGTAACCTATATATTTAAATGTAGCTTCGTCCGACTGACCCAGCCAAGGTCAATTCAATGCTGCTGGCTGATTTACAAATTTCAGCGACGTGAAATAAAAAGAATTGTAGAGAATCTATTTGTTTCATTATTCCTCTGTTTTGAAAAAGTATTGTATTGTTTCCACATTTGGTCACTCCAAGATTGAAATGAGCGATCGCCGTTAGCTTATGTGACAGCTGGTTCATAGCATGTTGGGTTGCCCAAAGAAACACAATCGATTCCCTAATTATACTGCATCTAATTGAACATTCCTGTATTCTTCTGCCTTTTAGCACCGTCTTTTTCCCTATTGCTCTGAGCCTTTAACTTCCTCCTGAACTCACCTCCTAAAGGCGGAGATTGGATGACCTTTTATGCCTTGGGTTGGACTGGCATAACAAAGTGTTTCATACTGGATGACATTGGGCTCAATGTATCTGACATATAAGACATCTTTATTTTCTCAATGCTTCCAGCTTGACCCTCAATGCACCTTATTCCTATAATGTGCTCATCTACAAGATACAGACTTCCGTCCTTTTTTTATTTTTTTGGTGGGTGGTAAGGTATCCAGGAGAAAAACATGCATCCTCCAGTCGACGTGGAACCAATAGTACCATATAGGGCAGAGTCTCCGTTCTACTTCATCTCCTCTATAGGTCAAATTATCTAACAGCTTGATTAGATTACTATCACCGCATCCAAAAAGCAAACACAGTATATCTCCCCTGCAGTCCCATAAAGGGGACGATAATTTCTCCCTTGTCACTGTAGGAGTCATCTGGCGTAGCCATCATATAAAGCTGTTGCCAACACACTTCGCACATTTGTTTTTTCTTTTATATCTCAAGGCAGTTCCCTCGTATCTTTATCAGTACATCTTTCTTTTAATCTCATAAAATGAAGTCTGGCTTCCTGATATTGACGACCGCTATCACCCTGGCATTCGGCCTTCCATTGCAAGATCTATCTCAGGCTGCTACCAGAGATATCACCATAAAGAAGCGTGAACAACTCGTTAGTGCTTTGAACAATGCAGACATCAACCTTGATAATATTCTAAACGGTCTCGACCTCGACGTTCTCCACCGTCGTGACGACACCGTATCTGCTGCAAATGATCTGAATGCTAACGTTGATGATGTTCTCAACCACCTCGATATCGATGTTCTCCACCGTCGTGGCGACACCGTATCTGCTGCAAATGATCTGAATGCTAACGTTGATAATGTTCTCAACGACGCCGATATCCACGTTCTCAAACGTAATGATGATGTCTCTTTTGCTTCATATTTTTGCCTACAACCTGAACTAAATATTCTTTTTCAAGGTTCTAACGAACGTCGTGATGAATCCGCAAGTTTCTCCCAACTGCAAACTGACATGGGCTCCCTTTTCAATAGCCTCGAAATTGCTCCTCGTGATCTGATCGATGATGCAAAATTCAACTCGGTTGCACATATCGAAGATTTCTGGAATGCTGTTATCGGCAACCCGGATATGATTACCACCAGTGGATCTATGGGTGTCAAACGAAGTGGTGACACTGTTAGTGCTGCCAATGACGCCGACGTTAACGTTGATAACGTTGCCAATGATCTCGTAGCCAAGGTTGGCAAGCGAAGTGGCAGAGACACTGTCAGCGCTGCCAATAACGCTGACGTTAACGTTGATAATGTTGCCAATGATCTCGTAGCCAAGGTTGCTAGTCACAAGCGCTCACTCATCAAGGCCGCAGATAAGCCCAAGGTCAATGTCGACAATGTTGCCAA